AGTGCATTATAGCTACCCATTGTCCCTCTTACATGCCATGTTACAGTGACAGATTAATGGTAATAATAACAATATGTGCTCTCCAGGACATTAAAACTGAGCGCTGACTTTCAGGTTAAATTTTAGAGTGTTTTCAACCATATTTTGTTCAATTGCTCAATTTTAGATCCATTGTGCCTGTCTGACTACACAGCCAACTCAATAAAAAGAAAGATAGGTCACTGCCCAGGTGCTTTGGGACTGCATGGATTTTTTTCATGCATATTATAAAGCTGTAATAGATACCAAAATAAACACTTATGTTGTCTAACTTTAGATGCACACTCTGTGGGTCATTTTTATGTAACGATTTGCGTCACACACCAACAACCTGTCTCCTCTCTGTCTGTCTGGTGACACAGGAGCCCACACAGGCCTATCCACCTCCAAAGACTGAGACTGCACAAAACTCCCGTCCCTCCAGCCCAGAGAAGGAGCCCAAAAAGCCCTCAAATCCACCCTACTCCCCCTCCCTGGCCCTGCTGCGTCTCCTTCAGACAGCCTTCAACAGGCAGACCCCCACCTTGCAGCAGCCCCTGACTGTAGACAGGTCCTCCTCCACTTGGAAGAAGCAACAGCCGGGCCGAAGCCTCTCCCCTCCTGCAACAAGACTCCCCCCTAAGATGCTTTACCAGGCTCTGGACATGATCAACAAGTACCGAGGGCCCGAGGACAGTGTCTACAGTGACTACACTGATGGCTTCTACAGCACCAAGCCGTACAGGCACCGAGATGACCGACTGCTGCAGGCCCTGTTTGAGATGATAGATGAAGACCGCAAGTGAAGGCCCGGAAGAGAGCGGAGGGAGGAGGAGAAGAAAGATATAAGATCAGGGGGAAGCATGGTTATGTGTTGGTTGGGGAGCAGAGGAACAAGGCAACGAGAGGAGAGAAAGCAGAGGGATGGGAACGGGCACTGGAGGAGTGGAGGAGAAGAGAAAGAGAACTCTTTCACTTGGTTGTTTTTCCCCCCAAAAAAATGCTGCATATTTAATCTCTTTACCTTTGTTTGCCAATCACCATTCATTAATTAATTCTTTAATTTAATCATGTAAAAGTTCCAGTCCGCATGTGACTCAAAGCACGGACATGATTAGGGCCTCTCTGCTACAAACTGTGTCTCCATGTAGTCAATGTGAAAGCATTTAAATCATAAGAAAGGAGGGGTATGCCTTGTCTCTCTTCTCTTCACTGCCTGCTCAAGCATGCCACCTTTAGACATATAAGTTTTGTATTAGTATCTATATATTATCTACAGTATATATTATACGAAGACGATGATTGTAATATGGTTTTGAAAACACTTGACATCTAAAACCCTCACTCTCAAAATTCCATTTTGTTTCTATTTATATTTCATGTCCTACACAGTTTTATTTTCAAAAGGTTTCACACTGTAATGGGACACATACTCACTTAAATCACTTTAGAGGACATACTGATCCTTAAAAAACTGACATAAAGTCATGAAATTAGAGTCAGCATACCTTCAAAATGAAGCAAAATTCTCAATTGATCCGCAATTTGAACGGTTTGAACTGTGTTGACAAAAGATTTATTCTCAGGGTGTCAACAAAGCTCAACAAAGTAGCAAAAAATATATTCTGGACTCTAAGTATTAAAAGACAAAATGTGAAATATATATTAATAAAGTATGCAGATGAGACAATACAGTTGTACCAATACACTATTAAAAAAGAGGAAACACACCCTCTGGTAATAATTAACGACAGATGGAACACTGGGAAGACTTTCAGTGGGAGTAGCGGCACACTCAAAGTGGAAAAATAACAGAATAATCTTCTTGTGCTATTTGTTTAATTTTGTATAAGTACAATGCTGCATTAAAGGAAATATTTTTCTAAGGATCCTCATAGTTTATGGAGATAATATATACAATATCGAACCCTTGAACAGTTTATTTTCTTGTGGCGTAGTTCACTCAATAACTGCAAAGTCAATGTAGTTATCACAACTACAAATGAACACTGCCAAAATCTTTGCTGTCAAAAAGCTTCCGTGTATTTCAGTGAATGTGCAAATGGCTAACATGTTGTTTGTTCATCATCTGCAATATGCCACCTTCAAACAGTTCCTTGAGTCCTGGACAGGTTATCGCATTACTTCTCTGGTATTATTTATTTGATATTAATGGATTTATCACACTCCAGAAACTGGCCAGAAACTGTAGAATAGAGGCTCTGCACTGCAACCTTCAAGCACATTCATCGTGAACGCCTTAATATACGCTGTAATAAATGTGCATACTCATCTCCACATGGTGTAGATCAATTTAGAGATGCTAGTGTAAGTGTTTATGACATGAATAGTTATGAATCCTCTATGCAGAGTCTCTATCCTGCAGCTTGGAACTGCCTGCCCCGCTTCTCTGCCAACAAGGTGACAGGAGAAAGAAGATGTCTGGGACAACGCTTCACATGCACCATGTAATTTATCCATTCTTTAGTGTAGCCCGTGGTGTTTCCTTTATGTTTTTTGTTTTTGACTGGCGCTTCAGTCCAAAGTTGTTTACACAAACAAATATTATGTTGCAATTTCTGTATGGATGTACAAAAAAAATTATGAAATTTATCGTAATAAATTGCAAAGTGACCTCTTGAGTGTGTTTGAGTCTCTGGTAGCACGACAATCCTGGGAGGTGGGTCATCCTGGGTAGATAAATGAGAATGTAGGGCTTGGTGAGAAACTGAATTAATCAAATGGGTTTGAAATAGAGCTCCTGCGCAATGCTGGACTACAGAGCTAAGTCAGTAAAATATATAAGCTGTGTATAATGTGAATACAAAGGTAATTTTGTCATGAGAGACAAGCAGTGGGTGCTGATGAATTCGTGAGCAGACTTTCAGCTTTTTTCTTTCCCAAAGTTCAAATTGAACGTCTTGAATTCTACTTAATGGAAACAAGTGGTGCTGACAATCCATGTAAATGGATGACGTGCATGGATTACCATGGAATTTTGTAGCCATTCATGGTCTCCTGATGATGAATCTTAATGGTTTCTGATCTCCTTACTTCTCATCTAGCACCAACATCAGATCCAGTTTTAAATGTACCCAGTGCCTTTGATAATGAGCTGCAAAACTAATAGGCTACAATCACATCCATCTGTATAGTAAGGCACAGTATAAGGGACAAAATTAAAACAGCTAACAAATATTAGCATGCTAACATGCCACACTAAGATGGTGAACATGGTAAACGTTGGGCCTACATCTGTGGCATGCTAGCGTTGTTACTGTGAGCATGTTATCAAGTGGATTCTAGCATGGTGGTAGACTCATGTACGCATAACAGCCTTTCAAGTTAAATTTGTGAATCATCCCCAAAAGTACATATTTTAGCTGCTACCTGTGGTGCTATTTATCAGTCTGGATTGTTTTGGTGTGAGTTGCCGAGTGTTGGAGATATCTGCTGTCTCTCCAAAATAATGGAACTAGATGGCACTCGGATTGTGGTGCTCAAAGTGCCAAAAAAAACGTTTGAAAAACTAAACAGCAATGTCTTCTTCCAGAAATAACATAATCCACAGACCTTGATGTGAGCAGTTTCATGTAAGAACTATTTTCTTTCTACCAAACTACACCCGCCAACTGTATCACTGCACAGAAGGAGGCATGCATTTACTGCAAGCTAACCTAGAACAACTGAGCTAGCTAACCTTTTATAGGGGTCATCCCTATGTTTCCAGGGACTTAACCCTGGAAAAAGCTTCTATGTTCCCTGCTTACACAAAAAGGGTTCTATGTTTCCCACTTGGTTGAGCAGGCAACATAGAACCCGGGAAACATAGAACCTTTTTTGTGTAAGCGGGAAACATAGAACCTTTTTTGCAGGGTTAAGTGGGGAACATAGAACCCGGGAAACATAGAACCCTGGAAACATAGATAAGCTCCCACTGAGGCCAGGGATGTTTACATCTCACACTGTCACGAGCACAAGCCTCTCATCCATGAGCAGATCCATGCTTCTTTCTGTGCATTGATTTGGTTGATAACTGCTCACAACAAGGTCTGTGTATTATCTTGAGTAACTGGCCATGATTTCTGGAAAGAGACATTACTGTTGAACTTCAAATGTTTTTTGGCACTTTCAGCACCACAAGCTGAGTGCCATTTCGTTTCATTATGAGAAGGCAGACATCTCTGCAGCCGATATCTCCAACACTCACATCAACTCACATCAGAACAATTTAGCCTGATAAACAGCACTACAGGTAAGAGGGAAACTGGGTATTTTTTTTTATTTTGGGGGTAAACTGTCCCTTTAACATTTGCCCATATGCCCCAGCCCTAATAAGACATATTTAAAAATCTGTTGAATGAAACACAACACTCACAATCACTCAAACACACAAGAAATATTATCACATAGAGTTCTGCAAGCAGATGATAGGGATACCTTTGAAGGCTATTTGTTCATAAAAGACACATGTTGACACTATTCCCACATTGTCTTTCAATATCAGTTTTCTAATGATAATTTTATGTAGAATCGTGGCTTGATGACAGATATTATAATGTCTTTGAAGTGTGTTGTCTCTTTATTGTTGACTTGCAACAGATTCTTTCATTGTATTTCCTTTTGAGTGCCTCCACCTTGTGGACAGAAAGAATACAGCACCCTGCTGACGTGAACTGCAGCCTGAATGTATTATTATGTCTGTATACTTGGCACTAACCCACCTCTCTGTAGGATAATGGCACACTTGAGATGTGAAGAGAGGGATTTTATGTCAGAAAAATGAATTTGAGGACAGTATGAGCATCTATTGAGGTGCACCCACAGAGTTTTGGAGTGACCGCCCCTCATCTTACGTTTATCGTCATACTTCCAACGTGAGCAGAAGGAAAGAATGTTAAAAATCCACCTCTCTCTTCACTGTATATATAATTCCCCATGTCTTATCCTCCACTCCTCAGCTCCTCCCATTAGCCCAGACTCCCCACACATCTGGCTGCTTTGGTTTTTCTCCAAAACTGAACACTGCAAAAGCCTGAGGGGGAAAGTGAAGGGGGAGAAAGAGAAAGAAGATATGTGAAGAAAAGGGAGTGGAAAATATTATAAAAGCAAGGACAAGAGAGAGAACGAGGGAGCACGGTAAGAAAATAATCACTGGTGGAAAACAGTGAGTTAAACAGCACATTTCCAGGAAGAGACAGTGAGCCGAAGAGAAACAGAGAGACAGTGCGGGAGATTTTTTTTGGTATAAATAGTGACCTCAGACAAAGTTTGTGTGTTTATTCACCAGCAGGTCACATATATGGCGCTGTTTCCGTTCTGCAAGACGCCCACAGGTCAGTACAACCTCAGCCACTGCTCCACATCTTCTGTTAGTGTCATATCTGGTTGTTGTCATTTATTTGTGACTGCTGTGTTTGTACATACTCAGTTATCTATCTATCCTCTCTGGGAAAAGCTTTAAAAACTTTTCTCAGGTTTTTTTATGTGCAATCTGATCCTGCAAATATGTCCAGGAAGGCAAAGTAAGTCTTTGATTAATTCAAGAACTTCTGTACATATGTCCAACATCTCTTGGCTGGTGAAAGGCCACGCACATTAGATGGATGTTTGTGGAGAAAATAAAGATGAATATCTAAATTCACTCACACGTGCTTTGACTTAAGTTCTATGTCATGCAATATGTAACTTTTGGTTCCATACCAATCTCTTCTCCCATATCTTTAACACACATCCGCCCAGTCTGCCTTCTGCTTTATTTGCTCAGCATCACATGCACTACTTTATTAGTATATCAAAGTTATAACTGCTTGTTCATTTGATATATTTTGTTTCTTATCTTGTTGTCTTACTAAACTTCCTCACAATCAGAACAAGACTTTATGCACTCCGTAGAGATGTCTGCCTTCTTTACAATATAATAGAACTAGATGGCACTCAGCTTGTGGTGCTCAAAGCACCAAAAAAGTACATTTGAAAAACTCAACAGCAATGTCTCTTTCCAGAAATCATTCCCCAGTTACTCAAGATAATCCACAGGCCTTGTTGTGAGCAGTTTCAAGTAGGAACTTTTTTCTTTCTACTGAACTACACCAACCAACTGTATCACAGAAGAAGGAAGTATGCATCTACTGCTAGCTAACCTAGCACCACTGAGCTAACATTGCAGCTCAGCTGAGGAGGATGGCAGTCATGGTTACATCCTACACTGTCAGAAGCTTGAGCCTCTCGTCCATAGATGCCAATTCCCTCTGTACAGTGATGTGGCTGGGGTGTGTAGCTCATTAGAGATGTCTGCCTTCTCTCAAATATTATGGAACTAAGTGACAATCGGCTTGTGGTACTGAATTATACCAAACTACACTTCCCAATCGTATAATCATGCAGAAGGCATTGTGCATCTACTCATGGACGAGAGGCTCATGCTTGCGAAGGATGTAAGCATTACTGCCATCTGCTTCGGCTGAGCTGTAACGTTAGCTAGCTCAGTGGTGCTAGATGAGCTAGCAGTAGATGCAAAGAGAAAGTTCCTTTCATGAAACTGTTCACAACAAGGTCTGTGGATTATCTTGAGTAACCGGATCATGATTTTTGAACAGAGACATTGCTGTTGAGTTATTCAAATGTATTTTTTGGCGCTTCGAACACCACAAGCTGAGTGCCATCTAGTTCCATTATATTGGAGAGAAGGCAGACATCTACAGCCGATATCTCCAACACTCAGAAAGTCACACTAAAGCAATCTAAACTGATAAATAGCACGACAGGTAAGAGGGAAAATATGTAGGCTATTTTTATTTTGGGTTGAACTGTCCCTTTAAGATGTTAATTTATGAGTAAAAATTTTAGTTTAAGTAAAAATATCCCACACAATTCATGTCTACATTGTATAAACCACAAACATTTACATTTTAATGCATCATACACATTATTTGGCCTATATAAAGATCAAGTAAGTTATATCCTATGTGTGAAGAATCTATAGATATTACATAATCTATAGTACATCTAGTGTGTAAGTATTGCATATGCTTTAAAGATGTTATTTTTGCAATCACAGGTTGTCACACTTCCAAAGAGAGATCAGCACATTTTTTTCATTCCTAAGAGCTTTGGTCTTTTTACATGTCAGGGTTTAAAGACACATTTGTAAGTAAAATGCACTAACTGGGAGAGCATAGCAACTTGTACTGGTTTAATTTAATTGCATGTACATGTGTGTGTTTGTCCTTCAAACAGGACCAGTCAGAGTGGCCAGAATACAATTGGTCCTGTACTGTTTTCTCCTGTCTCTTATCATATGTAAGTGTACTGAGGGATTTGTTCTACTCTAACACTTTGTTCACAACACTTGCTGACACTGAGTGCACATAGAGAAATGTGCCTGTGGCAAAGTAAATGTAAACTACAACCTTGTTGTTGCATGATGAATAGATCCTGTATACTGTGGATGGTCTATTTTTTGCATTGTCTATAGTGTGACAGATAATCACAAACATTCAATATCTCCTCTAAATATGCCAGACACAGACATGAGTGAAAGTTTAAAAAGTATTTTAAGTATGGTCAGTTGTGATCAATTGGATTGAACTGAATGACTTTTCTCCAACTTTACAAAGGTGTATTTGTGTACATCACAACAAGTGCCACCATTTCTCACTCATAAAATTAGATTGGTGTTGGAATTAAAAGAAAATCCATGTTTTGCCCCCTCAGACTTTCTTAATGGACGTAAAGCAGCTGTCAGTGTGGAGTCACCTCATCGTGCCTCTCATGTCTTGGGAAAGGAGAGAGAAAAAGCAAAGACAGACATAATGGTCTTTAAGGAAGCCGCACCACAAACTCCTCTGGAGACACCATGGGGTGCTCCTTTAGTGTGGGGTGACACCCGTAAGTCAGCTCGGCGCAGGGCTAAATTCACACAACGGGAAATCCATACAGGTCTGCTGGCATTCGTGGTAGGAACTTACGCCCAGTTCGTACGACGTTTCCTATCTTCAGCTGAAACTCACTTTCTCCCTGGCCAGATGGTCACCTACTACATTCTCACGGACAATCCCCGCACTCTGGATCCCCCCATTGAGCTGGGGCCTGACCGACATCTGAAAGTGGTTCCTATTGCAGAGCTCCCTGGGTGGGAAAGGTTGGCACGTCGCCGGATGGCCCTGCTTACTGATGCTATCAAAAACCCAATCAGCAGCGAGGTGGAATACATCTTCTGTGCTGACATCGATCAGGAGTTTGTGGCCCCTGTGGGAGAGGAAATCCTTGGAGACCTGGTGGCCACGTTGCACCCAGAGCTCTATGGGATGCCGAGAAATGCATTTCCTTACGAAGTCGAAGAGGTGTCATCCGCATGCGTGGACGAGGATGAAGGAGACTACTACTACACCTCTGAGTTGTACGGAGGGTTGGTTTCTGAGATGTACAGACTGGCCCAAGCCTGTTCTTTGCTCATTCTGCAGGACCAGGCTAACGGGATAATGGCCAGGGGCCTCGAGGAGAGCTACTTGAACCGCTACCTGATCGACCACAGGCCGACCTGTGTGCTGTCCCCAGAGTACAGCTGGTGGGACTCAGCCCTGGCTCCAGATGTGCCTGTACAGAGGCTGGTCTCTTTGGGAAGGCAACGTGAGGCTTAAGATGAGCAGAAAAGAGAATCAATTTAAAATGAAGGACAGGTGGGTTCTGCTGGCCGAACCCATTGAAGTATGGATGTAAATCTTACTCCCACATGAAGAACTATTGTTTAAGTGTGAAATTTCCTTTTGAAGAAGGTCAAAAATTAGCAAACAGTGTTATGACCAGACAGTACATGAAGGGTGAAGATGAAGAGAGAGCACATATTTCATCTTAATTCAATTCATAATTTCGATCACATTTTCTGTTCTATTTTGCCAATAAATGTAGCCTGCAATCACACACACACAAGCAAACTGCACAATCTGCTCTCAATTAAAGACCCATTTATGTGAACAGCGTCTCTGCCTGCTATCTCTTCCACAGCAGACAAAAAAGAAATTGACCTGTCTCTTTAAACGAAGCACTGTGCTCTCCATTAATGTCAGCCTCGGAGATACTGCTCCAGTGGCTTTGTGGTCAGCAGTGATAAGACTCAACAGTGTAAGTGCACACTTTCCCCGCAGTGGCCAATCATTAACTGGAAGAGCTGCTGTTTCAAGGTCTTTAAATACCAGGTCGGGGGAAAAATGGATACAGCGGGATGCTGTTTCTCCAGGTTACACGTGGATAGACGCATACCATTCAGCAAAAGCCAAAATAGTTTTGAAATTGGTGATTGAGTCAGTATGTTTTGATGGAATTTTCCATTAAAAACTGTGATTTTTTCCCCTGTATGAGTTGGAGTAAACGGTAAACTTAAATGACCCAACGTTGTTGTCTGTGAGTCTGTCTATCTTTCTCCCACACACACAAACGTGCTCCCACGTTCACACTCAGCTCTCTCCTCCTTGTGTTCTGGGTTTTAATGGGAGGGTTAAACAGCAGCAGATGGCTTTTTCTCACTGCCAACAGAATCTGTCCTCAGGGCCAGATTGCCACGTGGAGTGAAGTTGGAGGTAAACTTCAGATAATCTTTTGAAAATTATTTTCAGTTTTTTTTGGACCAAGTTAAAAATTTCCACTGCTTGCCACACAGGCATATTCATGTGGGCTCATGAACAGTATTCACGTCAATTCAGATTATAAATTCTATTCAAATTTGATCTAAATTGTGTTATATATTGAAGCCATCTGTCCATAACAATATTCTAAGCAACATGCACATATACCGCACAACAGGATCTGCAGGTGCTCCTAAATATGTGCTTGCTTTGGTTTTGTTATGAATGCTTCAGTCCTCTATATATAAAGGCTTTTGTTACTTGATCCATGCTGAGTACCCCTTTTCATGTCATAATGCAAAGCAGTTTAAAGAATTATTGGTTTAATCCCTGTCATGTGGTTTACTGGTGATCGAGGAGCCTATGTGCAGCAGTATAACTTAAGGCAGAGGAAGAGGTGGTATAGAAATCCTTAACATTAAAACCTAGGCACATGTAAGCCTATATTTCTATAATTAGCAACTATTAGTTTTTAATGTGTTGAAGACATTTATGTTCCTTGTGCAGATGAAGAGGACAAACAGGCCTATATGTAGCTATGGGATAATGTGACATTGTCAAAATGCAAAGAGTTAAAAGATGGGCTTTAACTTGACTTTTCTTTCTTTTTTTTTTTTTACTCCAGCTCTTCTCACTTTTTGTGCTTCATGTGAATGCACCTGGTTTGTGGTCATTATTTACTGTCTTTTCTAAATACACAGACAACATATTATTGACAGCCTTTTGCTGTTGGGCTTCATGCTGATGATGTGACATTATAAATGTAGTAACATTAGACTAAACACAAAAAAACATTCAAATGGTGAATATTACAGTAACTTCTGAGTGATTACGTCAGCAAACCAGTTTTATTTGCCGAACAGATGTGTAATTCATTAAGTTTGGGGGATGCTAATGAAACGCTGTGGCTAACTGGCTGCTCTAAAGAATACAGCCATATAGTGTGGCGAAGGATGCGGTTATTAGGATTATTCCATGGCTGACATATCGTACCATAAAACTGTATGTTGATGCTGCACACCTAGCAAAGGAGTATGTATTTGTGACTGCACAAACCAGTGGATCAAGTCAAGGTGAGCCCACTTTTCCCCTCTATTAAAAGAATACTTCTTCCCCCAAAATTACCATTTGTATAGCTGTTACTCACCTTGTGTAGTGGTTAGAGCACTCATCTTCCATGCAGAAGTCAGCAAAGGTATGCGGTCACAAAAGGTTCCCACCGCCGAAACAAACAGGGACAGATTCCTTAAGGAGGCTTCAGGATAAGAGAGTAACTCCAGAATCTGACCCAATTCCTCAACGAGGGCACTCAAGCCTATTGTAGACGGGAGGTTCCAGACGTAAAAGCAGATTCATATGTGTTACTCACCTTGTGTTACATTGAATTTGTTTTTCTCGCATGTATCCGTGATAGACGAAGAATCCAAAAACAGAGAAAATTCTTGTTAAGTCATAGGGGGCCTGTGTTTAATAACAGCAGAACTAATCAAAACATCCATTCACAATCTCTCATACTACTGCAATATAATCCAAGTCTCATTTATTCAGTCATATGCTCAGTACTCCCAAAACAGAAAGCTGTTTCTGACAGGGAATTGAACTGAAAACTTACTTGAACTGAATTGAACTGAAAGTGAAACTTAACTATACTCCCTTCAAAGTAAGTCTCCATTGACAAAAAGAGTAATTTTACCTTGCTGAACACTGGAGCTGCTGGTCTACCGTCGCATTGTGTGACTTTGCTGAGTCCAAACTAACCCTTGAAAAAACCCAATTCAAACAATAACACAAACAAACCACTACTTACTTCAATTCATCAATATTTTTCTCCATTTTTGGATTCTTCGTTCACTCAAGGCATGTGAGGAAAATACTTTTCTTTACAAATTCAACCCACACAGAGTGAGTAATTGATAATGATCATTTAGGGGATTAAGTGTTCCTTAAAGCCAATACACATGGGAACTACCTGTTAACAATGAACACACAGAGAAAAAACATACAACTAGTCAACTTACAAGTTCAATTGTGTCCTTTATCTCCATTCACAGATTGGCAAAATTACCATACATTCACCCTTCAAACCACCTGTCCTGCATGTGTTTGTGCTGAGGGAAGACGCTGGAGCATCTGGATAAAATCCAACCCAGGATATTGCTGTGGGGCATGAATGCTAGCTAATGAGCCACTGTGCTACAGCGTGCCTGCTTATTAGTGTCAATTACAGGTCACTTTCAGATACGTTAAACTGCTGGAGACGTTTTGATGATGGTGCAATTACTCAGTCATGATAAGGTGTTGACCATTTAATTCCCATTTACTATAGCTGTGTTTAACTATACACAATAATTAAGCTATGTTTTAGCATTGTAAATATTTTACATATTGAGGTGAGCGTATTGGTTTCACATCTGATACATCTATTTCACATCTAAATGCAGAGATCCTTTAATTAGTTTAATTAGAAGTAAGTGACACTTTGTGATGTCAGTGTGATGTAGCATCTAACTGATTGAGCGAGCTGCCATTGAATGACCTGTATTGAATGTGTTTGGTCTGCATCTCTGCAACAAAAGTTGGCCATACCATGTATAGGATGTTTCAAAACAGACTCATTTTGCTAAAACACAGTTCCAGCAAACTATTGACTGCAAATGTAGAAAGAAAATCTAATACAGTAATTTACTTTAATCATTAGCATTAACTGCATTAAATGCTTCTTCATCCAACAGAAACAACATCCAGACAGAGAACAGCATGTGTGACAAACAGAACTCAGTTTATCGCTTTTGCAAGTAAGATAAAATGTAGTGTTCATCATCTACATTTATGTCTACATTAATGCATAAAGAACCTTTGCAGTACTGGTTAGACTTTGCTTCACTATTAAAGGCTCACGTGATAAGGAGAAATCCAATTCTGAAAAAAGCAACTTTAAATGTAAACCCTTTATTCTAGCAACAGAAAAGATGCATCTTTATCACTGCGACTGATTTCAGGCTCATGAGTCCTGCCCTTAAAACACGTGCCTCTGATTAGCACCAAAATCGTAGCCTGGCCAAATAATACACCTATTAATTATTAACCTCCTTAGTTCAGAATCGCTTGTAAAGTAGAAGGACATCCATGGTGTTACAGAGAGCTGTGATGAAGAGTAATTCAGAAAAGAAAAGCATAAGCGACGAATGAGCATCTGACATTTCCTTTATGTTAAATAATTACTTTAGACATGTTTGAAAGATAGATGGCAGTTGTCAATCTTCATCGCAAACTGCTAATACAATCAGATAAGCACTTCACAGTTAAGTAACCCATAGTCTCCTTGTGTTTCATGTTTAGCCTTAAACAAAGGGTGTGTCATTTTAAAGTCTTCACACTGTCCTCTTCAGCTTCCATGAAGCGACACCTTCAGGGCCTTTGTAAACACAGAAGCTCTAAAATCAATGAGTCCTATCCACCCACAAAAAAGAGCACCTCTGGAATTAAAGAGACTTAGTTTTTACAATTTGCATGTATTCAAATCGAGAAAAGGCTGAACACAGAAAATGTAACGCTCTGAGGCAAAGTTGTCAGCCCAGTCAAGGTTGTGTTTACCTGTTGCTGAGCAGATGAAAAGTACATGTATTAATATTTAAATTGAAATTGGCAGTTTATTTTGAGAAATAGAAAGAACTAATTTGTTGATGGGATAATGTGCAAGATGTCTTGAATGTGTGTACGACTGTGAATGTGTGACTCATCAGGGGGAATGGGTGGGGTGAAAGCCATGGTAATCTGCTGGATTCACACAGGCCTTTCCCCACCCTGCCTGAGGCTACTCCACACCAAAACATGCTGTCCTAATCACCAGGTCAAGGGGACTGACACTGAGAGATAGTGGAGGTGCAGCTCACAGGGGGACACACTAGTGCCCATTGTGCTGATGTCACATTATATCTCATATCATTACAGGGCACCACATGAAAGATGATTATAGGCCAACATTTAGGCAAAGCAGTTCACAAAGAAGTTGGCTTTGAAAAAAAAAGTCCTAGTTGGCACTGCCATATCATAAGAATTAGTTGGTATGGATGTGTTTACTTCCAAAAGTAGTAATAATAATAACAATAGAAGTAATAATAAGAATGATAATCATAATAACTTTATTTATACTGCACAAAAAATAAGGTTAAAGTACTTTAAAGTTTTTACAAAACAATACACCTCCACACATTTTTGAAACCATTGTAAGTTGATAAACACAAGGAGGATCTTATTAATGTGATGGTTGAAGGTTAGATTGGAAACAAAGATAACTCCTAGATTTCTAGCATTAGACTTTAGAAGAAGGCACTAGATTAGGAGATGTATTATTGAAAAATGTTATTTGACATCCAACCTTATATCCTTTAGACAAATATTTTTCATAAAGAAGTCAGTCTTTTGGGGGATCCTGGCTCTATAGACACAGAGTGTCATTGGTATAACAATGGAAATAGATTTGATGATTCAGCATTGATCTGCCCAGATGAAGCATACATGCAGAACAGAAGAGGACCTAGCATCGAGCCTTGGGGTACTCCGTAGTTCACAATGGCAATAGATGAGAGAAGTTACCAAGAGTGACTGTAAACTGTCAGTGTGAGAGATATGAGTTGATCCATTCAAGAGTGGTGTCTGTAACCCCAGCGGTGTCTTTGAGATGGCAAATTAAGGTAACATACTGCTTTGTTTTACTATGCAACACTACTACTTATGAGTTTATTCACCTTACAATGTGCTTGTTGTGTGAGGCAGTTTATTTTGAAAACTAGGAAGATATAAGCAAAAAGTTATGAATGTATGTCTCTGTGTCAGCAAAAATAGCCTGAACAAAGTAGTTCCAAAGCATACATATTTAGATTATGCTGATATTTATTACAATGCCTGCTAAACTGTACTTGAGATCATACTAAAGTATAGTCTACAAAAGCTACCTTTAACAGTTTTAGTAGGCTAGAATTAGTTTTAGCATGTCAGCAGAAACACATCAGGCAGAGGCAGTTTTGCTAGGAGGTAACTACATGTGTGTATTTGAGAGAGAGGCTAAGGGCTCACATAGACAAGGGAAACTACGTACTAGAATATCTTCTCTAATAAAACTTTAAAAGATCAAATATGAAGACATGCAATCTTGGTTCAAGCAAGCCCACTTGTATAAGGTCATGATACATCTCTTGTGCACAATATTTTGTCAAGCACTGGTGGAATAAGTAGTAAGATATTTTACTTAAAAAAGTAAAAGTAGCAATACCACAGTTTAGAAACACTTTTTATGTGTAAAAGCATTAAGTAACTATCACCTGTAGGCACCTGAGCATAAGAGCAAGAAGAGCAAATGCACCCCCAGTATTCAAATAGAGGGGGGCAAAGTTATGGTTTTGCTACCCCACTTTTTTTTTCTTTAAAAATTAACAGCATTATACAGAGTCTGCAACCAGGTGATTTTATTTAAGCAGCTCATATCAGTAATATTTTTTGCTATTTTTTAGCAACTGACCAAAAACAAGTAGGCCGAATAAAAAATATTCAATTTTCGGACCACCCTGATCGCTGATCACACAGCTAATTAATCGATCGGCGCAGACTGACAGTGCAGTGCAGTGCAGTGAGAGACACAGACAAACGTGGGGCTTTTCCTCACAGCGTCAAAGTGTCTGAATTAACAGTCAAATGCTCAGCAGTGGAAAGTGACTTATTTAGACTTCCACAGACCACTTTGTTCAAGTTTCAGTTTTAGTCAGGCTTCACCTGGAATTATTCATAAATAGGAGAAGCATGGCTCTATGTCTCTTCTTTTGTCTGGCCGATCTGCATTGTCCTTTCATTATTATTATTATTATTAACAGGGGTGGATTTAGTGATCTGTGGGTGTGGGGCCCCAGACAAACTATTTTCACCCTTTTTCTAACTGAGAGTGTAAGCTATTGACAGCTACAGAAAAAGTAGACCAACTCAAAACTAAGTAAAACTACTAATAGTAAACAGTAAAAGCCAAAATTCCTGCTGTGTCAGGAGAGGTAGGTCATCATGAGCATAAACATTAAAATTCACTTCAAGGTGGAGCTTTTAATTCTTATATAATGTTGGATAGTTTAACAAATAATAATGCATCATTCTGTAAATGAAAATCTGAATCTGCAACATAACCAGTAACATTTATCTGTCAAGTAAATGTAGTGGTAGGATGTTTTTTTAACGGAGCTTTGGGGACCTTTTGTAAGATATTCTGGGGTAAAATGCATTAAAAAAGTAATATAATTAAGTATTTTCATACCTAAACATCACAATATATCTGTAACTGTTTGGGCCCTTTAGTTAGGGGCATAATGATAAATTCCACTTCTGATTATTATGATTATTTTCACATTTTCTCTTTAAATGTTATTACCCTCGATCTAACTAATCTAGACTAGTGCAGGTAGTGTAGAAAAGCAGGAAATTTCTTTTTTTTCCTAGGGGAACATCCCTTACCAATTATGTATTTTTCCATGTTTGCTGTCTCATTTTAAAACCAGGCAACTATGACAACCTACACTAAAGAAAACCCTATTAAACTAAAGTACAGTTAACTGTTAATTGTTCTTAAGTACAACACTTGAGTATATGTTATTAATAACTTTTCACTTCAGTCTAATGCACAATAATACATGCCACACTGAGAGTTCACTGTGGTTGGGAAGTGAAAAACTAACAAGCTAGCATGTCAAGACCAATCCAGTGCTGTCAGCCCTGTAGGCAGCAGCTGTAGTCCCTCCCCGGGCCAGAGTGAGAGCACAGGGAGCCTGGGCTGCTAAATGCTCCAGCCTCAAAGGGACGATGGTGGAGGGCTGGTAAAGATGGCGGCGCTCTCCGAGGATGGGAGGTACGGATTAAATTGTGGCCAACAGAGCGCAGATAGAGTCACCGTATTGCACGTCAAATTGACCGAGACAGCGCTGAGAGCAATAGAGAGCCACCAAAATTGTAAGGTGAGTGAAACGGGCTTTTATTTCACTATAAAAAAGAGCCAGGACTGTCGGGCTGACACAGCTTGTCTCAGCTGGGAAGCCCAACTGCCACGCACAGCTAAAGCTACAAAGTTAGCTAAGCTGTTGACAGAGCGACTTTCTGCTCGTTTTTTGACTTTATTAGTCTTGTGTCATTAAATTAACCAACTGAAGACGATAGACGAGGCTTTGGCCTTACGCTCTGGTCAGGTTTTAATAAATGACAAATGTTATTTTACGTAGAAAACCTGTTGGCAAAGTTAGACACTCTGATTAGCCAGCCTTAGCTCTAGCTAGGTTAGTATGAATCCCCTGTGCTGTGTTGGCCAGCCAAGTCCATTTTTTTCCTTGCCAAACTAACGTTACTTTGACCAAATTAGGAAAGTAGTCATTTCATATTGACTAACACATTCGTCACCAGACAAGTTTCATAAACTGTGAGTTTAACGTAAAAGCTTAACTTAGTTAACTAACTTAGTTTCATTCGATGAGGTTGTAGCGTTATTTGCGTCAGTGGCAGGGTGGAAATATAGAGATAAATTATGGCTAACGTGAGTGTAACTTGATAATAAGTTAGTGGCGTTTCAAGCGTGTCAGTGACTGGTCAGCTTACCATATGGTTACAAGTTTTAGCTAGTTGGAGAACGTCACAGCAGAGCTAGCAGGGGTTTGAAGCTCACAGTCAGGCTCATCCCTTTACAGACATTTAACTATTAATTTAATCATGAAGTGCTGCATTCAGGGGAGCTACCACACTGGAGCTACAGGATGTTTAATGCTAACTACACTATGAGCAAGTGCCTTAAAGGTATACATTGAATAAATATTTAATTTAGGTTTGTTTGCAAAATTGTTGAATTTTTTTGCACACTCCCATGTACCTCAAGCTGCATGAGAGGAGTTGGCCAGCATTTATAATATATGGTATCTGATCACAAAAAACCTATCTTTGAAGAGATAATAAGAGAATAGCTTTTGCTGTCAGTGTCATTTTTTTCTAAATACATTACTGTAATTATGTATTTTCTAGCTCTCAACTTACTACCCTATTGAATGTACTGCATATTACCCCAGAGCTTGACACCACCAGCCATTGCAAGGCTTTTGAAACTGAGTTTGCTAATAGTCACTGCATACCTGCGCAGATTAAATATAACTTGTTAATCTTGAACTGTACAAATGGTGTAATCTTGTTGAGGTGCCACACAGGTGAACTATTCTGGACGCATGCAGTCTTGGGTTGCGGAGGCCTGAAGCCAAGTTACCTGACCTTAAATCTGCCAACAACAACGCTGTTACATAACACACTGGCTGGGCCTAGGTCTCTGCTCAGGACTGATGCAGCTTAGCATGGGGCTGTAGTGTTCAGAGGTCTCTGTGACTGCTCTTTATGGCACATGGTTTGTGTCTGTATGTATGCCACATATGCAACCTTTGTTTACTGTCAGCCCAGTATGATGAATTTAATTGTGGATCAATAGCATGATTTAAAATGATCCTTTAATTAGTTTCTGACAACTGGCAAAGCGAGTCATCACTAAATTGAAGGAATTCTTTTGTGACAGCCCATGCTACAACCTTATTGGATGTGGTAATGTTGGTCTGTACGCTGCATTGAACGGCAGCCTGCCATCTCTTGCTGACTGAGCAGCCAAAACTGCCTGCTTTTTGTTTCTCTCTCCCTCTCAGTAATGTGTGTTGTAGCTCAACCAGTCATCGAACTATGGAAGCTGGCTATCTTTGTCTTTCTGTGGTGATGTGAAATGTGATCAGAACTCTGTGTGTGTGTGTGTGTGTGTGTGTGTGTGTGTGTGTGTGTGTGTGTGTGTGGACTCGTTGGTGTGAGTGAGTGTATGGAGAGTGGGGGGAGGGAGTCAGTCAGTGGCTTGGAGTAGCTTAACTCTAACAACCATGACATGGTTCTTTCAGTCTGAAAAAAGTACACATTTTATCCAAGATGATCTGCATCTTGTTCCATGTATGAGTCAGCAATCATATTATGTCCAAGAATGCAGGGAAGCTGTTGTTAATAAAATGCACATTCCACTCAAACCAGTTGATGTTCTGATATAGCCAGCTGGTTCCTTAGCCTCAGCCGTGTGAAAAAGACAGGTCCTGTGCTTTCCCATCCTAACCTGTGCTGCACTAGAGCAGCCACTGCATATTTGTGGCTGTCATCTCCATTTCAAGTAGCCACCAACACAAACCTGCAAACCTACACAAAACAAAGACATTCCAGAAATATCTTATTGAAAATATTTGCTGGATTTGAGTGTTGTCCAGGTTCTACTGCTTGGGTTCAGATGAAACCAAATAATTTTACTTACCACCTACCTCTTAACCACTTAAAAGAAGATATGGATTCTTTCTGTAGATTTAAACTTTAAAGCTCTGAGACACCAAGTCGAATGTTGGCTGCCAGTGGACTGCCATCAAGTATTTGCGGCTGACAGTCGTCCATTGTTTCTGTGGCGTGTGCCAAACTGCTAGTGCCAGATGATCAACAGAAAAAAGCCCTGAAACTATTTTGATAATTGACTAATCGTTTAAGCAAAAATGCCTAACATTCCTCAGCTTAAGCTTTTTAAATGTGAGGTGTTGCTGCTTTTTTTGTTTTATGTGATTGTAAACGGAATATATTTAGGTTTTAGACTAGTTGTCAGACATAACAAGCAATTCGAGCTTGGACTTAGAAAAATTGTCATGATCAACATTTTTAAACTATATTTACTGTTATTTTCTGACATTTTATTGGCCAAAAAAGTAATCCATTAATTGATGAAATTATCTGCAGATTAATCAATGATTACAATAACCATTAGCTGCAGTCCTGCTTCAGACTTATTCTCTATTCATACTGTTGGCATAGCACAACGCTGCTAATGCATTCACAGTCGCATGAAAATGAGAGAGATTGTCTTGCTGCAATGCTGGCTCTTCAGGTTTTCTCCTTTGCATTATGAATACAGATCACTCCCAAGTTATTTTTCTCTCACACGGCCACACAGAAGACATGTGCATGTCAGTCGTTACTTAGCTGTTGACTGCACTCTCTACACCATGTTTAAGTGCAGCATTTAATAGAAGATATATTGTCAGTGTTAGGTTTGAAGTATGCTTGGTTTGACAGGACCCCAAGGCTCTGCTGTCTCTTCTAGCAAATATCCGCTGCTCTGTAGTGTCAGTCAAATAGTGTGGCATATTCTGCAGGTTCTATACCAGTATTTTGTCAGTGTAGCAGCTCTTTGTTATTGACCCAACTGGTATTGCCCTCCCAATAATGCTTCACATTTCCATATGGTTGGTAGTGGATAAACTGATGTCTCTCTTCCCTTTCAGAATGTACCTTCTTTGCAGCCAACGATACAATTCAAGGGACTCCAAGGGGTAAGTACTTTTTTCCCCCTTGACATAGGGGTCAGATGAGTCATCACAAATTGTAAATTCACAATGTGAGAAACCTTAGTTTTGTCTAGGTTGTTAGCAGCAAGTTTAATTTTGCAGCTTTTAATGACAAGTTATTTATATAGTAATTTACCAAAGGGGCTGTTTGCGACGTTCAGAACATATGAGTTATGAGCCTGGGGTTCTCAACAGAGTGGTGGCTAAACTGGCGGCTAGCAGCTAACAGTGCTTAACAACGGCAACAGTGCTAACAGATGTAACAGTGTTAACCGGGGGGAACCAGAGGATGGGCATCACTCTTTTACAACAACACCATCTAGATATCAGTGGTAACTGTCATATGAGTGCAGTGCAAAGCGGTGACAGTGAGTTAGCTATACACACATGCAATAACATGCACACTGGCTGGACCAGTTTACCACAACAAAATATAGAGAAGCTTCAAATCCAGCACTTGTGGAGGTAGTGTTACTTTATTCTCTGCTCAGGATGTTGTTATTCTACTATATCTTTACATAGCAAGTAGTGTTTTTCTGCTATACTAATGCTCTGAATGTCACATACAGAACCTTTTAATACATTCATTTACTGTTTTTGCTTGCATGTGCTGGGTTGCATTCATTGAGATGGCCCCACATAAGTGTCTTAGAAGCAATAAAACCATTATTCTCTGACTTTGTCAAGTTATTCAGCTACCTAACTACTGCTTAGTATTCACTTATCTATGTCACCAGTATTGCACATTATTGGTATAATGATGATGATTATTATTAGTAGTAGTATTGTAGTAGTGCTGTACACAGCGTTTCAATGCAAATGTAGTAATCTTTTGAGCTAGTTTGATGTGGCAATTAATTTGTGGTTGTGGTTTGGTAATGTAAGCTGTATCCTCCATGCAAACAGTTTGCTGAACTGTTCAGGGAGGCACACATTTCAGACCCTTCAGAAGTCTTTATACTCTGTTTGCACTGCTTATAGTCAATGATGCACATGACTCACATACGGCCCCCCCTTAGCTGTGGAGACTTCAGAGTGCTTCCTGTCTCATGTGAACTCCTATGTTCAAGCATCAAACCCCATAGCTCAGATTTAGACCCTGCCTTTGTACAATATGAGCATACACACACTTTAATTGTAAGGTGAAAAGCCAGGCAAGATTTGAAAGTGGCTTGGCATGTGGCAGTTTTATTGTGATACATTAACCACATGTATCAGGCTGTCCATTCCACCTCAATGAATTATCTCAGATACTTGGATGTGAATGGATATTATTAGTAAAATTGTTATTATAACTTTATTTATACAACAATTTTTCAAAGATGTCACAAAATGCTTCACAACAAGAACAAAATAGTAGGTAAAAGACAAAACAAGGGGTGTGAGCCTGGAGCAGTACTTTGGACCACTTGTAGGCAATTTAGGCTTATGTTGTGTTGTAGGAGAGATACTATAACTTGTGTTATTTTCCCTTTCTGTGTGAATTTTTTACAGCGCATTAAAATTCCCAAGAATAATTCATCCTCAGACACCTTCCACAATTTTGATTTCTACCTGTCTAATGTGGGCAAGGACAACCCTCAGGGAAGCTTTGAGTGCATCCATCAGTATGTGTCGAGGTAATGATAATCACTGGTCAGCCGAATCAACTGCTGCTGTCTTACCACACATTGCTAGAAGGTAATCCCTCTCTGCCTCACCTTTCTCTCTCATACTCCCTCTTTGTCTCCAGCTCAGGGGCCTCACACCTGGCATTGTTGGCGACTGTACAGGACAAGGTCACAGTGTGCGCCACTAATGACTCCTACCAGGTGACCCGGGAACGCATGACCCAGGCCGCAGAGGACACACGTGAACGCGGGACCAAAGTCATCAAGCCTGGGGGCCAGTACAGAGGTAAGGCCCTCACTACAGTCTCATGTCTGCACATGCCAGATGCCAGGTTGGATCCTGGACACCAGCATGGCTCTATGTCCTGTCCACACCTCTCTTCTCTTTTCAAACTTTGCCCCTTTTGAGGGATTGAATAGGTGAAAGCTAACTGCCGGGCTCCATTCAAAGCCATTATTGCAACTGACTAAGCCATTATGCCGTCTCAGTCTTTTCCAGATTAGCAGTCTGACCAATAAGGGCCAAAGGTTGCAGGTGAAGCTATTTCTGTGTTATTGACACACAGCCTGCCAAAATTATACTGAAAGTGTACAACACAGCCGCTAACGTGCTGCCTGTGTTTGACTTTTTATGTTTCCCTTACACTTGTTGAACATTAACTGTCAACTGTGCCACCCAGTGCCTGATTTTGAGTTTTATAAGCTGAACAGAAAAAGTAATCTTTTATAATTTAATTTGGCCTGTCACTTTCTCCAGTCTTATTCATATGTCTTATCCAACTCAGAGCAAGTAGGGCAAGAGATCTACAACCAAACAACTTGCTGATATAACGCCTTGTGCTAAATTCGTTTTTCTCCCCTGCCTTATTCTCAGCATTCCTATATTTAGTCTTAGCAGAAACTTGTTGTACAAACTCCAAATTACAAAACAAATACAGGCTCAAAGCGCAGACAAACTTAACACCAACTGCCAGAAAGGAAAGAAAAGCCCATGCATTGACGAGGTGCATACACCTGCTCACAATGACTGCTAACCATGCCTTTTCAGTTTCAGACCACTTTTATATGATGAAAATGAAAAAAATATGCATTACGGTAAAGGAAACCACAAAGAAAGAGTAGCTTCACTCAGTCTCTTATCATGTGGAAATGGTTTGGCTATCTAAGGTCAAACGATCCACAGTGAATGCAGCACATTGTGACGGTCTGAGTCAATCCCTACTAGGGATGCATTTATTATATTATAAGCAATAGGTTACTGTGAATTAAAACTAATAGGAATGGGCACCGATTAAAATGGAGGTACTGTCAGTTCTTCTCCAGACTCATGGCTTTAAAAAACATGTTTTTACCCACATGCAAAACGCATTAAACAAAAATATGTCCCACTTTTTTTTTGTTTCTCTCCGCTGGCTAGTCTGGAAACAATACCAAATCCAATGATTTTGCTTACATGTTTTATCGTTATTTTTTAAAAAGTCTAGCAGTCAAGCAGTGGTAGCCTAAATGTAATTATTATTTGTGTAAAAATTTTGGAACTGATCAAGAAACACTGTAAAACTGTAGTTCCTCAGGCATATTTCCTGTCCCCCGAGAAGTCCCCACTCCTGAGGTGGTATGTTTCTGTTGGTCAGGAACTGTCACAGTTGAGTCTTGAATGTTCCCAGCTGGTCACACAGAAACCTCGGGGCTGAGCTTTCTATTTACTCACATGCAAACAAGCGTTGGTTGTCTCCAGTGTCAATATTACAACTGGGAACTAACAATTATTTCATTGTTAACTTTAATTACTGTTGATGTTTAAATGATAGCAGCCAACATCCTGGCTATTGTTTAACAAATGAAAAACCTCATAATGATAAGGAGAGAAAACATGAACGAGAAACTGCAAGTAAGAGACATGAAACTGAAATTTAACTTTATTTGGATATGTACTTAAGAAGAACAAATTCTCAGCAGATCCTCCCTGTTTTGGATACAGGTGACAGGTGTCTCCATTTATGGTCCTTTCACGTCTTATTTGATATTGTTAATGTAATTAATTATTAGTAAATATAACATTTAGGCATTATTTTTAAGATTTATTTCCCAAACAAACTAACAATAGGGAATTAAAAGTCAAAATATCATGTAGATTATTTCCTTTTCTTTTCATTTATCTACCATAGAACTTCTTGATGCTCTTCTCACTGCTCTATTGCAATTTATTTTCGTAATTGCTGTGGTGGTTGGTCGTTGTCATCAAATAGGTAGGTGTGTCCTAAAAACAGGTACTTGGGCTCGGGCAGCCATTTTTCAGTGTCAGAACTAGTAGTTTAAGGCCTTGGTCAAAGATATAATTGTTTAAACCAGAATCAAAAGTCTTGCTGAGTGCACACACTTTCTAGTGAGTTACAGCCTCCTCAGGCCTGTTTTTCTGGGCCCTAAATTTGCATTCACTGGCCCAGACAGAAACTGGGAAACGAGAGGAGCTTGTAGCAGCTGGTTTAGAGTGAGCACCCTATTTACTAATGCAAAAGGGGCCTTTAGCTTCTGGTTTTCACAGGCTGTTAATTTCAGGTAGCAGTGTGTAACTTGTATTTTATCTTGGTCTGTACCCTCTGTCTTTTAATGAGAGCTGTGTAAGCCATGTTATTTGAAATCAGTGGCGTTTAATATTCTGTGTTACTATACTCCTGTTCTCTACAAATTCTCTAAGCACAGAATGATTATTTCCAAAGGAGGAAGCTTTGTTACATTAGCATTTCATCTGTAGCAATTTGTCATTAGACAACACTAAGTGTAAAAGCTCACACCGCCTCACATTGCTGCTAGTCTCTGCTTTTTGACGGTGAGGGAGGGGGGATCCTTTTTTGTTCATCTCTTTAACCTTAATCTCTTAAAGAGCTTTAGAATTTCATAATGTCCATGAAGCAGTGTAGGGGAATGAGCAGACACCCTGACTAAGCACATGGCTCAGCAACTCAAAGCATAGGTGTGTTAAGTTTTAATCACCCGGACTTGTGTTGGGCAGTCTGCAAGTGACTGACTCTCTAATGGTAATTGGCTTTAACAGAAGCACAACTTGGACCTCCTTGCTTCAAAAACTGAAAAAAGTAATTGTTATTGGCACCACAAACGCAGCCAGTGTATGCCCGAAATCACACATGAGGAATTACTCATAGTTTCATCTAAGCTAACCTTCAGAGCCTGTTTAATTTGGCCATTTCAACCTCCTCAGTCTATCAAATATTCCTGTATCTTTCATTCCCTCACTTTAAAATGAAACAGTCCTGCCTTATTGGCTTCTTCAAATATGCAATATTTGTGGCCATTGTAAAGTAAAGGAAAATTTCTCACTTTAAGGTTAGTGCCACAGAGTTAATGGGCAGAATCAAACTCCACATGTCCTGAAGCTCCTCTTATTATTGGAATGGATGGGTGATGATGTTTGTAGGTACACATGAGACCTTCAGTATGTGAGTTGAAGAAGGTAGTCATGGCTGTTGGTGAGCAAATATGTGATAGCATCAAAATGTATGATGATAAACTTCCCTTCAGCAAAGAAGAGGCCTTTATCATTGTCTCTACCTTCTGTCTCTAGGAAAGCAAGTCCATATACGTAAGCCGGCGCTATCAGCCCCAGATGTGGTCCCTGAGCGCAAGCGCTCCACACCCATCAACCCAGCCAACACTATTCGTAAGTGCCTTTCCAATAATCCCGTGTCTCAGCGGCCGTTCCGGGACCGCATCATCCACCTCCTGGCGCTGAGGTCCTACAAGAAGCTCGAAGTGCTTGCCCGTTTGCAGCGGGACGGCATCAACCAGAAGGACCGAAACTTACTGGGGACCACCCTGCAACAGGTATGTGTAAAGTGTTTGTTTTTTAAATAACTTGATATGCCTTTTCAGTGAGCAAATTAAAATGGAAGTGGCCCAGTTATTAGTATTTATACCCCCTCCATTAAAAAAAAAATCAGCAGTAATAACTTCTTATGTTTTTACAAAGGCTGATATTTATCAAATGTAAGATTTGATCCAAAAGATCCCCTAAGGCCCTGATCAGACAGAGTGCGTTTTACTGGTTGCAAAACGTGAGGAGCACTGCACTGCCTTTTTTGTTGAAGCCTGCCCCAGTCAGACAGAGCGCTTCTCCGTCTTTTTTTTTTTTTTTTTATTGTTGCTAGGTAACCACAGAATCACTTACTTAACTCGTATTTTACTGTGAAGAAAACTTACAGATTTGTACCTTAAAAAAATGCAAAAAGGGCACATGAGGACTGAACACAGGGAAACGGAGTACCCTGTGGGCACATAAGACCCTCAGAAAGAGGAGAAATCACTGGGAGTACCACCAGCTTGTCCAGGAGCCTTGCCTTAGTAATGGCTGGTTTTAGGCTTATTTTAGGATGATTTTGAGACAGTTTGACAGTCTGTCAAATGTCGTGAGTTGAGACTACAGTTTGCTCAGGTATGTCTTGCAGCATGCCTGGGGCAACAATGAAGGTGAGCTAACATTCCCTTAACACAAACCATGTAGCTGAAGGCTTGCCTCTCAATTCATCGGATTGGACAGTGGGGTAAAACGCCAGTGACGCCAGACAGTGCACGCACTTTTCCACTCTAAATTGATTTTTTTTTTTTTTTTCTCTCAACTAGAGGCATTCAGGGCACTTATGCAAAAACATGAGGTGCATAGAGTTGATAAGGATGAGGCGCTCAGCAGTGTAAAAACAGATAGAAAAATGCCTCTTTACATTGAAAACAACTATAAAAAGCCTCCAAATGTTGCTAAAATGTGCTCTAACTGATCAGGGCCTTACCCTTCGTAAACATGAAATCAAGGTACACAGATTTGCCTGAGGAAATCCAGCTCACAGAATAAAGGCTTCATTCCCTTTGACATGAGACGAGCTACCTAAACATTAAATGTTATTTGCATACACAGATGTTTGGCCAGCACAGGAAATGCGAAGTTTCTGTTCATGTATAGTTCTCATGCCGTCAGTCTAACTTATCAACTGTCTGTGTGTGTCTGTGTGTGTCTGTGTGTGTCTGTGTGTCTGTGTGCGTGTGTACAAACCAGGTGGCCAACCTGAACCCCAAAGACAACACATACTCACTGAAGGACTTTATTTATCGTGATGTCCAGAGAGACTGGCCTGGCTACTCTGAAGATGAGAAGACCCAGGTTGAGCGGATCCTGGCTCGGTACAGAAATGGCCTATAAAGCTTTTTAATTTAACTCTGAGCTTTAATACATACTTGAACTAATAAAGCATTTATGTTTTATGGTGTGTAACTAAGTACTAGTTTAAAGTGGTAGCCTGCCCCTTGAGGATTTAAGGTGAGGTTAATTGAACAATCACTGTACTGTGTGAAGGACAAAAGGGCCAACTTGTGTTGGTAACCATGGATCCCCATGTTTGTTTTAGATTTTTAAATGAATTAATAGTTTTCCCAGAGTGGTATGTTTGGAAAAACATGCCGTCATTGGAGCATAGTGTAACTGACATGAATTCACCACAGCTGTGACCACAGCTGTTGTTCCCTGTAAAAGGACAGCACTAGCAACCCCTGCAACCTTTCAGTCCTTCAGGGGGTGATTACTTAATGATAATGTTAAAGGAATCATTCAGCATTTTGAATTCTATTACATGTAATACACATGTAGATTTTATTTTCACAGTTATAAATTAAAAAGATACGACAAATTCCTTATGTTAGATATGAGATGGGTTTGGGGGAAAATAACACACAACTATACAGATTAATGCAATCATGTTGTTAGGCATTCATGTTATACAGTCTACCCTATAAACTGAAAAGACAAAATAGGTATAGGACAATATGTGAGATTAGCACTGTAAGAGCAGTCAGAAGGTTTTAAAAGATTTTGTGATAATAAATTCTTAAACATTCAAAAGTTATGTTTACATTTAGCGTTACTCGCCAACTCACAATTTGTGCGTCCTTGAGGCCTGACAAACATGTTGAATATATTTCCTCACTCATTAAACTACTGCAATGCAGATTCTAAATCATTTTTATTCCTGCAATATTTACAAACATACAGTATGTGCTATCTTGCACACTTCTTCTTCTCCTTTGTTGGCACATGTCAAGCTGCAGCAGCTGTCACTTGAAGCCTAGAAACACCAAACCGACATCCATTAACTAGTGGTCACGAAAGCCAACTGTTGCTTCATCTGCGTAATAACTAAAAAGTTGGTAGTCTATATTCTTTATTCAAAAAGCAAAACCGGAAGACTGACATGACAAATTCAAGACGCTAGTTAGCCAGTTAGCATTTTAACAACACAACCTGATGTTGAAAGAGTAAATGATTTACCATGTGCCAGCAAACAGTAACACAAACAATCACAAACTGTTTCTGTTAGAGAGCCCAGTGGCTAAAAAAAGTAATCTTACCTATTATGACAAGTTAGTTTTGATCTCATACCCTCTTAACTTTAGTAGTGTGTTTGCTTTCCTCACTTCCGTCTGCTAATCAGTGATTTCATTCACTGATGGGCTCCGCCGGGTCTGTGACCGATTCAACGTGCTGAATTGGCTGAAAAACAGCCAACAAAAGCTGACTAGCGCCAACAGTGTAGGATGCATCGAAAGATCTAGGGCGACACACACTCACTAATGGCGAGCAATGGCTTGGTGTGTCGGGACCCTTTGTAGAAAAATATAGATGGCCGTAAAAAATAATAACTTCCTGTGTAATACATGAGCTGTGAGTTTCAAAAAAAGGACACAAGTGTTTTAATATAAGTGTGATTACTTCAGTAGGTCTTAGTGGAATGATTGTTGAGTGCTGGACTCTGATGTGCCCTTTGTTTTCTGTCACACCATTCTCCTCTGACACCACTCTTTCTTCTTATTAACAGCAAATTAGGTCTTCCTACTGAGACCCTCTCATCAAGCAGTCCTCCCAAAGAGAGTGTCCCCACATCCCCCCAGGTATCTGAGCAAAAACACACCTACACACACCACCACAGTGATGTTTGCAAGTTTTCAGCTAAATTCTGGGTGTTGTCTTGCAGAAGCGCCAGCCAGACTTTGACTTCATCGATCCTTTGGCGCCCAAGAAAGCCCGCATCTCCCACCTCAGCAATCGGGGGCCAGCAACGTCTTCATCCTCCTCCTCTGACCGCCACGAGGACGAGGGCAGCCCCAGCTCTAAACGCTCGTCCCTACCCTCCAACGTCACCTCAGGCCCTCCCAGCCATCTCCCCATCTCGTCCCACCCTCCTGCACCCTCTCACCAGCAGCCCAGCCCAGCCTCCAACTCCAACTCACCCAGCACGCCAGAGGGCTGTGGCACGCAGGACCTTCCCATGGACCAGAGTTCTTCCTGCAGGGACCCTTCACCCAGCCCCTTCTCCTCGGATAGGTCCCTGCAGGACCGCTATCAGCACCCTGTCCCCGTCCCCAGGCCAGCTGCCTCCCCCATCCCTCCTCCCCCTCCTTGCACCTCACTCACAGTTACCTCCACTGTCATCACCAGCCCTCCCTTGTCCAGCAGTACCAACAAGAAGTCGAAAAAGAAATCCAAGAAGCACAAAGATAAGGATCGAGAGAGGGAGAAAGGGAAACAGACGGAAAAAGGTAGCAAAAGCCCTCCCAGTGTAGCAGTGCAGGCTGAAGAGACTCGTAGAGCCAAAAAGAAGCGCAGTGTTGAGGAAGACAACAGTGAAGTTATCGTCAAGAATCCTCACAAAGACCAAGGTGCGTTCTGTCTTAATTATTAATAATCTGCATCACTGAACCACGGTTCAATACTTAAATGACTGTACCAGTTGTTGTAACAGTCACACCAGTACCTCTCAAATTACTGTCAAATATTTTCCAGTTTGCACATCACTTTTTTTAGTATTCCAGTATCTGTTTTCTACAGTCTTCGGTGCAACTTTGTTCTCATTCATTTCACTCATGACAAGGTTTAGTTAGTCTAATACGTCGTCAGTGTGTGGTAATTTAAGTTGAGGGGACATCTTTAAAGGTGTTAATCACATTCTTTTATAACACTGAATTGAATTTAAGTACATGTGATGGAAAGGGGGTTGTCTATTATGTCAAACCCACAGAGACTTAACAGCACGTCTGGTTAGCATTTCAGCGTAGTCGACACGTTTCTATAGCAGCAGACAACTGTTATTAGCAAACAGGCTTTGATAAACAGACTGTACGCCATTTAGCTGATAAAGAGATATTTTCTGCTTAATGAATATTGAACTCACATTTCTTCAAAAGGCCTATTTAACAGAAGATATTTTAACATGTAACAATAGGAAAAGCACGGGCGTAAATAATGAAATGAAAAATTACTGCTGTGACAGTCTCAGAGTCCTGGTATTGTACACTTTGGCTCATTGTCTCACTGTAATGGCTCACTAGGACACTTAAATAGAACAGGTCATGACAAGTTAAAATGTCTGTTGTTAAAATGGTTTATGAGATAATATTAGTCTGACTGCTAGATGCTGGTAATGGTTTGCAAAAATGTTAGCCACAAAAAATAATAGTTCCTCTTGGACCCAGTGTCCATAAATGAATTTAACTTAGCTGTAATGTTGTCAAGAAAAGTCTTATAGAAGTGCTTCCTTTACCTGTCGTGAAAAAATGGAACTAAGATGTTGCATAACAAGGAAACCTTTGTATGTTTAAAAACCAAACATAGGTGGTGTGGATTTTGCTCCTCGCATTTTAAAGCTTTTTTTTTCCTGATGATTTGGACACAAATTCCTGTCTTTTATGTGACAATGCCTGAACACAGCACAGGCTCGCTCCACTGTGGGTACAGTGCCGTGCTGCGCTGCTGTGTGAGCAGCGTGTTTGACTCTGCTCAGTGAGTTGATGGTCATTTACACATTATCCATAACAATAACTATGTCAGGTCAGGTCAGTGCCCCCCTAATATAATGTAGGGGAAACACTGAATCAAGCAAGAAGACTCATGATACCATTTATGTATTATATTGTAATTGCGATCGCAAATCGCAAATGTGTTTGTGTGTTTGTGGACTAACTCATTCAAGCAGCATTGACGAGTCTTGTGACTGACATGCCTCCTCAGTCCAGGTTTCCAGCCAGTTTATCTTTCAGACTTTGGATTGTTGCTCACCATGTTTCGAATGTTTATCTCTGTTTATGTCTGTTCCAGCCCACCCAACCACATACAGTTTGATCTTTGATTACACTGACACACTCAATGTTGTCTGAACATGCTGAGGCATTGATCCGAGCTCCTCTTTACTCTGTGGTCTTTAGTCCTGCTTTATCTGATATTGTAAATGTTGTGGTTGTAGTTTGAGAGTCTTTCTTTCTCTTTCAAGGATATGCTGTTGCTGTGTTTAATAACTGCTAATAAGCCAGAAGCTCTTGTTTTATGTATTTTCAGTACAGATGTATAGTTCATACATTGTTTTGAATTGCTGTTTTTTTGTTTTGTTTGTTTTTAAATTGTTTTGTTTTTATAGTGCAGCTAAATACAGTAGCCCATCCTTAGTAATAATTTGGTGTGTTTTGTATTATAAATGCAGAATTTACATTTCTACCCTCTCGTCCTTCTCCTCAGACTCTTCAGATAAAGAGAAGCCAGTCCAGTCCACTGAATTCTCCTCCACCATTGAGATGCCGGACTATGTAGTGTGAGTTACGTTGAATTACCTTGAAGCTCCTGTTTTTGCAGAGCGTGACCCTCTTTACCTTCAAGGTCTCTCATTTCATAATTTGAAACATTTGACTAAACAGGATGTTGAAAACAGACACAAGCTTGAGAATTAGGACATGGGAAATGCTGCAGTAAACACAGATGTGTTTCATTTGTGCATTGTGGCGTTTTTCTGTCTTTGCTGTGCTAGAACTGTTTTGCTCTTTCTATGTCATTGGTAATGAGTGCAGGGAGCACGTTAGCTATTGCTCAAATAGAGAGGCTCAACAGCTGGTAAACAGGATTCCCACCATTCTTTAAAGATCATGACCTTTAACGAGGTGTATTCAAAACAAAGAAAGTTAGGGCAAAGTTTGTTCATGATGGAGTGCTGGTTTAATCTTTAACATGACAAAACATAATTTTTTATCAGTTTTACGTGTGTAACCACTTTCAAAAGAATAATTGAGTTAAATTTACTTTCCTGTGGCTACAGGAAGTACATGCCGTTGTTGTCTGTGGACCAGCGACAAAACTACAAGGATGACTTCAATGCAGAGTATGATGAGTATCGCCTGCTACACGCCCGCGTGGAGAGCATCACCCGCCGCTTTACCCAGCTGGATTCCCAGTGTCGGAAACTGGCACCAGGCACCAAAGAATACCAGGTCATATCAGCTGGCATAAATACACTGTACCTATGTTCATGTTGCCTTTTTCACCTGCTCGTTTCTCCTAAAGCCAATTACTGTATAATCCTGACGGAGCATTTGGGGTGGATCATTTTTATGAACTCTTAAAAAAAGAGGTCCTGGTTAAAGTTATCGTATTCGTTTCAGACTGTGAACAGACCAGAATCATACAAGGATTACAGAGATAGTATTACTGAGTCCTTATAGTGGTGTTCCTATTTTTTGTCCATTTCTTGTATATAGCAGTTAATACAAAGTACAGACATGTAGAAAAGTGCACACAGTTGAGTACTGATCTCCGCTGGGTGTGTCTGTGGGTGGGGAGCAAGGCGTGTTGTGCAGGCTGTGTGTTAAGCCTGTACGCAAAGCAGTAGTGGAAAGATGCGTAGAATGCTGTGTAACCGAGCGTCTTGGAATAACCTAACTGTCAAAATTTAAGGCTCTGTAAATGACATTCAGAACATTAATATAGCAGCAAACTATTTACTCTGTAAAGATATGGTGGAGTAATGGTGTCCTGAGCAGAGAGTCAAGTCAGGCTTGTTTCTAGCCTAGCCATTTGTAGGAAATGCCTTATGTATAAATAAAACAGGTTTTTCAACAACTGTGAATCACTGCAGCGACGAGAGGTCCCTGAGCACAGAGTCATAACTCTGCACCAAAAACATGAGGCTAATTGGTCCATTAATATGCCAGATTAGCACAACTGCACATATGATTTCCTGGAGGCTTACGCCTGTTTGAGGCTTAATACTATTAATAATGATTAGAGAATTACCTACTAATACACAGGAGGCAGGGAGTGATGCATTTTTATTCATATTTTAAGGTTTATAATTAACAGAAATCATAATTATATAATTTGATATTTGGAAATTTTGTTGATTTTCATTAAAATGTTTTTTATTTTTTTCCCCACAGAAGGTGCAAGAAGAAGTCTTGAAAGAGTACAAAAAGATGAAACAAGTGAGTAGTTTTGTAGACGTTAGTCTGATAAGGATACTTTTTCTATAGACCACTGAAACATTATTAAGTATGTTAACTGTTGGGTTTTGTTATGCCTCTGTGTCAGTGATAGCCGTGGCAGGAGGCACTATGTCTGTCCATCCCATCCACTTGAACTCAATGATGAACTAATTAGATTTCGGTGGTCAAAGGTCAAGTCTATGTGACCTCACCTCTCGTTATGTGAACGTGATATCTCAACAATGCCTTAAGGGAATTTCTCCAAATGTGGCACAAACGTTCACTCGCACTCAGCAATGAACTGATAGGATCTCAGAGGTTAAAGGTCAAGGTCATTGTGACCTTGCATCTGTCTCATTCTTGTGAACACGATATCTAGAGAACACCTCAAGGGAATTTCTTCAAATTTGACACAAACGTCCGCTTGCACTGAAGAATAAACTGATTGGAATTTTGTGGTATAAGGTCAAGGTCAGTGTGACCTCACAAAATACGTTTTTGGCCTTAACTCAAGAATTCATAGGTTAATTATGACAAAACTTCACACAAATGTCTAATAGGATAAAATAATTAAGTGATTACATTTTATATCCAAAAGGTCAAAGGTCAACTTGACTGTGACATCACAATATTCTGCATAAAATACTTTTCATGCCATTGCCATTATTCAACGTCATATCTCAGGAACAGAAGAGGAAATATTTGGTCAGATACTGAACTGGTGACTCTTGGGTTCCCACCTTGACACTGCTGATTGTACAGATCTGCTCTGCGGTTGAGGGAACAATGAGTATGAAGCATCCATGTTTTCACAGACATGGATTTAAACTGTAGGAGAAACTTGACTGGTGTGTTGAGGCATACAACCACGGTGGGGTAATTCTAGTTTTTGGTTTTTTTTTCTCAAACACAGCAGGAGTTGCTGCGAGGGTGATAGCTGCTGTCTGATCTTATGTGTGTGTCTGTCTTACAGCACAGCCCCAACTACCACATGGAAAAACAACGCTGCGAGTACCTGCACAACAAGTTGGCCCACATCAAGCGGCTAATAGCTGATTTTGACCAGCGCAGGGCTCAGTCCTGGTGCTGAGAGCACAGCACACAACATCCTCACTGATCAGTATTGAGAAAGGAGTGTTGAACCAGGAGGGAGTGTCGAACCAGGAGGGGGTGTCCAACTGGCTGTTATTTATTAACACCCCTTCAGTTACTGCCTCCACAAGAGCCCCTCCCCCACCCCCCCCTCCTCCTTCCCTTTTCCCGTCATCCTTTTTCATTCCTTGCTTCTTTTTTCGATCTTTGATTCCACTGGCTTCATTGTTGCCTGCAACCTTGAAAATTTCACTTTGACTTTACCCCCCATCTTTTGCTTTCTCTGTTTCTTCTCAATGAGCTCCTGTGGAATTTCATACCACTGGACCAGTGGCAGGGGCTGCCTGCATGTGTGAAGGGGTTTGGGGAAAAAACTTCACCTCTTCTAACCTTTGAAGGACTTCATCTTCAGGCAAAAAAAGAACAAAAAAAGTATTTTTGAGCATCAGAAAATATTAACTTGTATTTAAGTAAAAAAAAAAAAAGAAAGAGGGAGATCTATTTATTTTGGGACTCGTAGTGCAAAGAAGAGTCCGCAGATGATATATTGTTTAACTTTTGTTGAAAACAATGCAAAAAAAAATTACCGCAGGCCTTATGTGTTTTGACTTCGTGAAGCCATTTTGCACGCAAGATCCATTATGTCGTCTCATTTAGCAAAGATGTCTCTCCTGCCTCATTTCCTCTCTGATCATAGAAACTGTACAGGATAACCTTGCTTCAACACGTTGCTGAGTTTGAGGCTGAATTGAGAGGAAATGAGACAAGCAGGAGAAATCACCTGCGCTGAATGTGAAGCAACAACAGTATGTGTGCATGGATTGTAAATTTAGTTGTAATGGCCACGTGGGGTGGTGAGGGTGGGGTAAGGAAAGGAATATGATCCCCTGTCAGTAGGGGGCAGTATTCCCTGCACCAAAAGTGTTTAGTGTTCACGGTGCATTATGGGTGCCTTAAGGTGTTTACACTCAGAAACGTCAAGTTGGGCCGACCCTTAGGGTCCACAGGCAACACAAAGGAACTATAACTGCCTGGAAACAGGTTGTGTGTGTATGTATGGGTGTGTGTGTGCATGTCGGAGTTGTTAAAGAAGGAAAGGATGTTAAGTCTGGAAGGTGTGTTACAAATCGTGTGTGTGTGTGTGTGTGTGTGTGTGTGTGTGTGTGTGTGTGTGTGTGTGTGTGTGCGCGCGCGCGCATGCATGGTTGTGCATTATGTGGAGTGACAGGTGTATAAAAATAAAAATGTGGAGAAAAAAGTGAGAAATATGAAAAACAAATAAAAAAAGCTGCTATAGTGTTTGACCAGCCAGAGCACTCAGGATCAACCTGGCTGGAGTAACAGTACCTGATCTTAATTGAAGAGAAATAGAAGATCCTTATTTTCCAGAGTGGTTCACATCTAGAGCCTGGAAAGGACTGCGCCCACCTCTTCAGCTTTATCCAGTGGCAAACAGCCTGTGTTTCTGTTTAAGAAAGAAGCAAAAAAAAAAAAAAGAAACGTCATCCACCAGAGACCAGAGGACAAATCTGTATTATGATTTCAAAATGTATTTGATTCTCAGTTTGAGTTCTGCAGAGCAGTGAAAGATTTCAGAGTAGCCTTTTTTTTTTTTTTTCTTTCAACATTGATACCGATTCGTTCAATGGATGGATGAATGGCTTCTATGAAAAAGTCTTTATTTCAACAAGGGAAAATTTGTTTACAAACTTGTGTTAGAATGTTTGCCAAAAAATTAAATACTTTTCTGGTACTGCATCCATGGAGTAAAATTTCTGATTGGGGCTTAATTTTTAGTAGAAATTAACACTGGAATATGTTTGTCCTTCAATGAAGAAAACACCGTTACATTTGGGGATGTGAAGAGGAACTGAGCCACTGTTCCCCCAGATAGATCAACAACTGAGAGGTGCTAACTCTTATCGTGGTTGACCGCTTCTCAACAGTCTGGTCTGGTTATACTCAGCTCGTGAGGACATGTAAGAGTCCATGTCCTGTATTGGGGAAAAATGTAGCCCCTATTTTTTTCCCCAACAAATGGAGATCTGAGTATATAAACATATATTTTGGTTGTGGCATTCTATCAAGTAGTCAGTCTCTGCAGCAGACTGGCTGTTTTGTTCGGCTGTCAGAATCAATGTAACATAATTACAGACCTGGCCTAACTCACTTGTTGTCTCTCAAGTTATTTTGGACAGAAAATCAGCACTTGTATCTTGGACGTGTTACAACAGCAGATAAAAAATATCCATAAGAGTTTAGGCTCTACTTTAGAATTACACTTACTACGTCCATGGACCACAGGGTCAGTGCTTTGGTTTATTTTCTCCTGTTTGCCCTTGTAATGGTCCCAGAATTCAGGCTCAGAAAATCCCACTACAGTTAATTAATGATGGAGGCCGGGGCTTTACATGCAGCCTTCCATCACACGTGTGTCCTCTTCTCAGCCTTCCAAACATTTCTGTCTTCATCATAAAACAGATTTACCTTAATTGGGTCTGATCAACATGAGTTACGTGACCTGTTTTGGTGGGAGGAAGGAGGGAAGAGTTTTGATTAAGAGTCTTAATGAGGAAGTGGCAAAGTTTAAAGATGTCCTCGTATTGTTTAGATATGAGAAACCACTGAAAATTAAGTGAACTTTGGGTGAAATCTGATCCTGCCCAGCTGAAAATGTACAAGACATTTCAATAAAAATCAATTTAGTTTTACCTGGAAAATGCCTCTTGTTGTATGTTCTCTGTGATTCCTTTATAGCCAGCTGAAATTGTTATATGTAGAATAAGACAAAACAGGGTACAACCTAGAACAGAACAGAAACACCACATGCTCAGTCCATAACATCAAAACATTCATATATCCAGTGTTGAAAGATTGTGGACTGCTCTTGTACTGATTAATACCAGTTCGATGTAAATTCATTGAAACTGTAGAAGGAGTCTGTCAAAGTACGGTGCCTGTAAAGGGCCAAAACTCTCCTCAAATTGCACAGTAAATTAAAAATAGCTGACTTCCTGTTGGGGTTGCTGTGTGGCTCCAAGAGGCTTTTTTTAAGTGCAGACACGATGCCTCTGCCTCCCAAATTTAGTTCATCTATGACAAATTTAAAGGTGGGGGCTTCTACTTTCAAAACTGTTATGGTGCACAGCTGAGCCAATAAAATACTGGTCAGTGTTAGGGCCCTTAAAACACTGAACTCCTTCTGAAGTCTATGACTGTTTTGGGACAACTACTGTATGGTGTGTAGTACCACACTGGTCCAGTATGTACTTATGTTTTTCATCAAGTTATTCAGCAGTAAAATATAGATCAGTTATTAAAAGACTGATTCTAAATATGAGCCTAGTTTTTCTTGGTATTTGTACTCCAGTTACTGTTTTCCAAAACGCAAACAATCTGTATTTTCTAAGAGCAACATCTGAGGATAAAATGAATGGTTTGATATAGGTTTCTCTAAAGCATGAAAAGATTCACATGATCGTAACAATGAATATGAATATTAAACTGTATTTTTTATCTTCTAGACAAGGAAAAAGTGACAGGAGAGCTGCATTCAAAATATGCCTCCAGGTTTCATGTAGTTTACCTTTGTGCCTGAGAAAAACTGGTGAGACTGGTTTAAATAGGCGACGGTAGAGTGTTTCTGACTTTCAGAGCATGACTTTGGTTATGATAATGCTGCGCTCATTATTAAACAAATTGCTGAATTAAATAATAATTGTCTTTGTTGCCCTTTGCTGCAGTCAGAGGTAAGTTAAGTGATGCTGGAATGACAGCAGATGGCAGAGTTGTTAAAGCCTGCTGTTTGAGTCAGTCGCTGCTAAACAGAATTTTAAACACGTGTTGGGGAGCAGTGAAGTAATTGTAATTAAACTAGAAATGAATCTACATTTTGCAGTAGGTTGTGGGAAGTTCAACTACATTCATATTTGCAAAGAGGTCCAAGTAGATACATTACTTTTTTGCCTTTTTTGTGTAGTAAACTACAAAAACTACAACATTATGTGCCATAAAAGAAATGATATTTATTTTTATTTTACCTCTGCTTCACTTCTACAATCGAACCCTTATTGAGCAGCTCCACTATTTTTCTTTTATCCTGACTGCTGTGAGGGCATGCCCAGGCAATGTGTGACCTGTGAACAAGTGGGCACTTTTTACAATAAACGCAAGTGAGTGGCTTTTAAAAAAAAAATCAAAAAATGCTGGCATGTGACTTTTTTGCATTATATGTCGTTATAATTTAAAATCACATGTGCATGGTAAATTTTTATCATTTTTAATAGTCTGAACTACTTTTTCTTTGCTTAAGTTAACCACACTAGGTTTCTCCCAAGGGTCGCTTTGCTGTTGTTCATCCTCTCCTTTGGTCATATGATCAATATAAGATGTGCTGGGGAATATGCTCTAAATGAATTATCAACTAATCCTGTGTTATGAGCTAATTTTGTGACTCTCTCTTATGGAGCAGCCCTGTGTTAAATGTATTCCTATTTTGGTATAGTGTCTGTGCTTTGTCAAAATAACATTAACTTCATTTTAATAAGAAAGCTGGGGTGAGGTAGTGTCATAGTCCAGCACATCTGAATATTTTGCGCGCTTGTGGTCTCTGGGCAGATGATGAATCAGCTGTGTGCACTGTCCTTAATGGGGACTTGGATGCTTCAGGGTTTATATGCACGTAGGCTGTAAAGTAGGTAGGAGGAAGGGAGTGTGGGGGCCAATAGGGGTCCAACAGCTTTTATTTACACCCCCGGACTATAGATTAAAGCCTAATGATATGCCCTGGACTCATTAACAGGTTAGTCCAGCCATGCCTGTCATACTGAGCTCTACCTGTAGCCTATTATTAAATATCTCATTTCATCACTCGAGGCGGAATTTATACTTCTGGGTTGAATCAACGCCTTACCTACGGCGTAAGCTGTGTCATCGTAGAGCCTACGCCGTAGCCTGAGGTGCACCTCCCCAGAAATGTATCTACACATTGCGGTGACGCAGACCTCCTGTCTGATTCTGTAAACTGAAACCATTTTCCTCAGTGGAAATGAAGCTTTTATTTACTTTAATTTCACAGATAAGAAACAATAAATTGTGAAGACAATAAAGCCTCCATAAAATAGCATTTTAAGTCAGGGATTTATACTTCGGGTTTTATCCTGGCTTCATATGAGCAGAGGAAATCTCCGCTCATCGCTAGGCTAATGCTAATAACGTTAGCATGTTATATTTGTTTGGAAACATGTTAAGTATAAAACAGTTCTTTTGTCAGTGGACCTTGTGAGTTGTAATGGAGCAATGTTACCTTTGTTAAATGTTGCTGTAGTTGCAGAGTAAAGTTGCTGTTGTTGCTGGGGAAAATTCCGCTGGCCGCTAGGCTAATTTATAAAATGTAAAATGCCATAGGCTTGTGCTAAAAACATTAGCATGTTGTATTTGTGGGTAAAATGTCTCCAGCAAAAGACAGTGCTTTGTCTGTCAATGCTACCAGTTATAATGAAGCTAATTTGTGTACTTGTGTTTGAAATGGTGTGTTTTGAAGGTTTTGAAGCAATTAAACTTCATAGCACTTCACTGAAACCCCGTCGCCAACTGGTGTTTTGGAGGTGTAACTGCAGAGTGACACAGACACACCACAACACAAGTAATATATGCTCACAATGCGGTGTAGGCTATGGTGTAGGGTCTACCCATAGATATATATACATAGATGCCGCACCCTGGCTTGTGGGATGCGTCAATACCGCCGCCATCTTGCTTAGGTGCTCTGACCGGTTTAGACCCGTGTCAGACTCGGCAAAAATGCCACATTTTTGCTCTGCATTTGGGTGTACGAACGAAAGAAGTGTTAAAACCAAGCAGAAGGGAATAACATTCCACAGGTAAGAAGTTGTTTTACAATATTTTACTGTTACGAACATGTTTAATGAGATATATATCTCAAAAAGTGATCCTTCTTTTAAGCTAATCAAGTAAAGTAACTGTCCTGATCTGGTCCTAATGCCAAATTAAGCTAACGCTATGTCACACAACTTAAAGAAAAAAGGTTAACATTTATATAATATTACTTATAAAATTATGATGCTTTGTCAAACAGCTATGTCGGTGTATGTGTTATTCCAAATTGTCAACTATCTGTTTCATGGCACCAACGTGACATAACGCAGTATAACGTTAGTAGTTAACTTGTGGCCTGAATTGTAACTACAAATTATGTGGAACTGCGTTTTTCTGACACACTTATTTTGTGTGTAGTTTCCCAATAAACACAGATAGGAGACGGGCATGGGTAGCAGCAGTGAGGAGAAAGGACTTTGTCCCGAGTGACTCCTCAGTCATCTGCAGCTGTCACTTCAGACCTGAGGACTTCGACAGGACTGGGCAGACTCCTAAAAATAATACTAGCTACTGTACACTGTATTTTTTGTAAATATGACCTAATAATGTAAACAGTTCTGTGTCCAGGCTCCCATGAGCACTGTGGTGTTATACATATGAGATTAAAGCAAAATTTTGTGTAAACATGCAGCTCTAAGTCATTTATTTTCACTTGTACAAAACCAACATTTGTTAATCAGAATCTGCACTGCAGCTCGGCACAACCCTGCTGATACACTATTTTTTGCACATTGTGTGAAATGTGAATAAACATTTATAGTCAAAATTAATAATTAAATGACATCATGGTGGGCATTGTACATCTAGTAAGAAAAAAGAATATTTATTACATGGGGAAAGTTTAGTTTAAATGTGTTGTAGAACTATTACTGTTACTTTATCTACATAAGATCAAATATTTTGGTATGAAAAGCTGCATTTTTTATTTAACCAAGTATCCTGTATCATAACTACATGTCTGACAATTGTAACAAACCAAACCACATGAAAATCGGTTGAGAATTCAGCGAGTAATGATGATTTTAATCATAAATAATCTCCTGCCTCAATAGACATACATGCATTAGGCAGCGCGGCTCCACCTGGGCAAGATGGCGGCCGCGTTGACGTATCGCTCCAATGAGGAGCACCGTTGAATGCGGCATCTACGTATATATATCTATGGCTTCTACCGCACAAGTATAAACCCTGTTTAACTGGACCCCATAACCAGCGCAAACTCCCTCTGAAATGCCTTAGTTTGTGCACGCGCTCACGTGCACATGCAAGAGTGTGTACTATCTCTTTAAGAAGTCGAGGTGCCCTGACTTTTACGTCATCCTCATTAACATAATTGTCAAAGAGCAGACGGACCATCATCTTTGTCCTCCTCCCTGCCTTTCATCCTCAGAGTACCTGCTTCACTTAGCGGCTACAAATGGCGCAGCAGTTTGTACAGTCTAAAATTCAGGGAGACAAAGTGGTGCTGTTCGTTAAGTCCACGTGCCCGTACTGCAAAATGGCCCAAGACGTTTTGTCCAAATACAAGTTGAAACCGGGACACCTGGAGTGTGTTGATATAAGCGGCCGCAGCGACATGGACAGCATGCAGGACTACTTCCTGGAGCTGACGGGAGCCCGCACGGTAAAGATGCTTTGTCACAGTATGAACAACATTGAGAGGGGGTTGTAGCCGATTCCGTGGTCTGTCCAGGGACCATGGTCTCTGGCACGGACCAGTGGTCACCACCACTAGGGGCGCTAGAGACACTGGTCGCGACCAGCTGCACTGTGGTCCCAGTGGTCTGTGAAGTGACTTTAGTATTTTCTCCCTTTTCAAGTCATTTTGGCAGCACTGTTAGCTGGATAAATGTCAAAGATCATAATATTTTGTCTATAAAATAAACTTGATCAGAATTATTATCATTAATATTGTTATTATTATTGATTATAAAGATCCCTGTGGTCAGGACCAGCTGGTCTCTGGCACGGACCAGTGGTCCCTACCACTAGGGGCGCTAAAGTTACTGGTCCTGACCAGCTGCTCTGTGATCTGTTCTGTTGTTTGGACCAGTTGAGTGATCTGTGGAGTGTTTGTTTTTAATACAAATTTTCCCTTTTCTTACTGTGTTAGCAGAATAGCCTAAATGTGAGAAGCCATAATCATTTGTCTATCCAATGTTATCACTATTAATAGAGGTCATAATAAGAATGATTAAATTATTAGTCATAGTTGTATGAGTAATACTATCGATTATGCAGGTCTGTGTCTTCCTGACTGGTTTAAACTTTACCAATGTGTTGCATTTTAAAAGCTTGTGACATTACCCTTTGTATCAAATCTTGATCTAGAAACTAATGTCAAATAAATGTAGTGGAGGAAAAAAATGTAGAGTTGAGTGACAAAGTGTCACAACCTGGCTCTTTGGGCCATGACAGGACGGGAGACACACTGAATTAAGGAGGTGTAACAAAGTAGATTTATTAACAAAAGGAACAAAATGTGAAACAAGGAAAATAATGAATAAATGGGATGTGAACATCAGTACTATCAGTAGTGTACGATGTGCATGTGTGTAAGATGTAATGTATGTTGTATGAATGCATGAACTGAGCATAAGGAACTAAACTGCAGCTGCCACATCACCCCATGGGACGTCTGCTGGAGAAGAGAGAGAGACAATGAATGAATCATGGGTTTTATAATCTCAGGACACTGGGCCCAGGTGCCCCTGCTACACCAAAACTCCTTCCACAAACCCAAGTCACATCAGGAGGCTGCTGTCTCAACAGCAGGGGTCATCACACAAAGGAACATCAAATGGAAATACAAAAATGTAAAAGTTTAATTAAAAATTCAACACAAGTAGCCCACAGTACAGTAACAAAAGTAACAGTCGAATCTTGATTGATCCAGCACCTGATCACTCGATGATCGTTCCGAGGATTTTCTCGGCATAAAATCTTGAAAAACCTTCTAGTCTCACCAGGATGTCAATTGTGGTCTGCATAAAAGAAAACATTTTAGTTCAGGACAACACAGGGGAAAAAAACACAAGGAAGAGGACACATTAACAGCTATTATTAATGTTAACAGATGTAATTATATTTATGGGTGATCAAGTAACAGTAAGCTCAAGCTCAATTCTGTTAGAATGGTAGAACTGTTACAGTAATGGATACCTTTATGTCTTTGTTCAACTAAAATTGGAACTTACCTCTGGCACCATGACATCAGTGACAAAATCAATGTTTTTGAGGAGGCTGTAATCCAATGACAGCGTTGGCTTTATCAGATTAATGAGGTCATTCATCTGTTGGACATAGTAAGGGTAAATAAACAGTCGTTCATACACTCTGACAAAATGACCACTTTTAAAAAATTACTTTAAAAAAATATTACTTACGTGTTTCTCATTGAAACAGATCACAGTGCAGCTGGTCAGAACCAGTAACTTTAGCACCCCTAGTGGTAGGGACCACTGGTCCGTGCCAGAGACCAGCTGGTCCTGACCACAGGGATCTTCATAATCAATAATAATAACAATATTAATCATAATAATTCTGATCAAGTTTATTTTATAGACAAAATATTATGATCTTTGACATTTATCCAGCTAACAGTGCTGCCAAAATGACTTGAAAAGGGAGAAAATACTAAAGTCACTTCACAGACCACAGGGACCACAGTGCAGCTGGTCAGAACCAGTAACTTTAGCGCCCCTAGTGGTAGGGACCACTGGACCGTGCCAGAGACCAGCTGGTCCTGACCACTGATGAGCTGGTCGCGACCAGTGTCTCTAGCGCCCCTAGTGGTGGTGACCACTGGTCCGTGCCAGAGACCATGGTCCCTGGACAGACCACGGAATCGGCTACAACCCCTGTTGGCAACATTAGTGTCACTTTAAACAACCTGGAAACACAAGAGTTTACACGTGTTTATCTCATGAACGTATGCTGTGCCCTTAGAGTTAAGAATGAAGTTAATTTTACCCATGTAGACACAGAGATGATAAATTAACGGTTCTGTAACCTGCCGGAAGTTTAGCTTTTAATAAGGTTTATGTAAACCTACAAGAAGTTGTAGCACTGTTAGCTAAAACCAGTTAGGATAAATACTCAGATGTAAACATGTCAGACTGATATGCTGGTTGTTATTCATTCATTCATTCATTCATTCATTCCCATGAAATCAGTTTTCAGTAGTAAATAAGGGAGTTTCCAGGAAGAGCTGCCACTTGTCTCAATTACCTCGTGTGTGTGTGTGTATGTGTGTGTGTGTTAATGACTTGGGGTGTCTATTTAAAATGTAGTGGTGGATGAAGAATTCAGACCATTTAAGTACACTGTAAAAATACTCCATTATAGGTAAAAGTAAAGTAAAATAACTCAATGAAGAAAAAATGGCCCCAGTAACCATTTACTTTTTTTATATTATTAGATTATTATTATTAACATTAACATTAATACTCATGAATTAATGTCACGGGGGGTCGCGGGGGCAACAGGCCAAGCAAAGCACCCATCCCTCTCCCTAGCAACACTTTCCAGCTCATCCTGAGGGACCCTAAGGTGTTCCCAGGCCAGATGAGATAAGTAGTCCCTCCAGCATGTTGTGGGTCTGCCCCAGGGCCTCCTACCAGTGGGATTTGCTGGAAACACCTCTGTCAGGAGGCATCCTGATCAGATGCCCGAACCACCAAAACTAACCCCTTTCGACACAAAGGAGCAGCGGCTCTACTCCGAGCTCCCTCCGGATACCCTATCTCTAAGGCTGAGCCCAGCCACCCCATGAAGGAAACTCATTTTGGCCACTTGTATCGGCAACTTCATTCTTTCAGTCACTACCCAGAGCTCATGACCATAGGTGAGGGTTGGGATGTAAATGGATAAGCATATCGAAAGCTTCGACTTCTGGCTTAGCCTCCTCTTCACCTCGACGGTCCCCACTGAAGAAGCTGCACTAAACCGCCGATCCATCTCACGCTCCATTCTACCCTCACCCTCAATTAATGTAAAAACAGCATCTTATTTGATCTGCTAATTATTTTCTTCAGATTCAGAAAATAGTGACAACTGCCCCTTACAATCACCTAGAGCTCAGCATAATAACTCAACATTAGGGCTGTGTGATATGGATAAAACCAAATATCACAATATGTTTGACCAGTACCTCGATATTGATGTTGCAGTGATATTGTAGGATTGTCGCTTTTACAAAATCTTTACATGATGAGATTTTTGATAAATAATCATCAGTAATGTGGATAAAATGACTAAGTGGTTAAAGGCAAATAATAAAACAGTTAGAACAGTCTGATAAGTTCAGAGAATGATGTCAGTTTTCTGTAATGCAGCCTTTAAAACCAGGAAAAGACAACACCATGTTATGATATTCAAAATCTAAGATGTCTAGTCTCATATTGTCTCATATGGGCGTCTGTGGCTCAGAGGTAGAGCGGGTCATCCACCAATCGAAAGATCAGCGGTTCCATCCCCAGCTCATCCAGTCTGCATGTCGAAGTATCCTTGAGCAAGATACTGAACTCCCGAATCCCGATGGCTGTTTGAGTGTGTTAAAACTGAGTAGCAGGTGGCACCTTGTACAGTATGGTAGCCTCGGCCACCAGTGTATGAATGTGTGTGTGAATGGGTGAATGTGACTCGTAGTGTGAAAAGCGCTTTGAGTGGTCGGATGACTAGAAAGGAGCTATACAAATGCAGGTCCATTTACCATCTATATCATGGTATCGCTTTAATGTCAATATATTGCCCAGCCCTAAGTCTCAGTGCTTGTTGTGTTAAAATTATTAAAAAAACAAATAGAAATAATTAGAAGGAAAATCAGTGAATCTTCACATTTGAGAAGCTGGAGCGAGGAAGATGTTTGGAATGACTGAAAAATGACTTGCACAATTTTCAGAACAGTTGCCAATTAATTTCCTGTCATTACCTGTGATGGTGCCTTCAAATGTAACCCTTGAGCTCGTGTTTATGACATGGGAATTGGTATACAGAGAGGAAGGCAATCATATGGTTCTTCCTGTGAATGCGGTGAACAAGACCCCATTTGAACGCATCATTTTACACCCAGAGATGTTAAAGGTATGGTTACCATGGTATCAAAAGTATGGCAGAATCTCTGATGGTAGACAAATGGGAATTATCTTCGCTATATGTCGTCATATCGTCCCACTCTGTGCACAACACTGAAAACAGATGACTGCGTATTCACAAGCTGCAACCCCTGTTTCTCTTCTTTCTCTTCTTTCGCATTGATTTATATGTAGGTCCCACGGGTGTTCATTGGTGGGAAGTGTGTTGGAGGCGGCACCGACGTGGTGGACCTGGATGAGAGTGGTAAACTGGAGGGTATCCTGGAGTCAGTTGGAGCCCTGCAATGACCTGCTCCACACCTCCAGGTACAGGACACTGCACAAACTCACACACTTATTTAAAGTGACAGACCGAGTGTCTGACTGTGGGGAAAAAAAAGAGTGAAAAAGGGGAAGCCTTTGTAATAGCAGGCAAGAAAAGGAGGAGGGTGTTGCCCCCAAGAAGACCCAGAGCAAGTCATTAAGTGCATAAATTAGTAACAGTAAGCTCTCATTAGTGTAGGAATAAATAAATTAAAGGAAATAAGATGCCCGAGGTGGTGCTCAGAGAGATAACAAGTAATTGCACGGTGGTAAAGACGGGAGTAAAACCCTGCTCTGGGCCCACACTGCATCACATCCTGATGGAAATGTACAGATGGGTGACAAATTGAAGGAAACACCTCGAGTTAGGCTGATGGAAAATCATTCAGATCAGTTTGGCATGAAGCCAAACACCAGACTGGACCCGTATACAGGATTTTACTGCTGGATCTTGCACTTGAGTCCTCTCGTTCTCATTGATTATTGTCATAATTAAAGTATTTGACTATAAAAGTGTCCCAGCCCAAGCCTACATCAGAGTGTATGAGAATGTCCATATTGAAATCTAGCAGTTTTGGTTTTCATTGTTTTTATTGACCTATAATTATCATCTTCTCCCACCAGTCCCTGGTGCCATGAAGTGTCAGGAATCTGAGAGTTTGTTTTGCATGTATTGGTGAATGAGGCCCAGTGAGACTCTGCTCTGTGACTTATTTGCTGCTGTCTTAATGGTGGAACAACAATGCCCCTCCATTATGTGTTCATGTTTCATACAAAATGGCGAGGCGGAATAATGACCCAACATTCCCGCCTTGTACAGGCTCTATAAAAAGGGCTTGACAGAGCTCTCTTGTTTCATCACCCATAGAAACTCTTAATCTTCCTAGTAAACAAACACAATGTGAACCATGTGTATCTTCCCCCTGTCCAGCTCCACTGAAATGTGATTGCCTTCACGGTGCCGACCTCAGCTCAACAATTAATAGTGCACAGTCAGTCAGGCACTGGTGGCTCTGTTAGTCAGTTTGTAAACATAATATTATGTTAATCACCTTGTGGTGTTGCTTATTACTAATGCATTACAAGTTGGATTTAGCGCCGTGACGCTGTCAGTACAGCTTGCTGATGTAGGGAACTTTTTAATTTGCCAGAACGTGTCATAATGACAAATTCTGGTTCAGCTGGTGTGCAATAGATCAAACCAGTTTAAACTTGTACACTGGAGTGGAGCGGCAAAACCCAGACCCAGCTCTAGGAGGGCATATAAGCCCTGTTTCCACCAAACACTTTCAGTATGGTACCTTTGCAACCAAAAGTAACCCTTCAGACATGGTACCTAGACCCTAGCGAACAGTACCCTTAAATGTGGGCGGGGTTGTCGTCACTCACTGCTCCATCCAGCACTCACTGTATTTCCTTATTACCAGTGACAGATGGAAGTCTGCACCTCGTTTATCGTCTACAGGAGGAGACTGCACACAGACATTTACAGAACAAAATAAACCAGGCTGCAGTGAGAGTCTCTTGATGGGATATTCAAAAATAGCAGGCAAGCTCAGGGGTTTAGTGTTGCCGGAGCCCACAGGGATTTCGCTCCACGATGCGAAATTAATATATATATATATAAACGCTTCACAGTGACATTACAAGTAAATGTTCCACCTTAAAAGTCGCCAGCAGTCTGCCCAGTGAATTAAGTTACTTTTTTACTTGGACTCTAGCTGCTTGACTTATGCTGCAGGCAACAAAACATCCTTTCATTTTATAGTTACAGTCTACTAATAAAACTCTTCATGATATGAACAGTGGTTAACATGAGCCTCAGAACCAGCCACAGCTCAGCCCTGAGCAGAGTGACCGTCCTCTACTGACCAATCAACAGACTGCATTGTTCACAGCTCCACCTTTTAGTACCAGATCTGTGTGTTAGGTACACCAACAGGAGGGTACGGAACGGTTCCATTGGTACCATCCACAACTTTTCACAGTGGAAACATTAAAAAAGGGTACGGAACTGAACTGAACTGAACTGAACCGTACTGCTCAGTGGAAACTGGGCTATAATGAATGCACACAAGGGGTTTTCTGTATGGTTTGATGAGTATGAAAACAATATACAGTACAGGCCAAAAGTTTGGACACACCTTCTCATTCAATGTGTTTTCTTTATTTTCATGACTATTTACATTGTAGATTCTCACTGAAGGCATCAAAACTATGAATGAACACATGTGGAGTTATGTACTTAACAAAAAAAGGTGAAACAACTGAAAACATGTTTTATATTCTAGTTTCTTCAAAATAGCCACCCTTTGCTCTGATTACTGCTTTGCACACTCTTGGCATTCTCTCCATGAGCTTCAAGAGGTAGTCACCTGAAATGGTTTCCACTTCACAGGTGTGCCTTATCAGGGTTAATTAGTGGAATTTCTTGCTTTATCAATGGGGTTGGGACCATCAGTTGTGTTGTGCAGAAGTCAGGTTAATACACAGCCGACAGCCCTATTGGACAACTGTTAAAATTCATATTATGGCAAGAACCAATCAGCTAACTAAAGAAAAACTAGTGGCCATCATTTCTTTAAGAAATGAAGATCAGTCAGTCCGGAAAATTGCAAAAACTTTAAATGTGTCCCCAAGTGGAGTCGCAAAAACCATCAAGCGCTACAACGAAACTGGCACACATGAGGACCGACCCAGGAAAGGAAGACCAAGAGTCACCTCTGCTTCTGAGGATAAGTTCATCCGAGTCACCAGCCTCAGAAATGGCAAGTTAACAGCAGCTCAGATCAGAGACCAGATGAATGCCACACAGAGTTCTAGCAGCAGACCCATCTCTAGAACAACTGTTAAGAGGAGACTGTGCCAATCAGGCCTTCATGGTCAAATAGCTGCTAGGAAACCACTGCTAAGGAGAGGCAACAAGCAGAAGAGATTTGTTTGGGCCAAGAAACACAAGGAATGGACATTAGACCAGTGGAAATCTGTGCTTTGGTCTGATGAGTCCAAATTTGAGATCTTTGGTTCCAACCGCCGTGTCTTTGTGAGACGCAGAAAAGGTGAACGGATGGATTCCACATGCCTGGTTCCCACTGTGAAGCATGGAGGAGGAGGTGTGATGGTGTGGGGGTGTTTTGCTGGTGACACTGTTGGGGATTTATTCAAAATTGAAGGTACACTGAACCAGCATGGCTACCACAGCATCCTGCAGCGACATGCCATCCCATCCGGTTTGCGTTTAGTTGGACGATCATTTATTTTTCAACAGGACAATGACCCCAAACACACCTCCAGGCTGTGTAAGGGCTATTTGACCAAGAAGGAGAGTGATGGAGTGCTGCGGCAGATGACCTGGCCTCCACAGTCACCGGACCTGAACCCAATCCAGATGGTTTGGGGTGAGCTGGACCGCAGAGTGAAGGCAAAGGGGCCAACAAGTGCTAAACACCTCTGGGAACTCCTTCAAGACTGTTGGAAAACCATTTCAGGTGACTACCTCTTGAAGCTCATGGAGAGAATGCCAAGAGTGTGCAAAGCAGTAATCAGAGCAAAGGGTGGCTTTTGTTAAGTACATAACTCCACATGTGTTCATTCATAGTTTTGATGCCTTCAGTGAGAATCTACAATGTAAATAGTCATGAAAATAAAGAAAACGCATTGAATGAGAAGGTGTGTCCAAACTTTTGGCCTGTACTGTATATCATGTATGGTATTGCCATCACAGTCACCAGATCTCAACCCAAAGAGATTTTGAAACACATTATGCTGAGATCAGACTCAATGATATCAGCCTGATACTGGCCAGACTCAAAGGCAGAAGCCAACAAAGCTATAATTAGACATTCCAACTTGTAGTCTGTTGTGTCTTTTAGCCAAGTCACGGCTAGAGTGAATGACTCTGATCGCCTAATTTAACACAGTGTGGAAGACCAATATAATTGTGTAGTCTGATCCTGGAACAGCATTCTCCATCGACATCATCAAACCAACAGGGAATGTGTTTCAGAAGAATCAAGTTCATCTCTCCAGTAGAGTTTCAGAGGAGAATCCATGCCATGGAGCATTGAAGCTGTTGTGGAGGACTGTATTGACACTCTGTGTTGGTTTTTGTTACCCATCAAACTATAGAACAGGACAATTTTCCAGAGGGAATAGGAGGGAGAAGCAACTTTTGGGAACACAGGGGGAGACACTACAGGTGAAAATATAGTTTTGGGCTGTATCACTTTCATAACATGTCTTCTTTCAGACTAGTGGAAAGAAAACATCCAAAATCCACATTTAGGTGGTGTTGGATTTTTTTTAGGTAAAATTTCTGTTGTTGAAATGTATGCAAAAACTGAATGTTTATTTAGATAATGCATCACTTGCATATTTAAACATACAATTTCAAAAAACTTATATTACAAAAATAATTGTTTCATGGTGATATCGATTAATGTTTTTATCCTATTTACCTGTAGTGTCTTATTTTTGATCTGAAAATGTATGGAATTTGACAGTACATATCTTTAAAGGCCATTTCCTTTAAAATTATTCTTTTTTCATACTAGGCACAAGAAATCTCCTCTTCGGTGTCACTTACATACATCAAATTTTCCACATTTATTTCTGTTTATATTCTGAAGGTTATTACCGAGGGATTTGTTCATATATCATTCATAGCCTGATTTATCTGACATTTTATTCCCAAAAATATAAAGTGAAAATAGATTTTTTTTATGGCTGTTGACAGCAATCTCTGATGTATGGAGTAATTCCCTCCCTAAAAAACTTTGACTAATATTTCAACAAAGTTAAACAAGAATTTTGAACCTGACTTTATCCAATGGTCAGATTTCTGCTCTGGAAATGTATGCGAATTAGTGGAGATTTAATTAAATAATTCATCATTTACATTATTAACGTGCAATTTTAGAAAACTTGTAGTGCAAAATTTAATTAATCAGCTGGGGAAGTTTAATGGTGATATCTGTTAGTCCTTTCACATGTAGTGTCTCCCCATAAATGAACACTGTGCAGTGATGTACAAACAGAGCAGAGGGCAGACACTCATCCACTCTGTGGTGTGTTCAGTCTAAAACATGTCTTTATTTAAAGTCAGACGTCATGTTATCTACAGTCTGTACAACACCGGCCCAGTGGAGCCACATGTGTGTCTCCACACACACTGGGTGTGGATGCAGCGCTGGAGTACACTTTGTTTTACAGTCTAGGTTTTCAACTGCTATTTACTCATTTTCTTTTAAAGAGCAGATCAGGATTTATGAGAAGGGTTCCCATAGACACACACTTTGACTGATGTGGTGCAGCAGCAGGTTAAATATACACCACAGTGGTTAAAGGTACCAGCTGATAATCACCTGATCACTGTCACAGTCTCACAGCGGTAGCTTTCTTGTACTATACACACAACCTGCTGCTGAAGTACTGAAAGAGCTGGATACCAGTACAGTTACATATTGTGTGTTGACTGTTTGACTGACGCTGTCACACTGAATAAAAAATAGCTGCAATATGTCACCATTGATCTTTTTCGCTTTCAAATTGTTGACTGTTTATCTGACAACATAAGTCGCTCTGTCTGCCTTGTTTGTTTTTCGTACATCACACACCTTTTAAGTAAATACCAGTGAAACAGCAGACTGTAAAATAGTGTGACCCAGTTGTCTCGACTTTGAATGTAAAAAAAAAAAAAAAATGTCATAATCATGTCCACTTACAGTACAGTTTACAAAAATAATTGCAGCACCAATAAATCATAATCTTATTATGATTAAAAACACCCTCTCCAAATTAAAAAAATAGGATCAAATAAATACCGTGTATCCACCCAGAGGCATTGCATTGCAGTGTTTAGTGTACCAACTCATGTTCATGATATGGTTGTTGTTCCTAAAACTGTATATCACGTCTGTACATGTAAATGCTACAAAAGGCTTCTGCCTTTCATGTGACGGACAGAGACAGACCAGTAATATTTGTTATTGCAAATAGATAAGGAATAGTTTCAACACTGTTTCATATTAACCTGCAAAGGAAATGATGTAAAAGTCCAGCTCACAGGCTTTAAATGATTTTTTTTAAAACACATTGGTTATTATTCTGGATTTGGTGCACAGAGCACTGGATTTTTGATACAGGTAATGTGTAGTTTAATTTGACGATTTAATTTTGAGCCATTTCTGAATGAAAGTGAGGCGGCCTCTTTTGACACAGACAACGACCAAAATGTATTCCATCTCACGCGATAATAAAATCAGTCTGACAGTGAGACACACACGCTCACGTTGCATCATAGATCTGAAAGAATCTAATGAGAAAAGTGGAATTAAATTGGCTCTGCTCGTGTGTTAAACCAGGTTTCTGACAGACTACAGATGAAAACGAGCATGACTGTGCTACCAGCAACATTACCACTCGGCTCTCGGTGATAATGTAGGTCACCACTCGGCTGAAATACTGATCGAGCCGCAAAGAAGTTAGAGGCTAGAGAGTTATTTCAGCTGAGGCAATGCTGCATGAGCACATGCTCACAATTTTTAGATCCAACAAGACAGATGCATCAGTGGCCAAGGCTTAATTTAAGATGGAGCGGTCCTGTATCCAGAATATACTCAGACATCCTCAGGTGTCGATTACAGAAGAAAACACTTCAGCACAGTTTCCTTCCTTTTTATTCAAACTGAAGTCACATTACTGCAGCTTGAAACAGTCTGCACATGATCCCGGCCTGTTTTCCAACAGATGTGTGATCATTTGATATATATGCACTCGTAATGGAGCCATTTTGTGTCACTGTTCATCGTCAAAATCCACCATTTTGCGTCAGCCAATATAAATATAATCTTTCACAGAGCTCCTGGTCAGTGGCCAGATGGTCATTTTAAATTCATTCAAGTCATTTTGTATTGCCCATGATGGAGTAATCATTACGCAAAGGGTGCACAGTCATTCCTCCAGGGGTAGAGAGGCGCGTCACCGCGGTGTATGTCACTGCTAGAGACGCTGTCCCATTGGTTAAGGAGTCTTGTGACTTCAGCAGCAGTGTCCCTCAGATTCAGCCTATCATCCAACAGAACAAACTATTTCTTCAGCTTGTTTTTCTCCACGTGTTGATGACTAGTCTCACTCTTCGTCGTTATTTCCTCCCTCATCTGCTCCCTCCCCTGTTTCCCACAGGCTTTAGGCATCCAGGTGGGGGTCACATGACTATGCAGCGGGACTTGCGTAGTTTGCGTCGCCGCTGCTGGTACTCGCTGAGCTCCTGCAGGTAGCCTCTGGACGGCCAACGTAGCCTATCCACCTGCTCACGCTCCTCCTCTGGAACATAAAAACATATATACTATCATCTGCTGCAAACACAACTGAACCACTATAGTGAGATTTACTGTACTTGGCACACACAAACACACACACAGTAATAACTCTTTGGATCGTTGCCATGAACACGGACAACAAGGCTGAAATATCTGATACCGTTTTGTTTACACCAACAAGCAACAGAAGACCAACGGTGATCCATCATGTGCTGTCTCCTTATCCTGGCCTTTGACTCTGCTTGTGCCCTTAAGTTCCCGTCCAATGACCTTAAATGATTCTTGTGTGTGTGACTAATGATGACAATAAAATGTGCTACTGCTACTAACCTGCGCAGTGTTGCTGTTAATATTTAACTGCGTTTATCTGCCTATTAAACACATATAATAACTGAGAAGCAATCAAGCATGTGATATATAGCTCACATAAACTTACAGTATCAAGCATACTATAAGGATGCATTATTCTCAGGGGCCCACAGCCTAATATATAGATACTGCTAGATGTGCTCTATGGCGGTAAAGCATAATATACAGAGGCTTTCACAGGTGTCTAAGACCATGTTGGATTCTCAAAACTCAAAATTATAAAGTGATAAATTCACTTTATAGTCTCCAAACTCCTAAAGTGACAAAATGGTTACTAATATTTTATTTTAAAGGAGCAGTGTGTAAGATTTAGGGCAGGGGTCAGCAACATTCACTATCAAAAGAAACGTTTTTGACCAAATATTATTCTAAAAATCTGCCTGGAGCTGTAAAACTTATTTGAGCCTTATGGTAACACTGCAAATTAAGTCTAAATTAACCTATCGACATTAAAAATAGGTTCAAAAATATGTTTTACCACAAGATGGCTCCTCTGCAGTGGGCTTTTTATAATTATTTGGCACATTACTTTTGTAGTGTTGGCAGTGAAAGCAAATGAAGCTGTCCGCCCACTTTTAAATTCTGTATTTTCCTCTGAGACTTTTATGGATTTGGAATCCATTGCGAGCCTAGCTAGGGAGGCTCAAGACTCCCCAGCGCTGTTGAGGTTTGGCAAAATTTAGAGGAAATGGTGCCAAGCCATAGACATATGACGCACATTTTAGTTGACGAAATGTTAAAACTTTTTTAAATTCAGTGCATTGGCTGCACATTTTTACAATTGGAGAATGTAAGAATTTCTTTAGGTCTATAACAATGATGAATAATAAGTATTTTTTTGTCAAAGCCACAGAGAAGCACTGGAGGGGGACTGAAGAGCCGCATAGCATATGGCTCCAGAGCCGCAGGTTGCCCACCTCTGATTTAGGGGGATTTAGTGGCATATAGCAGTGAGGATTGCAGATTGGAACCAAATATAATTTCTCTCAGAATTCCTGCAGGTTTTTACAGGGAGCCAAAGTATGTAAAGAGGCCTCCTCCTCTCCAAAACAAACACACCAGGTGATTTAAACTGGAATAAAGTAGTTTCACGTTACAAATCTGTGTTTCTCTGACGCTGTTTGACTGATAGCCCAGCGCCTGCCAATGTGTGTTTACCTTTTTCTCTAATACCCTAATGTGTCTTTTTTCTCTCTGCTAACTTAAGATACAAACGTTCAAGAGATTTTTACTAGGAGCTGAATTATCTGCAGAGGTCACCTTCCTCTCCAAAGCAAACAGACCCCGAGATTTTAACGGCGAAAAACATTGATTAAAGCAGTTTTTGCCAACACTGTCCAACTTGTGTCAGAGGGGCTGCTCACTACAGTGGCCAATATGAAAATGTGAATGGCCCTGTCTAGAGCCAGTGTTTGGTTTGTCTGTAGAAACATGGTAGTGCAACATGGCGAGTACAGGGACCCACTCCCTCTGTAGATATAAACGTCTCATTCTAAGGTTACGAAAACACGATTCTTATTTTCAGATGATTATACACTAAAGAAAACATATAATATTCCATTTCTGCCAATATATCCTCCTAAATTCTACACACTGGACCTTTAATTCACAACTGATTGCTGGACACCATGGTTACACCTCATGTATTTTACAAACCGGAGGGCTATTTGACAAAAAAATGAGAACCAGCCTTCTATTCACAGCAATCATCTGAGACACAGGAAGCCTAACCCAGATAAACTGTGTGGAAAACAACAGATCCTCAAAAGCCTGGAGGCACTAATTATTTTTAAAACCATGTCTGAAGCCCTGTAAACAGTTGAAATCAGCAGTTTGATTTTCCTATCACTGCGCAGCTCTGAAAAGGCCTATTTGAGTTTGTCTGAAGTTTGCTACACGTTTAAAATAAAGCACACACTGACCTGAGAGCTCCAGGAAGTCAGGTTTGTGACTGAAGATCAGGTAGTTGTTGGCGATAAAGTGGAGGAGCCAGACATACAGCTGCTCTGCGTTGTGGCACTGAGTTCAAACACAGACATTATGTCAAATCACAATGATTTTCTTGAGGATTCATGCTTTTAGACAGATAACCATGAACATCTGTTGCAGATGGAGCCCTCGTGAGTTAAAAGATTGAGCTTGCCCCAGAAAAAAACATTGCAATTGACAAACAGCTAGACAGCATTTGCATTTTGGTGGCTGAAAGAAATGTCACATCATAATGAAGCAGTAATCCGTTTACACACACAAGCCACAATCCATCTCTCTTACACACTCAAAGTTGCACTGACCTTTGCTCGGCGGAGTAGTCGGATCACGCTGATACCTGTTGATGACAGCTCTCTACTGGGCATGCTCTGAAGGTAAGCGCACACACACACTTCGCAGAGATGCTGCAGACGTTTCACCTGGTACATCTCAGCGCAGACCAGCACGGCCATGGCCTGCAGCACACTGGCTGGACACACAAACACACACAGCGCCGTCTCATACACTGTATATGCACAAAGTATTACACATGCATTGTTATAACATCATGTAGGTTACATTTTATTCTAGATTTCAACACGAGCTGGACACATTGTTAAACGTGTACGCCTCCAGAGGAAATCAAAGGCTTAAAAACGCTCCCTGAAGTAAAGAAAGTGTTTCTATCATTACCGGTCCAAAAATGAAATTGGAACAGAGCCACACCAGGATTGCCCCAGGAAGCTTTACACAACCACATAATAACAAAAGGACTGTGTGTGTCCTTTATAATAAGAAGTCAGTCAGAGCCACATCCAGCAGAATATTAAGCTTAACGTTATTTGACAGTAAACTTCAGGCTGGGTTATTTGCACAGCACACAGGGTAGAGAAACAGGGTAACAAGCACAGTGACGTAGCTGACTGCTTGGCCCTCTCAGTGTGAAAAATAATATCAATGTTTTTGTTTTACGGCCCACAACTTTACAGTTTTTATTTACTCTCATCGCTCTCATCAACTGTGTTTCCAGCACCTGCAGACAGCTGTTTAGCAAAAAGCTCTAAAAACCCACCGTACACAACATTCCTAACCCCAAACAGCAGTTAGACACAGTTAGAGATTAGCTGGTCAACATTTCGCATCTAAAGACAGTGGTGCCTCCAAATGTTTCACAGGGGTGGACAGATGGGGCCACTGGACATCTAAGGATGGCACATCAAAACCAAAAGCCTTAACTGAATTTAAGGGATTTGAAAATGCTGTTGAAGTATAGGTTAAAGTCTAGTTGATAACCATAGCGAATTGCATACTGATACACTTTGGTTTCTTATTCTATATTTAATGTTGGTAATTATCTGTGCATAGACTAATACTGTTGCACTTAACATTCTGAGTTACTCAACAACCCTGTTCAATGTGTTATGAATCTGTGTATACATATGTAAGCTGATTTATTGTTCTTCAAATAGGCTGGTTGTCCCTTCCTTTAAAAAGACAAATACACTGTTTTAATTTGAAGGAGTACGCTGATTGTAAAGAGCAAAACATTTACCGGGACCAAGGCGTCTAAAGTTCAGGGGAGACTTGTTGGTACCCACAAAAGAAAAAAAGTGAGAGTTCAAGGGACCTCTTTAAAAAAATCGCCATGCCAGTTGCTCCGTTGCCAAAACTCTGGAGTGTTGATAAGTCTCTTTCCCCCAAAAGCTGTGCTGACATGGTTGGTACCAATGGAATAGGTTGCCTAGTTTCACAAGATGACACACAAGACCTTTGCACTAGCCAAAAAAATACACTTTAAGACAGTAATGCTGGCCTCCAATTATTTTTGCAGAGCAGGCAGTTGTCTAAAGAGCCTGATATTCATCTGAAGAGAAGGTGGAGATCAAAACGGAGCTTTACAAGAGTAAATATTAAATTTATATATGTCAGTTGGCCAGAAAGACAGCTCCCAATATTGTTCCATGTGTGCTTGATGTTAACACATGCCAGAATAATCATTTTCTAATAGAACTTTTCTTCAGTGTTTATAAGGACTTTTAAAGAAACAAGATGAATCAGACTCATATCTGTTCTCGCCAAGCCCTAAACCATAATACTGACTTGGGCCCAGTAATCAAATCACAAGGCTCACACGGATTCTGCACCCGACAACATCTCTTCCATTTTTCAGCAGCTTAAGAAAAAAAAGAAGGTATGTTAAATGAATACTGAAAAAAACAACAAAAAAACAAAAACAAGGAAATCTGCTGATTCTGTTTGGGTTTAAAAATCACACTGGATACAACAAATAATAATTTCCCAGTGCTCTTCCCAAGCTGTCAAGTGACGTCTTACAGTTCAACTAATGTCGATCCTATTATGTAATGTCAAAATGTCAAATCAAATGACTCCTGATGTAACTTGATTCAGTCAAACACCACCCTCACCGTCCTTCATTCCCTCCTATAAACACTGATTCTGTGCATGCATCTCTGACAGGCTGATGCCCTGTGAGCTGAGCAGCAGCCGCACACAGGGTTTGTTCTGTTCAGCTGCACAATCATCTAAACACAGAGATGAGCCTGTGAAAATGTATTTCACCATCATACAGTACGTACAGCATACAATATTTATCTGCGTGAACCACTCTGATCGCACTCCTCCTTTGATTTCACACCCTTAGTTTTTTGTCGCTTCTGGTGGAGTTACCTTGTTTTGACCTTGAGTGCTGAGCTCTTATATAACAGTGCAGCGGCTGCAGCCTCTGGAGCCGTTCCATGGCTTTAATTTCCTGTTCCCTTGACTCAACCTGAAGCTGTATCTCTAGAAACAGCCCCCCTCGTACCTAAGCTGGATCTTAAGTGTTGCTTGTTGAGGTTTTCATGATTTTTTCATCAAAACATCTCATGCCACAAAGTAAGGGGATTGTCAGCTCTCAGTAGCTGGATATTCAGGACGGATTATTCTGAGCCTTTATATTGTCTATTCAGCAGCTTTGTTATATAACAATACTAGAAGGGAAGATGACAGCCAGTGTTGTAATTAACTCTGTTACTGTTAAATGCCATTATCTATTAATTAAGGGATCTTACATATTGTTTGTGACTTGCCATGTCACCATGGATGTCATGAAAACACTTAGACACACATACACACACACACACACAATTGACAAGCTCCATTATGATTGCTAAAGCCCATCATTCAAAGCTGTATTAAGTAATCTCTCAGCACTAGGGGGCAGAAAACTCAAACATAATCACAGCAAGACACCGTCATGGCAGTAGTTTTGGCTAACCTGTTAGCAAATAGTTAGCAGACACAGAGCAACATAAACATTTCACTGGTAGGGTTGCCACCTTGGATTTGTGAAAAAAAGGGACACTCGACCAAATGTTTGAGGCGGAGGGCTCGGCCATTATTACCAGTTCAGACTGACCAATGAACATGAAATTCGGACATAGGAGACCAGATTTGCCATCATTACATGTCCTTCTATGTGCCTGTATTTTATATTAATTTTTATATCAATGAAAAAAACAAATCCGTGTTACTAAATTCTTAAATTTTTACATGTATCTCACCATAGCAAGTTGGAAGAAGACATATTCTGCCATATATGAAGAGGGGAGACTCTCTGGAATCTGGCAATATAAGAACCATGATGGTGGGACATTCTGTCACTTCACAGCTGTCCAAAACATGTGGTTTGTGCCAGGCGGACATGATTGACAGGATTTTTTCATTATTGCAAGAAATTCCATTGACTCATTCACAAGTCAAAAATGTGTTTTATCTGAAAGAAACATGCAATATTTACATCTAAGATCATAGAAAAATAGTCAACCACGTGCAATGATGTCCTCCAAGATAATATTTGCCACTTTGTTTGCAGTTAAAAAGGGGGGGCACGTGTCCCCCTCAATGTATATGGTGACTACGGCCCTGTCATGTATGCATAATTAGGCTACAGTTGTCTGGGTGCGCAAAGGTGAAGTGGCTGGTCTTGTCATACAAAGTTTGATGGAGTGTCAACTGGACAATATGGAGATATTTGCATCTTGAAAGCCGGACTACAAATGTGGATAGACAGGGAGAAACACACACAAGCCTAAGATGTGGTAAGATACGATATTCCTCACTATATGAAGTGACTGATAACAAGATCTGTGTCATGGGTTGTAAAGAAATTCGTCAGGTTTTTATTTTGTAGACAATTGATCTGTATTTATAGCATGATGGGATGACAGTACAATGATGTGTGTGGTATCATAGGAAAGCTCTGCTCCTGCGCTTTCATGTGATATGCGTGGCATTTCTGCGCGAGCCTGCATTCGCGAGTAATCCATCCAAGAATAATGTGTGTGCAAAGCTGTATGAAAGCTTTGTCATACATCATTTTAGTGTAACTTTATCATTTTTTTCGCTGTGAAAACATTCGGAAAGCTACGATTTCGCTGTTTCACGTGATATGCGTGGCTTCTTGCTATGACGCACGGTCGCGGAGAAAATCCATAGAGAAGAACAGGTGTTAATTTGGACGCACTATGCGTCGTTCTGGATGGACTCCTTGGCCTGCTGCTGCTGCATTTTCCCCAAAAAACGGGACAAATTGTGTCCCGGGAGAGATTTTTTTTTCCCCGGACAGCTGATGAAAAAAGAGAACAATTCTGGGAAAAACGGGACGGGTGGCAACTCTATTCACTGGGGGGACAACATCCACTAGCATTTCAGGTAGTGTTTGGTTCACTCACTGTACCTCTGAAAAAAGTACCTGGGTCTCTTTCTAAATGGGTCTCTTTACCTTGACTCAAGCTCATTTGTCGCTTGAAAAGGTAGCACACAACCAGTGTGTGTAAGCCTGTGGACTGAGAACAGCAGACGGTTTTGAGTGAAGTGGCACTATTTGGTTTGTCTGACTGCAAACCAAAACAACGAGCTAAAAGAGGCTCACAACTGCTGTATTTTCAGTGGGATCAGCAGTATCAGCTGAGCTTTCACATTACAGGGAGTCACTTAGATTTAGAATAAATATAACTGATTCATGTAAGTTGAAGGTCTTGTAATTTCTGTACATATTAATCACTTTTTATTGCCAACGGGTGAACAGATCAGAACAAATTGGGACCTTTCACGACTTTCTCGGTTGCCTCTAACAGCCTGTGTAATGTACTCAGAATTAATGTAACATTATGCACACTCCCGAGGACCTTGCATCTCCCAACAGCTCTGCTACAGTACTAACAGTGTGCAAAAGTTGCTAACGTTTGCTTAGAATAGGAGTTTGTAACGTCAACACCAACATGTCAGCACCCACCACAACACAGATGCTGCATTTCCATGATGTACATGTTGTGGCAGCAGCTAAAAGATGCAGAAGATGGGCTTTGCACAGGCTGAATTTGAGCTGCTACAGCCATGGATTCAAAGTCCATCTCCAGGGTCAACAAACTTTCTGTTTTGTGTGTGTCTGTGTCCCCTCTCTAAATTTAGAGGTTTTATCGGTCCCTGAATGCAGCACAGAACTCTCCAAGAGTTCTTTTGTTTATCTCAGCAGCAGTTTATGGAGTTTGAGGTGCAGACAGGATAACTGATCAGTCAATCCAGTCAGAGCTGATCAGATCAGATCAATGGATAGGAGGAGCGGCTTCTGCAGAGGCGAGTGAATGCAAACATGTAGACCCAAAGCAACATGATGCTGGCAAATCAGTCTTGCATTTGTCACCTCTGTGTTTCGGCCGATACCCAGGTGCTCACACGTGCCTCCATGTGAGCACCAGGATGCTGACTACATTTTTCTTAATGTTCTCAGAGGAAGGTGTCACTGATAACAAGGATTTTCTTAAAGTTACATACAGAAACTTTAAGGTTATAGAAACACTTCAAAAAAATGTAATGTCATTGCCATCATCAGAGAGAATTATCAGCACTAATTACTTTGAGAACGCAGCACACAGTGTGACTGATGGTGACACAGGAAAACAACAACAACACATTTGGGGCCGTGAGTTGGCAGCATTAAAAGCAGATGAAGCAATGATGCCACGGGTTGATTTTATCATCACTAAATCTAATTTAATTTTAAGCTCAGTGCTGTTCTCCGCCAGCCTCCCGAGACTGACACTGGCAGCATGTCACAGTCACACAGATGGTTGATGGGACTTGTCATCTGCGCTTTTGTTTTGTGCTGCGTTTAGTGAGCAAGGCCAAGAGGAAAACACCACTGCACCGCTCTCAAGTGTTTGGTTATGGTGCTTATTTCGGCGGTGCATTAAAATCACATCAAAGGTCCATTGTCCTTCTGTGACAGACTGTCATTTTGTTGGTTAGATCCATGGCATCTAAAGCAACTTCCAGTCACAAATCAACCGACCGTCTCTTTAGAGTTGTAACCCTTACTCAACAAAACAAACTCTGTTTTTATTTACAGCAGCAGCCACAGAGAGTAGTTATAGACAAGTGAATGGGTTACACGCTGACTGAGGGTTTCCCACTGCAATCAATCTCAACACCATTCAAACTCAGCCACAGGGTTTAATTAGCCCACAAGATAAAGAGCAGGGCCATTTCCTTATTATATTTTGGCCCCCCATTGGAGATGTGTTTGCATTTTTACATGCCATTCAGGCACCTTCAATCTTACTGTAACACAGCAGTGGTCACAGTGGTGCACATGAATGCATGTCTGGGTTGTGTGCAGTAAACTCACCAGGACAGCAGGAGTCAGTGTAGAGGTACTCCAGGAAAGACAGGAAGGTATCTGAGGAGACACCGTGGATTGGCACAACTCGGCTCCGGGCCTCTGCATACTTCCCACTGAACATGGCCGCCATGACGTCACAGCGTGCCACCAGTACTGCTCGGTGGGCTGGCAATACACTCCCTTGAACACACACACACAGAGACATGCAAAATTTACACCTAGGTTCAGAATTTCAGAGTAGCGTCTATGAAAGTCCCAGAGAGATGTGAAATGAGATTATAAAGTGTTTATAATTAACATCTTACATCAACTATTACAGACACTCAACAACAATGGTGTATTAGAAAAATGTAGTCTGGTTTTGCTGCATACCACAGAAACTGCACTCCTTAGAGCCACAAATGACTTATTGATGGCTGCAGACTCCGGTGCATGTTCTGTGTTAATGTTGCTTGACCTCAGTGCAGCATTTGACACCGCTGACCTCTCCATTCTCATAGAGAGAATCAAAAGGTGGGCGGGTATTACTGGAACCCAACAGGAAACCTTTTCTCATCATTGGGGAATATTCCTCAAGAACTGCTCAGTTAAAACATGGAATACCACAAGGATCCGTTTTGGGGACCTGTTCAGTTCACCCTCTAATTGCTACCCCTGGGACAGATAATACGTCATCACAACATCTCTTTCCATAGCTATGATGACACACAGCTGTACCTGTCCTTTAAACCCTCTGACACCAGTAATTTAGCTTCTCTTCATACAGTAGTTTCCTACATGACATAAAAAGCAGGATGTCCCAAAACTTCTCAAAATTTAACTCCGAAAAGACAGAAGTTCTCATCATTGGCCCTGAACATATCTCAAAACAAATTTAGCAACTCGTCAGCCCCCTCACTTCGAACATAAAACCAGGTGTTGTTTTTCTGGACAGTCATTTGACCCTGGAGCAACATGTAAAGAATGTAGTCCAGTCTTGTTTTTACCAGCTGAGGAATATCTCCAAATGTAGGTCACTTCGGTCCTTCAGTAACACACAGAAAATCATACATGCTCTTATATCATCCCACTTTGATTACTGTAATGCCCTGTTCACCTGCCTAAACAATTGAGCGATACACTAGCTCCAAATCATTCAAAATTCAGCAGCTTTTGACCAAAACTAAGTGATCCTCACACATCACACCTATTTTGGCTTCCAATCTCTTTTAGAATCCATTTTAAAGTTCTTTTAATCACATACAAGGCTCTCAATGATCTGGCAATGGAGTATATAACTGAGCTCCTCACACTGTACCACCCAAACAGGCCCCTCAGTTCTGCTAGTCTGGATCTTCTAACTGTTCCAGAGTCCAGGTTAAAGACAAAGGGTGATCGAGCCTTTTCAGTTCTTGCTCCTCGGCTTTGGAACAGCCTCCGACTGAGCATCAGATCAGCTGACCCTGTTCACGTCTTTAAATCTCGTATTTCCTGACAGTTGATAGACTAACTGTGTGTATGGGAGTGTGTGTATGTATGCAGCCATGTGTATATGTATGCATACTTACAAGTATATATGTGCTTAAATGTAAATGTTGGTGTAGTCATATGTATATGCTTATGTTTTATTAGTATCACTTTTGTTTTGTATTTTCTGCACATTGGAAACACTTTGTACTTTCAGCTCAAAAAGTGCCCTATAAATAAAGTTATTATTATTATCTTGACTTGTAGTAACAGAGTGCATCTTTGATATCATCAATTAATATAGATCAAAGTAGCTCATAGGATGTTCCTTATCCCTTCTATAAAGATCATTATATCTCTCAACTGTGTGGATACAGGGGTTTGTATTAACCTTGCACTGATAACACTGTATGTTTATGTGTGTATGCGGGCGCAGGTGGGTGGGGGATGAAAAAGTGATAAAATGTATTATGTATAATGTGTCTCTTTTGTACCTTTCTTAATAAAAAATTAATGACAACAAAAAAGAACGTACCTTTGATCTAAAAATGTTCTGAGCCAATCACATACGTGAACAAATTCTGAATAATTTTCAAAGGCTTCTAATATCACCGACGTGTCTCTTTTGCTTTGTCGCAGACGTGTAGAGGGGAAACCTAATTAAATCTGGCTTGCTATGAGTGATGATGTGTCATAATGGGACATTTAAATTAACAGGAAAAAAACATGACATGTAAAGCCAGGACACACGTGGTGACATAACCGCTGTCATTAAGTGCCGCTAACAGCCAGTGACAGCTCTCGCCACAGTCTGTCAGCGTGCTGGCGTAAAGAAAAACAAAACAGAAATGCACAAAATATTCTTGTAGGCATTTTCTCCGTGACCTCAAAGAGTTTGACTCACAGCTCAGAGGTGCAAGGACAAGAAAAGCTCATTGCGCTTTTTATGAGATAAATATTGATTTGGAGAGGCTTCGGGGCATTATTTCTGGATTTCACGGTTTGATCCTTTAATAGAGAATCGGCTAAATGCAGCTCATGGATGAGCTGCTGGTGAGATGAAACATGACAGGAACGGAAGGCAGCCCGTCCCTCCAACCAACCGCTTTATCTTATTTTGCTTTCCAAATGGACGTCCAGGCCCGGGACTGAGATCATGATTCAATCACGGCTAATTAAGTGTGACCTTCCTCTGCTGTGTGACGGTGCATGCATTTGTAAATGTGTGTATGTCAAAACAGATAAGCATGGACCCACCTTGCACCATGAAGATGACATCAGAGTAAAGGGGAGAATTGAAGAGGTTGACAAGAGTCTGGGGGCCGAGCTGAGCTGCCCGGGCACTCGGGGTGTCCCTGGGGCCCTGCACACACACATACAAACAGAAGAAGCCAAGAGAAGCAGACAGAGAGTTCACATCCCTTTGGTGGATGTCAGGTACTAGTTACCAGCACAATTGCCATTCTGTGCATCCATCTCACCTCCCCTGTGGAATACAAATGGCTTCTCTGCCAGTCTTGCTTAGCGCTACCCAAACATACTTGAACTGCAATGCCAAGAACGGCATGACAGCTCGGGCTAACACTGAAAACAGACTGGGAACCACACGCTCGTCCAAACTGCCTATTTATTAACACATTCCTGATGATTGTGGGCATTTAAAAGATGCAGAGTGCAATAGAGTGTGCTGCAGTGCACAGCAGGTGAAATCAGTCGTATGAAAACGGCTGCCAGTGTGTCTTGTGCACACGTGGTTGTGTTAAGTCCTCAAATGAGCGCCGTCAAAGCATCCTATTACCATTCCGTGACCTTTCTCAGTCAACTGAAGCACAAAGAACTTCATATTCTCGTGCTGCTCTGCTGCAGAGGGAGCGCTCAGCACACAGAGAGTCTTCAGTCGAGGCAGCAACAGAATCAAGCCTCTTTGATTTTGTAAATCAATGGCAAGCTTATGGAAAGCAAATTTCAGCCGGTCTCACAGAGTGAGACGACCCGGAGGTGTCTGCAGAGGACGAGATCAAATCACGACAGGACATTAGGGTGTCTCATCGTGTTAAAGTAGCCCGGCCCGTCTCTTGGTGTGTCATATCGACTTAACGCCGCCTCAGGTAGAAGACCTAGTTCTATCCAGATGGGCTGGTGGGCCATGTGCGATGGTGCCAAGGGCTTGTCAGGCACAGTCATATCTCCTGATCTCTCTCTGAATGTTAAAGTCTGCTGCCTATTACACGGAGCCACCTCATGTTTTCCGGATAGACACAATACATTGCAGATGTGACGCTGCAGTTTTTAACATGGTGTCTGATCTCGTGGCCGATGTCCAGTGTGGTCTCCTTACAGATTTTGTGTTGTGCTTCGGCTCCTTTGAGAGCATCTCTTGTTTATGTTGTGCCAAATCCCACAGTGTCTGAGGGCTGATACGGGCAGTAATTATGTAAATATGCTAATTATAGTCAGTTATTACTGTGCTGTTTCTAAACAAGGTCTTGCTAATTAAGGCGCTGTTAGTCTGCAACTACAAAAACATGTGTTTATACCTTCAAAGAGAAGATTTGACACACTGTAGATGTTTAACCTCCTTTTTGTTGGGGAGGGCTGTTATAGCATCCGCACCGTCCACAAGATATCCCAGTCTTAAACAAGATTATGTGAGAGGATTTTTTTTTTTTTTCAAACATTAAAGAGCTCACCCGGTCTCTGCCGATGAGGGATCGTATGCGCTCCATAAGCTGAGCCACAGCTAGTGAATTCTTCAGCTTCTCTTCCAGGGCCTCCTGAAGGTGCTCCCACTCCCACGCTCCTAAAAACATCCACAAACACACCGATTCTTTGGACCCACAATAGCACAGTTTACAGAAACACACAGCAGGCAAACTCTTTTCTAGTTGGCACCATGTTCCAAAACACCCACATCCCTTACTCTGAACACACGGGGCCTGTTTTTGACAAAGTTGGCTTGTTTTAAAAATCTGTTTGCTTATATAATCCATGGTGTTTAAAGGCGGGACAGCCAGTCCAGATTCCACAAATATCAGAAACAGTGATCCAAAGGCCTTTGCAAAATACACTTGTGGCCATAATACACCTGCCTTCAAGACAGTTGGTTACTAGTATTTATTTAATTGATTTAACTCGGATTTAGGTCAGTTTATTTCTATAGATCATTCTTTTTCCAATAGCCTGCAGGCTTATAATGTTATTCTACACAAATCAAACATATCAAATGTATTTTAAACAAATATAGCACTGAGATATTTAAACCTTTTATCCATATTTACATAATTCAAATTCCAGGTATAGACATGTGTCATTAAATAGTTTGATTTATAAATGAAGAGTCTGGAATTTAGTTGTTTCTCATCAGATCACATTGCAAAATTTAGACCAGTTTTAGTGGCTGAAAAACACACTCGTGACCAGACATTGTGTATGTTAAATATGTTGGTAGGATGAGTGTGTTTGAGCATGAGTCTCTGTAATGCTGTATTTAAGCACAGCAGGGCTTTGAGCTAATTTAACAAATGTCAGCACACTAACATTTGTTAATTAGCTCTAAACACAAAGTAAAGGTGTTGGGAATATCATTAGTTTGCAGGTATTTGGTCATAAAGTAGTAAACAAACTAGAGGTAAAGTTAGAAGATCACCAAAGTCAGTAGGATTCATCCTCATGGATGCTACAAGCATTGTTTAAAATGATAGATACACAGTAAATAATCAGGGAAAATGTGATAAAAATAAAATCCCAAAACTTCTAAAACAAAACAGACAAAGTAAAACTTGTCAACCTGCATCTGCGCTGCATGTATTCACTTCAGTGGCACACTCTTTTACAAAGCCTGCACAGCCTTGCAGCTTGATTGGAGTGGCGCACGCCATCTCACTGGGACATAAACAGACTGTTGAGGGAAGAAGGGAGCTGGACTGGGCAGGATTTATCTCATCATTAGTTCATAATGATGGTATTTGGGCTGATAGAGGGATTACCTCAACACACGGCACCGGATAATAACACTGCATGGCACAGACACCTCAGAGGCAGGGTGAGAGATTAGCTCAGGAGCTGTGGTGCTGACATATGATGCAGCCAAACTCCAGAAAACAGGACTGGGTGCACTGGTAGATGTTTTCATACATGGGACTAAGGCATTAAGTGCAATACATATGCAAGTAGAACTCTACCACGGCTAAATGCCCTATCTCTCAGTGTTAACCTTAATGTAAGACACTGTTAAGCTACACCCTTCCACCAAGTTGCATGACAATCAGGCCAGTAGTTTTTCTATAACCCTGCTGACAAAAAGACCAACAGACAAACTAGGGCTTCGAAGCTTGGATCATTGCCATGGTAATGAAATCCAAATGAGTATTCGAATGCTTTGTTTGAATATACTATTACCCCAAAAATCCCACATAGCTCATAAATTAAAAAAATAGCAATCCTACAAAATTCATTATGCATCAACATTAATTATTAGTTATTCTCAGACGAGGACACTTTAGGCTAGCGATCGGCCTAGATCTTACAGATACGCCAGTAAGATGTCTAAAAAGTCAAGCATCTGTAATAATTTCAAAATTGACAAAGATAACCCCCAAAAGGTTGTGTACCAGATACGCATAAGAAAACTGGCATATTACAAATCGACAGCCAGCTTGGCAAATCACCTGAAAACTCCAAGTAACAGCTTAGTCTTATGGCTATTTGACTAATGTTTCTGCAACCTGCATGCAAACAAAGTGACAAATTGTAGAGTTATTTTAGGTGCAACGACTGGAAACAGATGTCCTCCCACCGAAGCTTCAACTAATTGTGAGTATTTCTCAACGACGCTTCGATGCCCCCAAACTGGTATTCAGTACAGCCCTAAAAGAAACTGAACCAAAAACATATCCTCATATTTAAGGTAAAAGCAAAAGCTTGAAAATGCTTAAATCATTTCTACATAATCTCATAAATAAGTTCTGGAGTTGGTGTACTTCTTCTCATCCACCTACACAGACACACAAATGCTGAGATAGGATGCAAGTTGTACAGATTAGCACAAATTTCCTGGAGGCTTTCCTTAACCTCTTCCATACCTGCTACATTCCTGACTCTACCTAAACCTAAACCAGACTATCAGAGACAAAAAGCAGTGCAGCCTACCAAAGGACAACAGCAGGGAAAGCATAATACAACAATTTTTCCCCAGTGAGACATGTCATCTCAAAACCAACTGGTCTGTAGTCTAAAATCTGACCCCAAATAAGGCAACAATGATCACAAACACACACCATTCACCCGTGTTGTACATGTGCTAAACATGCACACACACACACACAAAAGCAACCAAGTGACAAACTCAATAATTCAGCAGCACACTACACAAGGAGACACAGTCTCACAGTGTTAACATCACACAAGCAATGTCATGGCCTCTGCGACTGTCCGCACACACTCCAGTGACAAAAACCCCAAGCGTGGATTGGGATAATACCACAAGTGTGATGCTGTGCGTTTTAAAGAGACATGATATTGTTATGGAAATTAGGCCTGCTAAGCCAATATAATGAGCAACAAATGACAAATGGGTTGAATTGAATTGCGTAAGATATTCATCCCATCTCTAGGAATGCAAAGTACAGCTTGTTGCGGATTTACTGCAAATGAACATCAGGCATTGGCTCACTGTGCTTTCAATGTTTCTGTGGGCAAAGGAGGCACACACTCACATCTGATCAGCCAACTCAAGACAATAATCGAGAAATACACACACTGTATGTGAGGTCAGCTGCTTTAAACGTACAATCAGACCCACAATTTTGAAGGTTAACGGGAGTCATTTTACACGCAAGACTCAACACCGTCTCCCTGAAGTGTTTTATGGAAACGTGACATTCGTATTCTGCTCTGCACATGAACACATTTCCCTCTTTCTGCTCTTCTCTCCGAGCCACACACACACATTAGCAGCATGCTCTAGTGCCCAGCTCTCCCATCACCCAAACACTCTCCACCAGTTCCTTATCCCCCTCTCCCACCCTCACGTCATGCCACCTCTGTTTTTTCACACTAGTCACAATTTCCCACTTCTTACTTTCTCATATTCCTCCATTCTTACTCAAAAAAACAAAAAACAAAATCCACCCAAGGACATGTATTAGCGTGCATGAAGATACACACTGTACCCTCCGTCTTTCAACCACTGGCTTTCTTATTCTTATTCACACAGTCACTTACAGAGACTCAGTCTAACCCTATAATTTTCTTCCCTTCACCAGCGCACATACACACTGAGCTCATGTGTTCGTGTGTCTGCCCCTGGTGTATATGTGCGTCAGACCATCAGCGCTGCTCACCACATACATGTTAAGAGGCGAGCTATGAATCAGATGTTCACACAGCTTTTTGCCATAAGGGCTCCTGCATGACATGCAGGCTGCGATGAGGCGCTGGCGTGCACAGGCGCTGCCATCTAACATGCAGCAAGCACAGCACTGCAGACTGTGAGCCTCAGACTCTGAAGATTTTCATTACGGCACTGATGTTGCAGAGAATATCAGGTGGCTGTTCAGCTAGGGTTCATACACGGGCTGGAGAGCATTTGGGACACGAGTGCCACAATATGCACAATGTTTTGGTTGCATGTTTTATGCCTGCGTGTGCTTCTTAGGTGAAGTTAAATATAAGACACTGTTAATACTACATGACAGTTTCATCACAGAGTTGATGTAAATATGACGCCACTGTGTCTGTGTCAGGTTCTATGAAGGAATCCCATTAGCCATCGTTGTGATGGAGGTTCAATTTCTGCAAAGACATCGCTCAGTGTGCCAAACCATGTGTCCATAATGTTTGATAGAACTGAGTAAAGGAAACACAAGTGCCCCGGGGCATCGAAGTACAAATACAGGTTGAAGAAAGCAGCGTGAGATCACAGTACTACACGATGAATGATCAGGTACTGGATTAAAATACTACAGTCGCTTACGATCAAGCACTTTCAGTTTGACTGATTTCTGTTCCTCAACATAATGGAACACTGGACAAGATCCAATAGCAGGCAAACTGCCTTCTGCTGCCAGGGGACATTAATCATTACATCTAAATTATTGGAAAAAGAGTAACTGCTTTTGGGGAATGGAGTTCCCTTGCTGTGAATGTCAGTCCAGCTCTGTTAGCCGTATTTTAACTCTAATGCAATGTGCAGAGCGGGTCTAACACGGCAACAAACAGGGAGCATGTAGCCTGAAACACGAGCCTTGCCATTGGCAACGCACAAAAATCACCCAAACTAGGTTATATTAATGAACACTATTCAATACACTGAGCTGTTTGTCGCACTGAGGAGCAGGAAATGTTTCATGAAATCATGTAGTGTGATGGGAATAAACTGATTGAGCCATCCTTGCTGAGTCCAGATTTCTCTGGACAAAGCGAGTGTTGGCCGCAGTTTTGTATTCTGATCTCCACTTTCTATTTGGCACTTCCTGCGCAACTGATCCTGGTGCCAGGATGTCAGTTTGGGCAACTTCTAGTGGGGATGGGATGCTCCTGAGTGTTGTTGTGATTTAGGTTGGTGCAACTTTTAATATGGAAAAAATCTGGCAGCATTTACAAGAATTCACTTCTGATTAACTCAGACCCATAGTCACATGGGCTCTGAGTATTAAAGTGCCATGAAATTTGACATGAATGAATTATAATCACTTATTACATGGCTCTATTGAATACTTGATTCTGACTGGTCAATTATGACCTTCAACGGTCCGCTATGAACAATAGACCGTTGCTATGGACACTGTTCTGCTGGCACAAATGCATAGTGGAAGCAATAAAATCATTTTTTAATCAATCATTTTGTGCAATATTATTGATTTTTAAATTTTTTTTTTGTGTAATAAGTGTGGTAAGTGTGTGACGGCAAGCAGAGTCATTAATGGTATATAAACCCCTTCAGGTAGGGAGGGGAGATATTGAGAAAATCAAATGTCGATATGGTGTCGATATTGTAGGCTTGACTATCGATGCTTTCTCAAAATATTTACACAATGAGATTTTCAATAAATAATCAACAGTAATGTGGATATAATGACAAAGAGGGTAAAGGTAAATCACAGTATAGCTAACAGACTGGTAAGTTCAGCAAATTACATCACATTACTGTAATGCGGCCTATGGCAGGGAAAACATAAAACATTTATGATATTATGATGTACAAAATCTAAGACCATGTCAAGTCTCACATCATGATATGGATATAATAACAATAAAGTGTGCAGCCCTACTTCAGGGTGATTCAAGACCCTTTCTGCATCATCCTGTCTGAATTTATTTCACAACAATGGCCTGCTCGCTGTACATTATCCCTTACTTTGATGATCCCTTAACATTTCACATAGTGCCACCATCAGGTCAAATGGTTGGTTCACAAACAAATACCTGCAAAACTACAGACACTCCCAGCAGCTCTAATTAGTGCTAACTAGCAAATGTTAGCATGCAAACACACTTAATTAAGATGTTAAATATGGTAAATAGTTCACCTCCTAAACAAGGAGCAATGCCAATGTTAGCAAATAATTCAAAAATGGCTATGCTCTCCATTTAGAGAACATGTTCTTATTGTCTATACCTAGGGTACGCATGGAGTTTGGCAAACAAGCCTTTTTGTAAGCAGCTCTCAACATGGATTCTTCTGCAGAAGGACTTAAAATTGCACTCATTGGCTCCTCTCAGCAGTTTCAAAGCACTGTTGTAAGAATTTTATATGCAATCATATATGCACCAATGTCAAGGTGTATTTTAGCTGTCTTTTTAATTGTTTGTAGTTGATGCAGATTAGCTACTGCTCCATCTGGCTCAGTCTTGGCAAGGTGCTGAAAACAGTCCAAATTGGGAGAAAAAGATTTCCGCACACTTACATCTATGCAGTGTCTCACTTTGTGGTTGAGCTTTCAGTCTATTTGACCTTCATCATCATGATGTATGCTCTGATGAAGGTCAAATAGGCCAAAAGTCTGCGGAAATCTTTTTCATCATATTATATTTTTGACTTTGTTTTTTTGTTCTATGTTGTCTGTCTGTAACTTATGTTGCTGCCTGTCTTGGGGAGGGCACTCTTGAAAAGGAGATTTTAAATCTCAAGAGATTTTTCTGGTTAAATAAAGGTTAAATATAAAATAATAATAAAACAAAATAAGGGTACGTTAGCATATTGATGTTAGCTGTTATTTGAGCTGCTAGCATGACTGTACAATTCAGTTTTGTGGAAGAAAAATATGCCAAAAATTCAGTACTTTCAGCCTTTTAAATAAGATAATTTGATGGTTGTCTTAGTATTCCATGATTACATTTTTTTTTAGTTTTGGATTGATTGATTAAAAAAAAAAGCAGTATTATTACATCATGTCTCGCCTGGAAATTGTAATATGTGACATTTTTCACAATTAGTTTCTGACATTTCTAGACTAAGAAGGAAATAATTTTATATTCATGTAACTTTTTGTCAGTGAAAGCTCTACATAGTGTTGGAATCTCAGAAGGAAAAGACACAAAACAGCAGATTTCTGATTTTCTTGGTTGTCATCTGAGTGTGCTGTGTTCAACAGCTTATTTTCGCATTTATGTATCATATCAGTGTGATAATGTGTACAGCTAGTCCTTGCTTTTTTACATATTTTTTAAATCTATGCTGGATTTCTTCACTGTACAACTCTACATGCCTCTGCAAATTGCCCCCCACAAACAAGTGACATGACTTAAATTGGAATTGATGGCTTTTACCTCTGTAAATGAACATGAGAGTCTCCCACAAGCACATACACAGGAGGGGATCCTTCACCACCAGACGAGAGAGGCGTCCTGTCAGGTGCCCCTCTGATCGTGGCATGTCATCAATAATCCCCCCGTCCCAGGTGGAGAGCAGCGAGTGTGGGCCTCCATCCCGCTCTCTGCAAACGCACCGTGACTGTGGACGTTCCCTGTCCAACCAGAGATGAGATTCAGCACAAAATCCTTCACACTGATGCAGATGAGGAGTTTGCACACAGAGAGAGAGCTTGGCTCCTGCTGGCTACAGGTTCGGGTGGTAAAATAGCTTGTTAAGCTGTATCATATGAATGAGCTAATATTTCTCCTACCTGGTCTTAGGTCCCAGGAGCAGCTGTCTGAAGTATGGACTGACAGCACACAGCACGGCTGCGTGCGCCCACCCCAGCTCTTTCCCAGAGTCCCCGGCATAGAAAGCCACATCGGCGAACTGCACGCCACGCTCCAGCAACCACTGCATGTCCTGGGAGAAGCTGGACTCCTCTACTCGGATGGGGGGGAGGCGTGCTGAACGGAGGGAGGAAGGGTGAGAAGGAGGTAGAGAGGGGGAAGATTGATAGGATGAGTTGTGTTAATGAACAATCACTGCTGAAATTCAGCTCGCCTGTACTTTCAAAAGATAAAAGGGTAAATCCACTAGATTTGTTATGTTCAAAGGACCCCAGAAGCTTTGTAATTTGTCCTCATTTTTTCCTCAATCTTCCGTGTCTTCTCCTACTAGTGATTTCCTCTTTTTTTGACAATGACTTTTGACAACTGAGATAAATGGGGTGTATGTGGGGTATGTGGAGAGAGTAATAGTGACAGCCACAGTGTAGTGAGATCTTTTAGTCAAGATAGAAAGCAAGAAGAGAAACCAATGTCATACTGTGCCCTGCCCTGTCACTCTGGTTAGAAAAATAACAAACCCTTCCAGATATGTTTGTCTTTGCACTAATAACAGACCTGTGACGATGCAAACCAAGACGGCTGCACTGGATTCTGGTCTGCTGAAGTAATAGAGAAATGTCTCTCTGTCTGTTCAGCAGTGGATTTGTCCCTGCTGCTTATTTTAATCTTGAGGGACAGTAAGTAAGACAGAAAGTTGACTTCCACTGGTTGTTTTAGATTATTTTGGTGATAAAAAGACATGCATGTCCAAAGGCTTATTTTAAATAAGGTTAATGTTTAAAGAAGATATGCAAAAAAACCTGGGCAAACAGAAGCCACAGATAAATGATCTGCAGTGAACTGGGCGTAACTGTAAAAACAGTGAACACAAGGAAAATACTGCAATGAAAAACCATACAATTCATAGGGAAAAAGAATTAAAAACACTGCGCTGTGATGCATGTACTCATGAATTCAAATTAATAAAAGTGAAAAAGCACCAAGCAGGAACATAAAATTGGGGGGAGGGGGCTGCACAAATCATCCTCCTGTTACATCCCTATTCATGCTCAGTACAAACCGCTCCTCTGTGGACCTCATCTCCTTTTTTATGGCTGCTCAGATTTAGCTGTGAAAATGCTGCTGTTCCTGAATCAGTGCACATCATATTTAATGCAAGCTACACCATAAGTACAGTTAAGCAGTGCTGGACGGGCACCAATAAATCCGCCAGTGCTTGATGCCCTTTTTGGCTGGACTTAAAGCTGTCAGTCACTGCATCAGATTGAGCAGCAAAGTGTCCGAATCAATATTTAACACGAGTTTGAAGACGTAGTTCGTGTTAAATATTTCCAAGGGTTTTATTTTGTAAAAAATTAACTGTGCATGGAAGAATACTGAGACAGCAGCAGTAGCAACAAATTCAGCACCACTTAAAGAATACAACACTGGACTCTCCTTTTAAAATAGCACACTACTGGATCTATTTTTTGTAGTGTGGGAGTTGGGCTTCTGAATGAATCTGAACTCATTCAAATTATTCCAGCTTGGCATGTTTCTTTTCTTTGCTGGAAAGATGTTTTCTTAATAAAAACAGACTGTTTATGCAGTAGAAATATGCAAATACTTTTAAAATTGGTGCTACATGACCAGAGAAAACAGAGGAAAGGGGCTGTGGCATTTGCTTTTGCTCAAGAGGTAGAAAACCTGCAACCAGACCAATAAACACTCCCGTTGCCGGGTGATGTAATGGCCGTTTTGGCTCAGAACACAATATGTCAGGCGACTGGTAACAAACAATCTGGAATTACAATGAAACAGTAAGCTCAAATAGACAAGGTGGTAACCAACACTGCTTAGTCTTACCGTTTGATTTCAGTATTTTCAGCCTCCATTTTTACAATACAGGAAACAGTATGGCGCTCACTTTCTGTTAACAAATTCTCAAAATACAGCTAAACAGTGAACTAAAATGTGTTTCTGAAAACATTTTAGGCAAGAAATAAGCAATACAGTGGTCTCCTGTAGCCAGACCTATCTTCACAGCACTGTGTCAGTGAAAGGTCTGGTGTCACTGTTTATCTTTCTGCTGTAGGGGAAAAAAACACTCTGGCTGGTTTGGGTTTCTTTAAACTAATCACCATGAGTGGCACTGAGCCATGGATGTAAGTTTTAGTGATGGAAAAGTCAGACACGATTTGATAATCAGTGCCCTAGAGGTAAAGCATGACTGTACTTTAGCTCTGGAGGAGCTCACTGGACCTGTTCAAACCCCAGATGATTTGCTGGTGGTACGTCGCTCTAGCAGAACATTATTACAACAATATCTCACAAGCTTGTGTGAAGTGGAACGGATTGGTACATTAAGTGAAGTCAGTGTCACTGGCACATGCTGCTGCCAGAGTTAAAAGATGTGCATTCACGAGTCATTTTCTTTTTTTATCTTTACAAAAAAAAATCACCAACACAGCAAAGCAGGTTTCTGTGATTACATGTTCCAAATCATCCAATCCTTCCATTTTGATTCATTCAGTTCTTTTGAACTGATAACTGGGAGGTTGTTGTTGTTGTTGTTTCTTGAGCAAGGGGGTTTGGAAACAGTAACATGCATAGTGGAAGAGCAAGAATGCCGGCCAAAATCAACCGAACAATGGCAGGCTCACAGCCACAGTCTACACCTGGTGAATCAGACTAGCAATACAGTAACAGGATTTTGGTTTAGATTTCATCAGCACTGAATGGTTGTACAGTTTGATCTGTGTTTCATATTGAGGCAGAGAGGGGAGTCTCCCTGCCTCAATCTGCTTACAATAGTTTTTGTGTCCGTGGTGGTCATGGATGGTGGTGGCGGGTGAACAAAAATGCGGCATAGTGCAATCTTTAGTTCAAGCAACAGCTCTACAGCCAGTGGAGATGAGCAGGGAGGTCGGGCTGCTGTGAGGATGAAGGGAAGTTTACCGCAGTTCACTCATATACTTCCCACATTGTTACAGTGTGGGAGGTATGAGAAGTCCACATGGACTCGCGGCAGTCTTGTTGGATTCTGGATGTGTGGACAGTTAAATCATTCCAAAACCAGAAACCATGGATTACCACAACCATCCAGAAACATGGACATTTATAAAGCAGCAGCCAACAATATAAAAAGATGCAAAAAAGGACTAAGTTACAGCACACAGAGTTGTACTTTGTATAATTCCCTGTGCACATAAATGATTGATTGATTGTTACGATACAAAGCTGGGTAAAAATGCTGAAGTATCCCTTTAAGTGTTGCTACAATAACCAACATTACTGTGTCTCTGCTGCTTGCTCTGTCTGAATGTTTGTGCTTCTGAGTCTTAGCTTCTTTTGATCATTGTCCAGTGGTCACTTATCTTCTCTATTAATTAACGTTTTGTGGCAGTTTCATTAAGTCTAGAATAAAGCTACAATCTGCTGCAAACCAAACGCTTTTGACACAAGTTCAATGCAGTTAGTTTTGAGGCTTAATTAAAATGTAATCTGAAATTCTGGATTTTAAATAAGCAGATTAAAAGTAAATTAGAGTCTAAACAATGAGTTGATGATTAACTGATTAACATTTTGATTATCTATTGACTGTTTGAGTCATTTTCCAGGCAAAAAAGCCAAACATCGTCTGGTTCCAGCGTCTCAAAGAGAAAAGATGTGTGAGAGTGTGTCTGTTATATCCTTGAGTTTTAAGCTGTCGTCGGACACAAGAAACTATTTTCAAATGTGATCTTGCAGCCTTAAACTAAATCTTGCAATGCTTAGATGTGAATATTCAATTTAAATATGCACAAAATTTAAAAACACACAACACAATGCAATGGTGCTAGGCGTGCTGCCGGCTGGACAAGTGGGTATTTTGGGTGCCTAAATACCTAAACTGATCAAGAACATCTGGTAAAACACACAGTGAATAATTAATCATCTTCTGTTCCACGACTACAATCCCTGAGCTGCCTCAGAACAAGGCACTAAACGCTCAGTTGTTGCTGTGTCTGATGCTGAAAGGAGCTCTGTCTAAAATTGATTCAAACGTCATTGTATAAAAGCAGTCTACCTAGCTCTTTGTCTCTCTTCTTCTATCCAGTTTGGAACAGAGAATATTGATCTGGATAAAAACCTTTGTGCTAAGCTTTTTTTATGGCTATGTAAGCTGTAAGAAGCAACAATCCAGTCAATCCAAGTGCATGTTTTTATACACCATAAAGAGAGTTTTTAAAGCAACAATAATAACAAAATATTGTGAAGATTACTACATGTATTACTTAATAGAAATAATAATTGCGATTCATTAAATAACATGATTTAAAAAATTGCTTAAAATGGCTAACACTCACAAGACACAAGCAATGGCACTCAAAATAAAAGCAGTATTAATTTTTAGCTACCATAGTACTCCTCTGACCTGGTTGTTCCAAGTGAGGGGGACGAAGCTCGTTCACTTTATTTCCTCGCCTCTTCTCGGGCCGCTCTTTGGCTTTGTGTTTCAGACACTGAATCATGAAGTACTCCAGCTGTACAGCACAAAAATACAAACGGTAGTACAAACTCGAGGCACCAAAATAGTGATGTTACATCATTGATTCTTTTCTTTGGAAACAGCTTTCTGAGAAGACCAGCGTAGCCACCTGTCCTTGTCTCTACTACCAAGTATTGCACCTATGTGAAATGCAGAGCCAATAGACAGACAGTGTGTGTGTGATTTTAAGAATTTATATTACAGCTTGGTCTGGGCAGAATACAGGAATAATTTTATCAAAAGATACTTAGTCATACAGTCTCTCAGCACATCAGTGATCATATAAACTCAAGTATGAAAATCAAAATGCAACAAAAAGTTAATTTAAAGGATAACTTAGGGTAAATTTTCAACCTGGACTATATTTTTTGCATATTTTTGTGTATAAGTGACTAATGGAGTCAACTATTTTTTAAATTGGTCCAGTATTGAGCATTAAAGTTTAAGTTTTTAAAACAGGCTGCAGTGTGACCACTCGAGGCATGTTCGCACTGTCTATTTACATCCACTAAAAGTGTTTGTTTTTGCCACTGACAGGCTCAGATGGTTGACGGTGATGGCGTCTGACTACCTTAACAAAATACACAAAATGAAACTCACAAAACCAATTAGGTTCATTTTTCCACTGTTCCAACAATCACTAACTTTGGTTTGGTTGAAATTAACCCTTAATTCTCCCAGTTAGATATAAAAATATTCTCGCTCGGGGCGTCAGTGGCTTAGTGGTAGAGCAGGTGCCCCATGTACAAGGCTGTTGCTGCAGCGGCCCGGGTTCGACTCCAGCCTGTGGCCCTTTGCTGCATGTCACTCCCTCTCCCTCTCCCCCTTTCACACTTGACTGTCCTATCCATTAAAGGCTAAAAAGACCCAAAAAATATCTTGTTACACTGCAGCCTGTTTAGTCAGTTTTAATACTCTTGCTCAGTACTGAACCAATTTAAAAATTATTGTCTCCATTCGTGACTTAGACACAAAAACATGTGGAGACAGGGGACAGGTTGTAAAATACCAGTTACCCTTTAAATGCTTTTTCAGCCAGAGCAGCTGACACGGCTTCTGATTCCACTGTAATCATTAAATTCTTATTTTGACCATTTACTTCTTGTGTGACGAGACCACTTACCACGCTGCCAAAGTAGCGACCCACAAAGACATGGTTGAGAGAGGGCAGCTCCAGGTAGGTCGCCCCCAGGTCCCGGGACAGCTGCAGACCTTCACTGTGAGGCACACAGCTACTCCAGTCGGACGCACAAAGCGGGCACGTACAGGGAGGGCCTTCATCTTAACACAGAGAGTAGAACTTAGTTCTAAGAAGAAATCATTCAAACTTATAAATAACTGGATCTAATAAATAGTTGATGAGGGTATATGAGTAGCAATACATGAATCATGGATATTACATTATGCTTTTTAGGATGCATGAACCTTGTGCGAATTGAACAGCCAGAGCTGGAAATACTTGACTCATGTTTTACAGATTGAGCTGCACTGTGCCTTGATATACTGTCCATAAAAAGGGCTATCATACTATTCATAAAATATTCAAGAAATTAACTGCCCCATGTGCCTTCAAGCACAACATTTCCTTCCAGAATGTCCACAGCAGACAAGGATGATTCGAAGACTGAAGTCAGACAGAAAAAATCCACACACTGTACTGATAGCTTTCAATAAATTCAGCTGCTAAATGTTTGGGTTTAACAGAGTCCTTTTTCAGGCGCTGTCATACTCTATAGTTAAGTCACACCCATCAGTCAGGTGGTTGTGATCTGCATGAGTAAGAATCAATCTACTTCCAGCCTGGGCCAATCAGAGCAGAGCAGGGTAATAAGTGACACTCCCTGAGGGGTCAAAGTATGCCAACAGTGACAATTTAACATGCAGCAAAATGGTTATAAAATATCATACAACAACATCTAACACATCACAAAAAAATACACAAAGTAAAATACACTATTCTGTAAGGTTATTTCAGTGCTTATTAAAATTTTCTTGTAGACGAGCCAACAAAAATGGAAAAAAGCAACAAACTAAAAGCTGCTTTGTGTGATGAACACAACATGAGCCACAACATTTCCCACACCAAATTATAAAACTTACCTGACATAACAGAACATAAAAACCACATGCACAGCCACATGTGCTTCCAGGATGTGGATTTGCCCTACATCCAAATCACTCGTCTATCTAAGAGTGACAATGTAGGCAACCAATAAGGACTTAAAAAGGGAGGGAGGTGTATGTAGTGTTTTTCCACTTTGTGAAAAAATTTTTCTGTTTTATCATGTTTTGCGATTTTGATTCTTAAAGTGTCATTAGGCCTTTGTTTGTCTCAAATTCAAAGGGACAGTTCAGTCATTTTTCAGTCTAGACTGTTTTGGTGTGATTTGCTGAGTGTCTGAGATATCGACTGTCTTCTTTTCAGTGTAATGGAACTAAATGACACTCAGCTTGTGGTGCTCAAAGCATCAAAAAAAAACAAAACAAAAAAAAAAAATTTGAAAAACTCAACAGCGATGTCTCCTTCCAGAAATCATGATCCAGTAACTCAAGATAATCCACAGACCTTGTTGTGAGCAGTTTCATATAGGAACTATTTTCTTTTACCGAATTACACCTGCCAACCGTATCACCACGCAGATAACTGTTGTGCCTCTCTCTCTCCTCCTCTGTTCTTCAATTTCACGAAGCTCTTCGTCAGTGTATTCTGGCTCAAATAAATAAGGGCGGCCATCAAACTCTGCAAAAATCAAATTCCTCCTCCACAAAGTCAAAGTCTGGCAAAAAGTCAGCCATTATTTTATAAATTTTAAATAAAATAAATGAATGAACTTTTCAGGCTACTGTCCGGTTCTGCCTTCCAGCTGTTGCTGCTTGTTCAGGCATGGTATGAGATCGCTGCTTGTTCTCGCAATATTTCGGCTGCGCTTTGGAAAGCAGAGCTAAAGGGGTAAACAAACATGGCAGCACGCCGGTAAGGTAAGACAACATGTTTACATGTCGTTTTCTGTATGTTCTCTGACATTTATCCTAACGATATGAGGTGGTCTTTGTGGAAAAAAAGCTTGTTTAGTGGACTAACTTTGCACTTGAAGGTTGCCCATTCACTTACGTTTTAACAGGTCTGACGCTACTATGCGCCGGCTGAATCTAGGCTAACGGCTAACATGCTAACTATTATTTCTATGTCACTAGTCACTTGAAACAAATTTAGGAAGATAGGAGACAGGTTGAAATAAACCAAAATTTCCCTTTAATGGTGTACACCTCAGCTGAGCTGTAACATTAGCAAGCTCAGTGGTGCCAGGTGAGCTACCAGTAGATGCAGGCTTCCCTTTGCAATACGGTCAACAGGTGTAGTTAGGTAAAAAAGAAAAAAAGTTCCTACATGAAACTGCTCATACCAAGGTCTGTGGATTATCTTGAGTTACCAGGTCAGGATTTCTGCAAAGAGACATTGCTGTTGAGTTTTTCAAATGTATTATTTTTGGTGCTTTGAGCACCACAAGCTGAGTGCCATCTAACTCCATTATATTGGAGAGAAGGCAGACATCTCTACTGCCGATATCTCCAACACTCAGCAACTCACAACAAAACAATCTAGACTGATAAATAGTGCTACAGGTAAAAGAAGAAACATGTATTTTTAATTTTGGGGTGAACTGTCCCTTTAATATTGATGTGTTTCTTATTTCCAGCCACCCCCCCCTCCCCCTTCACAAAGTCCAAAAAAACAAAAAAACAAAAACAGAATTATCTTGCAACAACAAAAAAGACAGATCAGCACACTTGCACTAGGACCAGTGACACTGTGGCATGTGTGCACGGGGACCAAAGAGACAGAATCAAACAGAAAATTTGGAGGGATTAGCTCACAGGAGAAAAAGACTGCACAAAGGAGGAGAGAGCCAGAGATAAAAGAGAGAATGAGCGCGACATACAGCTAAGTGCTGAGGCATTTGATAAATCATACTGCTAATAACTTGCAGGCATGACATAGAGACTGAGCTAGGCAGAGTGTGTGTGTGTGTGTGTGTGTGAGACAGAGAGGAAAAGCAGAGTGAGTGTGAGCGTCTGACAGGCAGTGACTTGGCATATCAGTGTTATGTTTGTGTGTGTGTGTGTGTGTGTGTGTGTGTGTGTGTGTGTGTGTGTGCCCTTGGATAAATCTGCCTGCGCTCCTGTGTTCAGCATTGGTTTAATGGCTGTGTTAATGCACATACACGGCAGCGCTCTCTGTCACAGCTGTGCCTTAGGTGGTCTAAAGTCGAGCAGCAGGAAGCGCTCAGAGCTCAGCCGTCATTCTCTGCAATCATGAGGGGATAGCATGAAAATACTCACAGCAGCCGCAAACAAAAACACAAACAAAGGCTCTGGTCTACAGCTCCCCACTCCCTCTCCTCTCTCTCTCTCTCTCTCTGGCAAAGACTTGACTTACACTGTGATCATTCTGCAGCGGAGCTCTGACAGGATCTCAAAGTATGTCATGCAGACAAGCTAAAAATACAACCTGGTGCATTTGATGAGCATCTTTACAGAATTTCGATTCAACAAGGGTCAGTGTGTCTGCAAAAAAAACACATCCAAACACACTGAGGCACCAAAATACACGTATGTTAATTCCTGGTGTGTTAAGCAGCCTCCACTAAAGCTACATCCAAGTTTCTTAGTCCTACTTATAAGACAGACGACTGCTGTGGTGCACTTTTGAGCCGTGACGGCGTATATTTAAGAGCTGTGCAAGCTCTCGTCTGTTTGCAAAGCCTATAATGACCAAAACAATATAAACTTAGTGTCGCTTTGTGTCTCCTGCAGGGGAGCATGTGAACTGACCGCCTGAAGGTAGCCAAGAGAAGATTTAATCACCAGCATCCTCCTCATCGCTGAGAGGACACATTAGAGGACAAAAGGCTCAGACAGTGATCTCACTGGCCCAAACAGAAGAACATGATATTGTCCCACAATCAAACTCAGCAACTGAGGCAGCTGTAAATCAAGCCTGAAATACAAGGATATCAAGAACAATGGCTGAGAGATAACACGTTTTGTATTTGCTGCCTCTCAAACTCCATTGTTCATTCATCAGTTGTCAAGGTATTGTCGGCAAAGCTAAACTCACGCTGACTCAAAGAGGAACACAGGACAAAAGCATCCTCACCGTTCAGCCGTGCTCCAACAGCGACCAGGATGACAGGCACACCCCAGTGCCTCAGGAGCGGGCGGAGTCTCGGGGCGTAGCCATTCCTGACTTGCTGGAAGGCCAGCTTGTCAGTGACTGAATATTTAATGACCAGGATGTCTGCCTGCTCAAGAACTTTGCGTACGCTGGCCCAATCGCTGTCCAACAAGTCCTGGAGAGGCAAGAACAGGGCAAGAAATATAAACAGGAGGAGGTCAGAGGAGGACAGATATGAGAGAGGCAGTATACAGAACTGTCTGAATCTCCAACCTGTACTATCAGTCTTACCTTAGATAACCCTAACCCTTCCCCTCTGAGTCTCTCCAAGTATAAATACCTCTGTGTGGCGCTTGGGACTTTCCCCCCAAGGACCTGTGTGAGGCTAGCTGCTCGCTCTAAACCAACCTGATTCAACTCATTAGGCAGGAAAAAACACTTCAGAAAGCTTTGAGCAATTTGAATAAAAACAAGGACAAAGAGCCATAGAATTAGACTGACAGACTTGCCGCAGCACCACCCCTGACATAGTTAGACAGCCCTATAATAGGATGCAGTGCTGCTACAAAATCACAGCAACAGTGCTTTCATTTCAAATTCATATGCTATTAAGAACAAAAGTTCTTTCATTATTTTTTTGGAGTGCTGTGCATGTTAAAATAGCGTCCTCCTAAGAATAGAGACGTTTTTATAAAGCCTGCAATCAGCGCTGGAAGGCAAGTGGCCTTGGAATCTGAAATGTTGTAGGTTTTGTGAGAAACAGAAGCAGAGTGGGAAAGTAAACAGCATATCAGTGAAGTGACACACAGTTTCATTGCTTTGGCAAAATTACACCTCCTTTTTTTCTGGTGTGTTTTGCCATCTTGGCCTGCCTTAACCTTTCTGTGTCTGATTTACAAGCAGGAAGGTTCAGGGGAAAGAGCCAAAGCAACACCTGGTAACGACTCTTAGGGGTCCTTTTTAATGTGCAAATTGAGGATGGACACATTAATGAGCAAAGCAAAGATGCACACCAATGCAAGTCCATCTTTTCCTCATCCTGCTCTGCACACACACATACACACCAGTGTCTTACCCAGCTGGGGCAATCCCGAACCACCACAGTGACATCTCCAAACACACGTGAGGTGTACTCCATGAAGGCCGGGTTGTGGATGCTGCTCTCCAGGTCGCAGGGTCCCACCAGTGCTCCGTGACCCAGGTAGCTCCACAGCAGGCCTCCCTGCAGCTGCCCCTGCCCCATGATCTCCTCCCCGGGCCCGACTCCTCCGGGGCACTCGCTGCCCAGAGCCACGATGTGAATGGACCTGTAAGCCAGACAACTCGGGGTTGGAAGTGACTTGAATACAGCTGCACACAAGCAGATGCTGATCCAGAGGCAGAACTGAGGGAGAAGAGGCACTTTTGCTTTGGTCCTTATTATTCATGTCTATCACGGAGACAGTGCATCACCGTTATGTCACTGGAAATGACAGAGAAGAAGCTTGCCATGGCCTTTAATAGCCTATATCTGACAGGGGATTGTGGTTGAATAAATCAGACACTTTGAGAAATATGTTCGGTGATGTGTTTATATAAAGCAGTGATATATTGACAGAGGAATAAACAAAGCATGCAGCCCTACCAGGAACCCCCTCTCCTCTCATGCCTTAATGAGTTGCAGCTTCAGAGCAACTTACATTGTGGTCACCGCGGTTTTGTTCCGCTGCTGTACGCTATGGAGCCCGTTTCCCTCACGGTGCGTTTCCACGCCAGTCTGCAGCAGTCAGACTCGGCTTTTCCGCAATGAGCCGCGGCTCCGCTCCGTCGTTAATCCCTCTCATCGGTGGCTGGCCCCCCGGGAGCACGGCTGCTGGGGAGTTTCGCAGTCACTCGCATTTCCCCGACTCGTTATTCATTCATAAAAGCGGAGCCCGATACCGTCCCGAACCCGACCGCAGAGGCGCACCGGACAGCCCAGCCGGCGGAGAGGCAGAGCAGAGTGTGTGTACGGCAGCAGCGCCCATGGGCAGCCAATGCGCTAACAGACAAACAAGTTGTCAGTCGGTAGGAAACACAATTAGCGACGAGGAGAGGGCAGCCTCGCGCCTCGGCGTCCAGACCGTATGAATGACGTCGGTGGATAAAACAAAGTCTCAGTGGCAAAAAACAACTGGAGAGAGAGAGAGAGAGAGAGAGAGAGAGAGCGAGAGAGAGAGAGAGAGAGAGTGGTCGCGCCTGACTCAGCAACACGCACGCGGGCATACACACGTAGAAGCGGCGCGCGCCAACACACACACATGCACAGGCAGCCTCACCAGGACCATGCTGTAAACATGCAGGAAATCACAATGATGTTTTGTTCAGTCAGACATAGTTTCACACCCTGGTGTCTGCTCAGAGCGGGTACAGGTCCACCTTTACACAATCACAGATCAGGAGCTTTATCCTCTGATGAATAGGCTACATGTCACTGAACTCACCACATGAACAGGCACCACAGGGACTGCCACAAGGTATGAGCATGGGGTGCAATGTTAATGATAGTCTTAATAATGAGCTCATGTTTGCTGATGTAGCAAGGAATTATAAAATACTTAACAGGCTTTGGGGATGTTTTGTTGTGGGACTCAGTTAGGGACTGTTCGTTACTTGTGAGGGAGGACTGAGTGGTGCAAAATGAAGGAGGCATGTTGAATAAGTTTTGCCTTTTATTTTGGTTTAGAGAACGGACATACAACTTAAAATAGCTGTATTTTGTATTTATTATAAATGTAACCATTGGAGCCTAGTGTTGTCTGCCTTGTGTTGATATGAAGAGGCCCAGCCCGTGGATATCTTTGGAGGTGATCTCCCTTTATTCCTGACAACTCTGACAGCAAGAGACAAAAACAAAATCCTCCATCAATTACTTGAACCCCTCTCCCATGGAGTGCAACAGCAAAAGGGGCGAGACATGTTATGTTCAATTCAGTACAATAAAACACAGAAACCATGTCTGAGAGCAAGAGGTAAAAACAAAATCCTCCAACAATTACAACCATATAAACTCAAGCCCCTACACAAATTAGGTGACACAGGAATAGGTTAGCATAAAATTAATTATAAACAAAGCTTAACAGCGCACCAAAACAACCACACCAAGACCTTCTTGAAGAGGTGGTCTCGATCTGGTTACAAATGAACTCTGGTGCAGTTAGTTTGTGGTGAGAACGTGTTCCGATCTCGATCCGAACCAACTGCAGTCACATTACACATTGTTTGGGTTAAACATGAGCATGTTACAGTCCTGGAGGATTATTAATGTGCGCCTCCTCCTGTACTGCCTTAATATGCACATTCAGCACATCCAATGCATCAAAACATTGTTTTCTAGTTGGAGCCGCGCCTCGTTGTCAAACTGTATGGTTTGACTAAAATGAACAATGACAGCAATACAGTCCACGAAGACCAGCGCTAAAATCAGCCTGCGTATTTGTCCCTCCATTGTGACATTAGAAAGTGTTGCATTTATCTTGTAAGTGTACTCTTCTTCAAAGTTTTGTTTACATCCTGTTTTTTCCCATATGGAAATTGTGACCAACCAAGAACAGCTTTCTAACGCAAGGCATTTTATCTGATCTGCTTGCAAAATTTGGTCCACTTGTAAATGCTGCTGTGAGAACATGAACCAACTCTCGGCAATTATGCAACTTTAACAAAATAAGTCCCTGACTCGGACCAAAGCAAGCAAACGCTAGGTCTGTAACACCCTTTGATAAACCAAATCTACCAGCATACAAGCTAAGCAATGTTCTGCTGTGGAAGGGGGGGGGGGGGCTGCAGCAAAATGTGTTTTAGCCACCTAAAAAATCCATAGCAGCATAAGTGTGCGCTATATATTTGGTTGGCCTTACCTTAGGCACTAACCAATCAAGGCCCCAGTAGACCAGCAGCTCCAGTGTTCTGCTCGGTAAAATAACTGTTTTTGTCATTGCAGCCTGGTGGCTTTGATATAATGGCTTCAGTTACCCATCAGAAAAAGGTTGTCTGAGGACAAGGTCAAGGGGTGAAACTATTCATGCATTTCCTCCAGTCACACAGGGCAGCTCAAGGAAAAACATTTGTAACTTTGGGTAGGGTAAAGATAAAAAAAAAAAAAAAGTCCCACCCAAGCCTTCCCCCTCTTCTGATAAGTAAAGAACAGTCCCTCAGTAGACTGGTGGATAAAAAGTGATAATGAGATCTGGTAGTCCCTCTTGGTCAAACTCCTGGGCTTCCAGAGCTTTTTGAGAGGAAGAATAGCTCGAGCCTTAAAGGTTTTATCAGAGCCTCCTGTGTCGTTCACAATATAATGAATAATGCAACACATCAAACCAACAGAGATATTTAGGCCTTGGGTTTGAATGCCCCGCAACGCTGTATTTCCATGCTGCTTACATACTGTGCAGTCCTCCTCCTCTGGAATAAGATGCACTATCCCTGCTAAGCAGTTTCCCCTGACAGCCTGCTCTTTATCTGGACAAAGAGCGTTCCACTTGACCTATTCCAAATGACCACCTGCACATTAGAGTACCTGCCTTGCATCAAGATTCCCAGTGATACAAATTTAATATCTCATGCGTAGTAACTTTGCAGAAGTGCTCAGCCCTCTCATTCCGCGTAACCCTGGGTCCTGTGCATCTCTTGACTGTATTCAAAGTGTCACATGGGCAGAGGCTTTAGACAGTGTTGTGGATTTGCTTGCTGTAGGCCAGCTACAGAGACCAGCATCATTCATGCACAGAGGAGCATCATACCCTATAGCCTTTGTGTTCTCAACCCATGGCATTTGCAGTCACAGGGCCGTGTCACTGTTAGCCTGCATGGTGGGTACAGGAACAAATAAATTACCTGAATGTGACAGGCTGTCTTGACTCTTTACATCATATGGTTAAATTATATTGGCAAATTATGTTGCTCAGCATATTAAGTATAGGATGGCTATGCCGTAAATTACAATTCAAGATTTAACATAAACAGCCTCACCTTTACATATTTTTTGCAGTAATTATAAAATTAGACTTATACTGGACTGAAGACTTTAAATTAGCAACAGACAGCCTGTTTTACAAAGCAGAGGTTTGGAGAAAGACATGGGATATTTCCAGGCGGGTAAGGTCTAACAAAGAACGCCAGTCAAGATGTCACGGCTGCTGCTTTACAAATTTTGACTATTCTTAATTCACTCAGTTTCTTTCAAGTTCCCCAGTTTTATGCAAGTGCAGTGCTAAATCACTTTAGCTTCAGCACTTTTGAGTTTTCCCTTAAAGGAGCTCTACATGACCTTCAGAGCATATGATTCAGAGTCTGACCCCGGATTGCATGCACACGAGCTGAGCAGGAGGCTAGCAGCTAACAGTGCTAACAGAACAAAAAGTGCTAACAACAGCAACAGTGCTGACCTGATCATCAATGATTCTGTGATGATGCCATACCACTCTCATGGATCGGGATGCCGTTGTCAGTGCCGCTATGTCAGTGCAGTGCAGAGTGGTGTCAAGTAGCTAACCAGTCAACCTGGTCACACTCCGAAGTCGTCAAAAACCAGCACTTGGGCAGTGACTTCTGGCTTCAGACACCGACGAATCAAGCCATCCTTTCCTTTCATGTTGGCATGATATGTGGCTGGTTGCCGTTATTGTTTAACGGGAGGAAACGGAAACAGGAGGATAAATCATGAAAGCTAAGGGGGGGACGAAAAGTCCAAGTAGGTTGGGGGGAGGGGTTGTAGATGGGTCCAACAACATCGACGTTCACTCAAGTGCTCGTTTCAAACTTCAATATGAAGCCAAACCCAGGTGTTTTTTCCAAACCCAACCACATGTGTTGGCTAAATGTAACCACATGCATTTAGTGTTGAAGGAAAAACACCTCAATTCGCAGTGTTGTACCAATGTGATGCATTTATTTTGAAAGAGACTGTATGCAAGCTGTAAATTTCCCGTGAAAACGCAAGTGTATTCTGAAGGCAGACAATGCATGTTATAGACAAAAGTTGACACGGCATCCCACAACGTCACCAACCAACACACCCAGGGTACCTTGCACCTCCATTATCTGTAACTGCTTATCCAATTCAGGGTCGCGGGGGGTGCTGGAACTGATCCCCACTGGGCGAGAGGCAGGGTACACCATTTTGAGAGCAGAGAATCAGAAATCAAAATTCATTCATAAAAAAAACGTTTATTTAGTTAACTGCATGATTGTTTTAAGATGTGCATGTCAACCTAACATGGCAACATCTGAGCTGATTTTTTAGTACAACATTTTAATATCATGTAAACAACCAGCAAGCCACAAATAAAGCAATTTAAAATTCTAAACACTCCCCAACTCATTAAAAACAAGACCAGTTTAAGGCTATCTAGGCCCTACTGGTTATTTGATGTAGAGCATGAGCATTGAAAGCCTCTTTATAGAGTCATCATCCAATCATAGAGGAGATCAGGGGAGACAAGAGGGGACCGTAGCGATGACATCCTCATCCATCCATCATACTACTTTTTGTCTTTCTTCTTCTCAGCTTCTGCAGCTCTGGCCCTTTCCACCTTGCCCTTCTCTCCCTGGTAGAAGTCTGAGTCGAGCCAGCGCATTTCATCAGAGAGCTTGACATAGACATCCCCATTGGTCTCAGTGACCGTGTGGACCCGCTGCTTCAGACCCTTGGAGTACCATCTGGGCACAGGCGGATTTTCACTGGGGTCGGTGCCCTTGTATAAGCCCTCCCCTTCGGCAAGAGAGATCTTGTACTTGTGGTTTGGACAAATTATGCACAGCTTGCCGGAGATTTCCTGTGAGTGTGTTGAAAGAAAGCAGGTAAACAACCTTATGTGGGATAAGTGTAGGTCACTGAGGCCCCTCAACATTAGCATAACATTATATTAATGTGATTCAGGGTTGGTATCTTAATTACAGTGTTCCTCTATGCCTCAGCCCAGCAGCTGCCTGTAAGGTTTTTAGTGCAGATGGAATATGAAAACACAAAAGTACAGTCCTGTACTTTAACTTAAATGGCATTTTGCTTTCTTTGCTCTAGGTGAGACACAAAAACAACCCATAATCTCTTAAGTAAAATACAAACCTCACCTCAATGTCTCCTTCCTGCAGCAGCGCCCCAGCATCTGTCGAGAGGGTAGAGGATCAGTGTATTGCCGAATAAGCAAACAGTTTACAGCACACTAACCTGCTGACTGGACACGCTTTAGAGGTGATATGTGCTAAAATGTTCTATGGATAACCAAGTAAAGCAGCTTACTGTTAAATGTCCCATAGCGGGATGTCTATCAGCAGCACCTTTATTTTGAATAGATTCAGTGGAAGTAAGCATGTGTCAACAACAACTTTGATCCAGGCGAGAATATACATTGTTGGTGAAGTCTAATTGCCAGAGGTGGGAGTAAGACACACGTGCAAGTCAAAAGCAAGTCTTAAGTCTTTACCCTCGAGTCTTAAACAGGTCCCAAGTAACTATGGGGAGAATCAAGCAAGTTAAGTCAAGTCCCTGCTTTCAGTCGAGCAAGTCACAAGTCAAGTCAAATGAAATTCTAATGAACTGCCCCAGAGTACACATTTACATCAGTTTAAAAGACAATGTTCATGAAAAGTTGACATTTATTTTCAACATTAATGAATAATGTTGCAGCCTGCTTACACCTTATCAATTAATAACAAGCCTTCTAAATGAACAAAAAGGAGAATGGGAAACTAAAATTACAATATAACCCTGTAGCTCTAAAGGGCGCTAAAGTGAAAACCAAAGTACAACTCAAAAAAGTTGGATGCTGTGGAGGTCGTGACACTGATTTGTGAGCTGCAGACTTTCCATACTGCTATTTTCTTCTTACTACCATCATTGACAACATAGTCCTTGAACCCAAAATGTATTATTTTTGGACCAGGCCCCTTCTATGATAGCTGCCTGATGTGTTGCCCTCTGCCGATCTGCCATCTTGTAGGTTGCCAGGTTTATGCACAGTGCACTATAAATCACCCACTCATGTTCCAAAAACAAGAGTAACTTTTTAAAGGGGAACTACACCCAAAATTCATACATTATTTCTATGTTCTAAGAAAGTCCAAAAATAATAGTAAACATGGACAACACTCCCAAATACGGAAGTTGGAGCACTAAAACTCAAATTTGTGATGTCATAGGGTATAAAGCCTGGAGCTGCTCCATAGACAATTGGAGAAAATGTTCTTGATGACACTGGGAGCACCCCGGGGAATTTTCTGAGTATATGGGTACATTTTCTGTGTCAGAACTGAGAACATGACAATAGCATAAAGCTCAGTTGGAAAACACTCTGTGGGTCCACAACATCAGGCTTCTGTTCATTGTCCTTATGGAGCAGTTACAGACTTAATATTTGATGACATCACAAATTTAAGACTAACTTTTCTGGTTTCTGGCTTTGAGAGTAGCTCATGTTATTATTATTAGATTTTATTTGGTATGGACATCACAATTACATTGGACAAACCAGATGCACTGCTAGAGGCTTTTTAAAAAGTACAGACAATAAAATATGCATTAAAATAAATGTTGACTGAACATTCCTAGACCATAGAAATAACACTGGAATTCTGAAATTAGGCGTTGTTCCCCTTTAATATCTAGAAAAATGTAGATATTACATTTAAAAAAAGTCAGGTCTTTTTGTGTCATCTGTCACAAGTCTAGGTCAAATCAAAGTCGCAAGTCCTCAATTTTGTGACCTGAGTGTGACCTGAGACAAGTCATGTGACTCAAGTTCCCCACCCCTGCTAACTGCCACTAATATGAGTTATATGCAAGAGGAACTGAACTCACGATAGCAGTAAGAGTCCATAGCATAGAAGGTGTTCTGGTGGTAGATGATCAGTATATCCCGATCCTCTATTGTTCTGAAAGAACGCTTTGCTTTAATAAGTTCATCCTTCTTCCCCACAAACTGAGGCTCTCCTGTAGACTCCATGGCTCTGTGAAATAATGTTTAGAAGGCAAACATTAACATTAATAATAGAGAAGTCTGTTATTTTATTCTTTACCAAATCACAAGATTGGTTGTGCAGTCGATGCCATGTGGCGGTATGTCTGGGTTAGGACTTCAACTGAAATCTTAACTACACGTGAAAAGTGTGGCTTTTGGATTTGTCAGCAGGATTATCGTGTTGGCACCTCCCATCACAGTTGTCAGCTTAAATTAAGTCCACAACACCTCCGGAAGATTCAGCCTGAAGAATCCAGGAAAGGATATCTCTTGGCACTGATCAGCTCTGTTACATACATGCTCAGACCTGTAATATTAATCCCTGATATCAGGGAGCCTTTAGCAGATCACAAGTTGAACTGTATCTATCCAAAGCTGAAGGATTTCTTTACTCTTGTTGTGCATTCCTGATGTACAAAACAGCAGACCAATCAAGTCCCTAATGATCACATGTATGACCTACATGAATGTCATCATTGTGCAAAAGTAGTGGCCATCTAGAGACCACAGTCCTACATCCATGCGTAATCTCTGTGACAGCCAGTATATACAGAAAATGTCTGGATGCAGGGGAACCTGACCCCAAGTGTGATCCGTGTATAGCGGAGTGGAATAATGGGCACTTCAGTGCAGGCTGAGTAAGCACAGTAGTAGTGGCAGCGAAAGTCACATGTCCTGAGGCATCTGGCGAAACTACAGACAGCTACATGCTATGAAAGATGGAGCTATAGAAAAGCAATATAATTGTTTATGTCAGGGAAATGATACATTTTCTTTAAGCGAGCCCTAACGGACTGTAGGATGAATTTGTACAAATCCTGTGTGTGCATCCCATCTGCCTGTCTGTCAGCCTCACTCTCTCCCTCCCTATATATTCTTACTTGAAAATAACAAAAACATGTATTTTGGGTGAGTTCTTGTCTTTACCTTGAAACTCCGCAGCGGTGTCTCCTCTGTCAAGCCGAGCAACTGAACTGCTGACAGTTCGGCGTGCGTGGGAAGGAGGCCCCATCTCTGTTATCTTCACACACAAGCTGTCTTCAGTTGGCCCTATCTACACTGGGTACATTTCTTATCTGTCTCCCGCAGGCGCAATACGATTGTGAAGAAATATGTAAGTTTGTGATAAAACATTTGTTTAATCTGTCAGTGCGAGTTTACAACCGGATGAATCTATTTAAATCAAATTATTTAAAAATCTATGTTACTATATATCAGGGCGTATAGTCTCATCAGTTCATCATTTTTTGAGTTCCTAAATTATGTTAATATTTTTTACATCATCATCTGCAGTTGTAGTAGTGGAAAGGACCTAAGTGCATTTACTCAAGTACTGTACTGAAGTACAGTTTTGCAGTACTTACACTGTACTTGAGTATTTCCATTTTCTGCTTTTTTATACTTATATTCCACTACATTTCAAAGGGAAATATTGTACTATTTCTACTTCACTGCCTGTATTAGCAGTGCAGCTACAGAGCAAACAGTTACTTTTTAAAATGCAAAATATAAATTCATGAAATAATACATCATTATAGCTTCATACCCAACTTACCCAATAGTAACTGATCTTAAAAACGAAGCCAATAATATAACATAATACAACATTTTCAATAACTGCTTGTCCTGTTTAGGGTCATGGTGGAGGGGGGGCTGGAGCCTATCCCACCTGACACTAGGCGAGAGGCAGGGTACACCCTGGACAGGTTGCCAGACTATCACAGGGCTGACGAACAGAGACAGCCAACCATTCACACTCACATTCACAGCCAATGTGGAGTCACCAATTAACCTGCGTGTCTTTGTACTGTGGGAGGCAGACCCACAAAACCCTCATTGACACCGGGAGAACATGCAGCTCCACACAGAGGAGCTCCCCCACCCTGGGGCTCGAACCCCAAACCCTGGGTTTGAACCAGGGACATGCTTGCTGTGAGGAAACAATACTAACCACTGCAAAACCATGCCACCTGATCATATACCATCACAATAAAATAATAAATCTGAATATAGCAATTCTGCATAAGGAGCACTTTTACTTTTTACTTTAAAGGGACAGTTCATCCCAAAGTCAATACACATATTTTTCCTCTTACCTGTAGTGCTATTCATCAGTCCAGATTGCTTTGGTGTGAGTTGCTGAGTGTTGGAGATATTGGCCACAGAGATGTCTGCCTTCTCTCCAGTGCAATAGAACTAGATGGCACTCGGTTTGTGGTGGTGTCAAAGTGCTGAATTTTTTTTTTTTTTTTTTTTAAACTCAACAGCAATATCTCTTTTGGGGAATCATGACCCAGTTGCTCAAGATAATCCACAGACCTTGTTGTGAGCAATTTTGTGTTGGAACTTTTTGCTTTCTACTGAACTTCACCCACTAAGCAACATATCACTGCACAGAAGGAATTGTGCATGTACTCATGGACGAGAGGCTCATGCTCATGACAGCCCGAGATGTAAGCATGGTGTCCCTCTCAGCTTAGCTATTGCGCTAGCTAGCTCAGTGATACTGGGTGATGCAGTGGCGTAAGGTTGCCACGATTGGCCGGACCCAGATGCATAATATAGTAATCGTCATTGCATACCTGTGTGAGTTCTTCTGTCTCTTTCTTGAGAAACCAGATCATGATATCTGGAAATAGACATTGATGTTTGGTTTTTCAAATGTGTTTTTTGGTGCTTTGAGCACCACAAGCTGAGTGCCATCTCGTTCCATTATACTGGAGAGAAGGCAGACATCTTTATGTCTGATATCTCCAACACTCACACCAAAACAATCTAGACTGATAAATAGCACTACAGGTAAGAATAAAAAATATGTTTTTGATTTGGGGGTGAACTGTCCCTTTAATTAATTTCATAACCCCTTGGCACCACTGGCAGTACCAGTACTGTCAAAGCAGTTTCACAAAGCGGAACGGTTTATTTCCTTCTTGAACTCCGGACTCATTTCTCAGAGCACCGCTGAACTCCGCAGTGCTCTCAGCCGGTGAGAAACAAACAGCGCCCAGTCAAATCTTGTGACAGTGAACAGACCGTAAGTAAGCTGTTAACATCTGTCAAGTTTAATAAGTAGCTTCTTGTCGAAACTGCAGTCCGTGTTGACAAAGGGAATAACAGCCACCATGTTCTGTACAGTGAGAACAGAAAGCATATTACACTGAGTTAACTCATTCAGTCTGACATCTGATCTGTGCACAGAGGTAAGACAGCTAACATGCTAGAAATGCTAACAGACTCCTTTGCTTTCCTACTGCTGCAGCAGTGTTGTATGAGGGTCTGTAAACCTGCACAATCTGTCACAAATCAGAAGAAGCTGCTGTGTGCTAGGCTAGCTAATGAAAGTGCCCGTCAATCATAGCAATGCAGGAGTCATTTAGTCCTCTACAGTTTGAACACATAGCAATATGGTCAAAGTCATAATGTTTGCTTGGCATGCTCTGGTTTACTCCAGTCAGAAGCAACACTGCTGAACTTTGTCCTGACTGACCCAGCGAAGCAAAGCTGTGGTCACCTGTTTTTAGAAATTTTTAGAAACTAAACTGCTAAAATGACCATTTCAGAGTATTTTAAACAATAGTCTTAGATCAGGGGTTCTTAACATTTCGATCACTGAGTACAGTTATAAAGAGACAGTGTGTGATTGAGGGGCCAGAGAGGAACTCTTTATGACTCTTTATGACATATCATGCTATAACTTTTTAATGACAAAAACTGCAACAACACAAAAGTGATACAGCTTATGTAACAATCAGTACACTGCAGTTCTCCACTTTTTAAGACATTTAAGAGTAATAAAATTGAGACAGTAAAGTGTTTGACATTGACTGTACCTACTGATAGCAGTCGAGCAACTCCTTCAGCTGGGGAACGCCACTTGCACACACCACATGCAGAACTGCATTACACCATAACATTGGAACTGGTAGTAATAATATTGGCAGTATATTAAGTTTCTTTATGACAATTAAAAACATTTGCTTTCTGTACGATTATTTCGAACAGCAGTGTGTGTTGAAGCATAGAAATTTTAATATATATTACAATTACTGCCTAGCAGCAAAGGCTCAAATTAGGCTAGTATGTTGAACAAGAAAACCTGCACCTAATAGAATAAGGGGAATAATGGGAGCTAGAATTTCACATAAAGTGATTTCAAACAGTTACATTAACCTTAAATGTTACCATCACAGCAGTTTGTACACTTGATAGAAAAAAAAACTGTGTCCTGGGCTGGTGGGGTCACAAATGGTTGGTTGAGATGTATATTTTATGGTAGTGAACAGACATTCAGTTCACAGGCAACAGCTCTGGTGGACATTCCTGCAGTCAGCATGCCAGTTGCATGCTCCCTCAAAACCTGTAGCATCTGTGGCATTGTGTTTGTAATTAAACCTGCACATTTTAGAGTGACCTTTTATTTTGACCACTTCAAGACACATCTGCATAATAATCATGCTGTTTAGTCAGCATCTCGATATGCCACACCTGTCAGGGTTATGGATTACGGATTATATTTGCAAAGTGCTCACTGACATGAATTTTCACAAATTTGTGATAAAATTTGAACTAAGCATTTTGCACACACACACAAAAAAACATTTAGATCTTTTATTTTAACTTTGTGAAAATTGTGTATGTGTTAGTCAACAGAACTATTTTGCAGGTCCTTGTGTGCATGCATGGACTTTACCAGTCAAATACACATTTAACTATTGTGATTTTACTTGCAAAACAGCATCTGGAACCTTTGTGTACACATACCCATTACCTAGACAAATTTATAAACATGAACATTTAAAGCGTTCCCATTAGACAAGTACTTCTTTATTTCATATTGTTTGTAATCTAGGATAATGTAAGTTTTCCCCTTAAAAGTATAAAGAGTCACGCTTTACACTCCCATAGAGAGCAGTGGTTTTGTATTTCATCATTAAAAGCTGACCCTAAATGTCCAGGTGGCTCGACAGCACACACTGCAGCCTTTTGTTTTCTATAGTGGAATTCTGTAACACAATGTAATGCAAACTGTGTGTGTGTGTGTGTGTGTGTGTGTGTGTGTGTGTGTGTGTGTGTGTGTGTGAATTTGTTGAACAGGGAGATGGCGCTGCGTGCTTGTGGCTTCATAATATTTCGGCGTCTAGCCAGCTGCATCCCTCCACCAGACAACATCGAGTACCTCCTCTTGCAGACCTCTTATGGGGAGCACCACTGGACCCCACCCAAAGGTGTTCACAAGTTCAAAATGTATCACATAGTTGATTCTATACAATAATGACATAATAATTACATCTAACCTGTTCACCATCAGGTCATGTGGATCCAGGTGAGGATGACCTCACCACAGCTCTGAGAGAAACCAAAGAGGAGGCGGGGCTAGGGGCCGAGCAACTGCGGGTGATTGATGGCTTTTTGCGGGAGCTGCGCTACGAGGTGCGAGGTAGACCCAAAGAAGTGCTGTACTGGCTGGCCGAGCTGAGGGACCCAGGGACAGCTGTGACTTTGTCGGACGAGCACCAGGACTACCGCTGGGCCCGGCTGGAGGAAGCCTGCACTCTGGCACAATACAAAGACCTGCAGGACACACTGAGAGCAGCACACAGACACCTGGAGGCTCAGCAGGACAAACAGTGATGAATCAGAATTTGGACTGTGCAGACAGGATGATTAAAAAAGGGAAAGCTGCAGCTGGCACCTTGGACCCTCAGACGTTAGAGCACCTAATGTGAAAGTGTGTCTGTGAATTATGTGATTGATGATTTTGTCTCCGTCAGGTTCAAATACTGTTAAAATCTGTTTAAACTAGGGCTGCACAATTAATGGAAATAAGATTAGTTAAAAAAAGTGCAATATCCAAATCGCATTTTTTTGATAAAGGGAAAATGTGTCACAACATACCATTATAAATGACTCATAGTGGTGCTACAGAGATGCCCCTGCCTACAAATCACATTCCAGGCATAGGGGAACATGCTGGTTTGGTGGTACCGACCCCAGCAAAAACGACATCATCATCATTTTTTATTTTTCAGTAAAAATGAAATGCAAAAATTACCATTTCCACTAGAATTTCGACACATATCGCAGTTGTTTTTTTTGCATGTTGTACAGCCCCAGTTTAAACACTTTGTCTCTGATGTACGGTTTAATGCAAGCCTGAGTAGATTCCCTTCTCTCAAAACAAAGGTGAGAATGGAGGGCATGAATCAATGCTTGAAAACTGATCTTAGTTACTGCACAAAAACATGTACGATACACTTTGTCTTTAAAAGACATACATGAAGAGATGAAAACAAAAGAGATTTTAATGTAAACAAAATAAAACACAAAAGTTAGTGAAGGAAAACTAAACAAGGAGAGTCCCACTGGAACTCAGTGGGGCAGTGTAAACCTTAAGAGGGGCATATGTTTACATACAGTTTTTATCTGTCTGTAATCAGAATTAAATGTATTAAAAACAATAAAAAACAAGTTTGGTGTATATTGATATTCATAAAACTGTATTTTAAAGTGTAAAAAATATTTACATGGGGGGCTCACCTTGTAAAAAGACAGTATCCAATGGTGAGGTACAAATAACTTTCTCAAGCCAAAAGATGAGTGGATAAAAATACAGTGTAGATCATAGATGCTGCCACAGGGTGGGGACAAAAACAAGGTATCTGGTGGTGTATATTTTCCATCATAGACTACAAAAAAACTGCTGGCTGTAGAAATACGACCTGGATGACTCATGATCTCAGTCACAGCCTTCAGGCTTTTTTTCCCCTTCAGCTCTCAGCATCCAAATAAAAGTGAGATACATCGATTACTTGTGCAAATTAGTTCCTGTCCAGAAATTAAAAGCGAGTAATGGGGATCATTAGAAACTATGTGGTCATAAAATATAAGAGAGACCATTAGTATGCAATGATTCTGGGTCAATGCACACATCATCATAAATGTCAAACGGAGAACAACAGGTTAACCATATTTTCAGGGATTATATAGACATCTCTATATTTTACAGCCCTTAGCATACTAATGAAACCATTTGCAAGCAGGAAGAATTACCACGTCATAAATTAGACTGTGGACATCGGAGATCAGGTCTTATTTACTCTGCGATGTCTGCCCCTTGATGAGGGAATATTTAAGATATTTCTCAGTGAAAAAGGAAGTGATTTAGGACAAACAATAATGTCAGCAAAACTAGTCAGCACTGGCTCCACATTCTCGTTTTGAGATGAGATGATTGAGTAGGGGATTATGTTGTGTCAGCATGGAGACTGTTAATCATGTCAAAATTATAATTCTGATTTATTTTTTAATCCAATCAACTAACCCTTATATTGTTCAACAATTTAACAGTGTTATACTCTATCAATCTAGTACAAACCTGAAAAGCAGTAAGTGCTTGTTCTCTCATAAGCAAATGTTGAAAATCAAGTGGGACTTCAAACTTGACCCTGGTTACTGGTGTTGCCACATTGTTCTCTATACAGTCAGGAACATGTTCTACTCTCAGTGCTGTGCTGCAGGATCACATTAACAGCCTCTGCCAAAGGGTTGAAATAAGAGTAATTAAAGAAACAATTGTGTTCTTGCAACTCATAAAGCAGAGTGGAAGCACTCACTTCATTTAACTGTTATTTTGTTTCTGGGTATTTTAAGGACACAGGAAAGACAGAGACAGCAGTGAGCTGGAGGTCAGGGAAAGTGCAGTAACCTATGTCTTTACACTATCACGAGACACACACAGTATACTGTAAAGTTACACTATGCATTGAGCAAAAGCTGAAATGTTGCTTTAAGACCCATCAGGGCATCATTAAACCAGTAATTAATTTCATGCCTGGTAGAGCAGAAAAGCTCCTCTCCCAGTGATAAAGGACAGCTAATTGTTCTGAACTGAAATTACAGTTCTTTTCATGATTAAACATTTGCTCTGCAACTTGGTCGTCCGTGTGTCATGTTGTTATAGGGTATGGAGTATCTTAAAATTGTCTCTCTGCATTCAGTGTCAAAATGAATTTTGATTAGGGTGAAATTATGGACCATAATGATGCACAAGTTTGGCCATCAAGGGGTCTTTCAGAGTCATTTCACTGGATGTACTAAAAAAACTCCCTTACTACTCTTAATATTCAGCAATGTAGGTAGTCTGATTCTGTGGAAGAAAGATTTCTGCTCCCACCTCAGTACAGAGGAGCTGAATGGAGTTTTGTTTGTGGTGCTCAAATCATTATTAAGATTATAATAAAAACATTCAACAGCAAACTGACCTCCCTTGAACAATGCCACTTTGTAGAAAAAGAGCTAATGAGAAATCAACACAAATGGTTTTTGCCTTTTTATTTTCTCTCACTCCACTCCACCTCACTGTTCTGATTGTGATGATCACTCACTGATGAAAACATTAGGATAAACTGCAGGACTGGAGGTTGTACCCATATAGATAGGCTGTTAGTAACAGAATTTTGGATAATTTCTCCCTTATGTTGGATTTAAAGAAAAAAAGAGGCCTGGGATTTTGAAAGTTCTGTGCACATCTTAGTTGTTCCAAGGACTGCACTCTTTTATGGACAAAGACATCAGATGTTGTACCTGGAATCAGCTGGAGCGACTCTACCAGTTTGGGTGTCACAGTCTCTAATGCTCCTATTACCTATGGGACAACTTTGGACCTCACCCTCCACATCTGCTCCAGTTGTTCCTTCAGCCCCTTGTACTTCTCAGTCTTTTCATGTTCTTTCTTTCTTCCTGATGTTACCGTTGGCTGGGATTGCCAAATCTACCACAACTGCCCTCTTCTGCTTCTTGTCAACCACCACTATGTCTGGTTGGTTAGCTAGCAACTGCTTGTCCATCTGGAACTTGAAGTCTAAAAGGACCTTAGCCTTGTCGTTCTCAACCACTTTCGGTGGTTTGTCCCATCAGGACTTGGGGACTTCTAGTCCATACTCAGCACAGATGTTCCTGTGCACTATCGCAGCCACTTGGTTGTGCCTCTCGGTGTATGCTGTAACAGCTTGCATCTGACATCCTGTTACTATGTGCTGGACTGTCTCAGGGACCTCTTTGCACAGCTTGCACCGGGGGGTCTTGTCAGCTATGGTGGACCCCTGCCTCTATGGATCTGGTGGTCAAGGCCTGTTCTTGTGCTGCCATGCCATTCAGGGCAGTCTTTTCTAGCCACTGGTAGAATTTCTTGATGTCAGCCACTTCATCTATCTGCCAATGGTACATCCTATGGTGGGGTTTGGTCTGCCACGATATTTCCTCTTCCTCCTTATCACCCTCTGTCTTCTGCCAGAGGCACTCTCTGGGCAGGTCTTCTCAGGGGGGCATCTTCCCGATGTGTTCTTGGATGCTCCTTGTTTCATCCAGAATCATGGCTCTGGAAAATCACTAATCCTTGCCCTCCCTCTTTTTGCTGCTCAGTGAGTCTCAGGGTGCTGGACCATGCATTGTGAGGACTTTTCATGTCTTGACATCAGCAGTATCCATCTCCTCCTGTGACCAGCTCAGTATTCCAGCTAGGTATCTGATGACTGATAGGGTGTATATGTTGATGGCTTGGGTCTTATTCCTCCCACTGAGCTGCCTTCGTAGCACCTGTCTTGCCATCTGGAGGTATTTGGCTGTGGCTGATCTCCTTGTGACCTGACTCCCACTGGCCTGTGGGATACCCAGGTACTCGTAGCTGTCCCACATGTCTGTTATACTGCCCTCTGGTAGCTGCACCCCCTCAGCTCTGATCACCTTCCCTCGCTTCGTCACTATGCGGCCTCACTTATCCAGTCCGAATGACATCCCGATGTCCTTGCTGTAGATCCTCTTGAGGTGGATCAGTGAGTCATTGTCTCGTTCACTCCTGACATACAGCTTATCATCCACATACAGGAGGTAGCTGATAGATGAACCCCCAGATGATCTGGCTGAGGGGATTCAGGCCTATGCAACAGCAGCTGAGACAACGCATCACCTTAGTATATGCTGAACTTGATGGTGAAATTTTCAATGGCCTTGGAGTTGGCTTCCATTGTTGTTTTCCACAGCCACATTGAGCTCTTGATGAATGTTATCAGTGTGCTGTTAGTGTTAGTGCCAGGCAATCCAGTATCTCTGTGTGGGGCATTGACTCATAGCACTTCTTGTTGTCAATCCAGATGTGCTCAGGTTGGTCTGCCCAGTCTTAGAGTCTTGGGCGACTGCTGTGTTGACCAGTGGCTGGTGCTTCGGCCCTCTGATGTTGTTTCCTAAGCCCATCTGAGCTTTGTATTGACTCATGTGCCTACTCAGCTTAGCTGCTATGATGCCTGAGAGGAGCCTCCATGTTGTGGAGAGGCAGGTTATTGGCTGGTATTTCGAAGGTGTTGCACTCTTGTAGGGATTTTTAATGATCAGTATTGTCCTTCCCTGTGTTATCCAGTCTGGGTGAGTGTCAGCTGCTAGCAGCCCACTCATTGTGCTGTCAGGCAGTCATGGAGAACTGTCAGCTTCCTCAGCCAGTAGGAGTGGATTATGTCAGGCCCTGGTGCTGTCCAGCTCTTCACGCGTGATACTCATTGTTAGATGACTGCCTTAGTGATGGTGACTGCTTCTTGTTCAGGGAGGTTGCTATAGTCTGCTAGTAGGTCCACTAGTCACTTGGCATTGGTGTTGTGTGATGCCTCTTTTTTCCAGATGCCCTTTCAGTATTGCTCAGTCTCAGCTCTGGGTGGGTTTGTCCTTGGGTTGTTGTTCCCTTGCAGCTGGGAGTACACTGTTGATGGATCTTTGAAGAACAGGCCATTTATTCTCTTGGCATCCACCTCTCTAGTGTACCTCTTCATCCTAGCAGCCAGAGCTGTGCATCTTTGTTTGGGGTCTCTAGAGCCTCGCTCATGGACCCTGTGTTATACTTCTTATTCATCCAGGACCTGTCTGTCGTGACCACCTTCTGCAACTCTGTTAGTCAACTAACATCTCTCCTGGCTCCCTTGATCTTGGCTTCCAACCTTCTCCACACTGTTTTAGATCCAAGACTTTTTTTTTCATGAACTCCATAGATTTATTTCACTCATATTTGGTTGCAAATGTGTTAATATGTGTGTTAGTCAGCACTTCTCCTTTTCCAAGATAATTTATCCACCTGACAGGTGTGACATATCAAGATGCTGATTAAACAGGGTCATTACAACACAGGTGTGCCTTGGGATGGTCACAATAAAAGGCCACATTAAAATGTACAGTTTGATCACAAACACAATGCCACAGATGTCCCAAGTTTTGAGGGCACGTGCCATTGGCAGGCTGACTGCAGGAATGTCCACCAGAGCTACTGACAATGAACTGAATGTTCATTTCACATCCATACCTTGTCTCCAATGTCATTTACCTGAAGTTGGCAGTTGCACAAGTTGGTTTCGACAATAAACTGCTGTCAGGTTAAGACCCTGATGAGGACGACAAGCATGCAGATAAGTTTCCCTCTGGCAGTTTCTGAACAAATATAAG